CTACAGCTATAATAAGTTTATACAATACTTTGTACAAGGTACTTCGTAATTTTTGTACGAAACCCTTCGCGCGAGTCCAACTCGCTCTTGGCTCTTTTGATGCGTGCAAACAGCGCCCGGACATATTGTTTTAAAGGATGCGACAGTGCGTATAAGATTATAAGGACACTTACGGCTGGTACAAGTCAGTTCTGTATCACACCGCGTAGTGTTATGTTAGAGAAGCTTTGATTTTCATTAAGTGAACAATGTTTTATGTGTTCGTGTTGATGTTGTTCTTGAAGCCCAGTGCGTGTGTGATATTTAGTATAAATGGTGAGAATTCAATTTCGATAAGGTATATTTCGCGTTTGAAACCGTTAAGGTGTTTTATTTCAATGTGTACTATTCGCGTAAAATTTGAATTATATAGGATTGATTTTAAACCATTTTAAATATTCACAATTAAACAGCTTTTAACGGTTTAAAAACGAATATAGTTTAAAACAGTTAAGTGTCTTAAGTAATTATCCCTACGCATTAGTATATTTTTATATTTTCTGAAATGCATGAAAACATTGTTTAAAATAGATAAGTCAATTTATTGTTAGTGCTTTTGTGCAGTGGTGATATGTAAATTGTATTCTTGTCAGGTCATTAAAGTTTGTAATTTGTTCATTTGTTAAATAAAACACTTTAACGGTTAAAAACGAAACATAATAATTAACTTACTTTTTAAGGTTTTGCATGCCTTGGAAATTAGTTATGTTTAGTTAAAAAGAGTTAACTAAAATATTTCGCATTTTAAACCAAAAAGTGTATATGGCAAGTAGAGACTATAATATTTTTTTGCCGTTTGTTACATTTTTATACATAAACTGGATAGTTAATCCGTCGGTGTTAAGAACAAACGTCTACAGATGGAAAAGTTAAAATTGATATTTCGGTATCCGCCTAAGGATTTCCGGATGTCTAAAGCCAAAATGGGTCGGCACCACATTAGGTGTTACATGGCTGGGTTTCAAATTCTATCGAGTGAGCTTGATTTTGCTTGCCCCAACCTTAATCTTACTTTCACTAAGAGAACCATTTGACTCTACTCTTCAAAAAACTACACTCGTTAGGAGTGTTGTTTTACAGATGATCAAACACCACAAGTTGGTGTTCAAACTTTTTCACCCGACCTCTTATTTTCATCGTTATAAACAAACAAACAAATTTATTGTCACCACAAGAATATTACATAATATAATTTGAAGAACCTCGAAAAAAATGTAGCGAGAAAAGAGTGGCTTTATCGCCAAAAAGAGATTTCTTCCAGGCAACCTTGAAGATGAAGATTTAATAATAATTAATAATAAGTGTAACACTAGCTGTCAGTTTAAAAAATGATAATCGCCCATGATTTTAACCCAGGATCTCTATCGCGTCCAACTCAAGAATCCTTTATACAAATAGCTACGCAGGTGGACTGATAATATTATGTAACACTTGTAACGTTAGCCTATTTATCGATATATAAAGCATTTACCATAAGAGGATAAACTGCAATATAACATTTCAAGGATCTTGGGTTCCGTACAGTATTTTTGTGCGACGTCGCTTGAAGGGCAAATCGATTTTGAAACGATGCAAATCAAATTAAAATCTCAATAGTTTATTCCACATACAAGTAAAACAATAATAATACTTATAATCGATACTAATATATGAAGCTAACGAGTTTGTTTGTTTATTTGTTCGAACGCGCTAACCTCAGGAACTACTGGTTCGAATTGATAAATTATTTATTGTTCATCACATCACTGTCTTTCAGTTTCGTCCTCTGGTGGGAAGGACGTAAAGTTATTGATTATATTAATTTAATTCAAGTTGTACAATCATTTGGGAAAATTTTAGCTGTTCAAAACCGCATCTTACAATAAATAAATATCTCGTTTAAATTTCATACTTTAAAATGGTTCGTAAATTTAACTAAGGAAACATCAAGTTTTCCATAACAAGTACAAGTATACAACAATACTAACATACCTAGTAGGTTTTTTTATTATTGAAGAAATAATCGTGTCTAGACTCGGATGGTATAAAATGTTAAAATAAATAATCTAGCTTTGACAAAGAAGAATAGTATGAGCGATCATTTAATCGAAGGAAAAATACTCCAACCATATGCTATCTAAGCAATATGTCGTATAATATAGCCTCTGAAAAGAATAGCACTCAGCAACGTTGGGACTAGTGTCCCATCAGTGATATTCTGTGGCCCCATCAGAGGCCGAGCGAAAACAAGCGAGGTAGTTGGACATTTTGTATACAATTTGACATTTTCTCTATTAAGTACGTTTATATACAAACACAATGCAACTAAATTAATTACTACATAATAAAAAATATCTAAACAAAATTTAAATACTGTCTATAGTTTACGCGAGTAGTACACATTTAAATAAAAGACTTTAACGGTTTAAAACGCGATATATTAGTTAAACTTATTTGAAAATGATTTTTAACTTCGGCCCGACGTTTCGGATGCTTTGCAGCAGCCGTGGTCACGGGTCTCTCCGACCACGGCTGTTTTATTTAAATAAAATTTATGCTTAAAAACTTTCACTTACGCTTCTATACCAATTTCAATAGCTTAAATTTAAGCTTTTAATAAAAGTACTTGTAAATATTCTTATAATACTTTTTTAACACAACATGCTAAGCATAAATATTATCTTTTTTTTTAAATTTGCAGATTCACTAAATAAAATTACCTTTAAATTAGTATTTGTCAAATGTTTTGTGGCACTTAACAAATTTTTTGCTAATTATCATTAAAATTGTGAATGCATAATAAAATAATTTATAATTTCGTCTTTTATAATGTAATATATTACGTAAGCATTTAATCCTAGGCAGAGGTTATATAAAAACCTTAGTCTTACAAAGTTTAAATTTTGCACTTGAGAAAAAGACACAGTTTGAGGTGGAAAAAACTTTTAGGTGACACTCATACACATAAGATTTTAATGTTCTCCTCATGGAAGGTAAAATAACGCGGCCATCTGACATCCAAACATGATGTGTGTCGACCTATTTCAGCTTTACATATTTTACAAAAGTTGACAGAGTGTAACCGAAAACGTTTTCCATCTAAGAACGCTGTTTTGTGAGGAAAAGATCTTCGACAGCTATTGAATGTCTAGATTGTCCAGACGAAGTGAAACATGTTACATAAAAATTATAAATTGACTTTAGAAGGATGTTAGACTCGGCGGGATTTGAATGCGGGGCCGGTTGATGTCTAGCCATTCAGTGCTAGCATTGGACCAAATAGCTGAATCAGATACTATCTTACGCGAACTTCAATACTAATACTAAAAAAAAGAGTTCGTTTCTTTGTTTCATCGCGCTAATCTCAGGAACTGTTATTTCAAATTGATTTGATCTTGTTGTTTCATTGATTAGAGTATTTATCTTAAGGTAAGGTAATATATATCAGGCTGCGATCAATAGGAGCGAAGACACATTGGGAAATGTGGAAAACCATTTATCTTTGAGGGCTTCCGTTGCGTTTTTTGCGAAAACGGTTTAGGCAGCCAGCAAACCAAAAACATATGTTTGAAAGAATGTTTCTTTTTTAAATTCTCTAACATATCTTTGTACAGATTGGATAGATATTATGTCTATCATTTTGAAATTAACTCGCCAGAACGACGCAGAGGACGTCGCGGGTAAATATGATGCCAAAAAGAAATATTCCACGCGGACGAAGTTACGGGCACAGCTTTAAGTAAAACAAAAGACAGTATACAGGTTCTATTAAAAATTAAGGCTAGAACTAGCATGACACTCGTCAATTTTTTATCGCTAAGTTGTACTTTAAAAAGCCTTCACGTATTTAGTGTAATATCTACGCAGATGATCAGTAAAGATTTTCGCAACTAGGCTGAGTTTGCAGAAAGCATTCTAAATTAGTTTTTCCTCGTAACATAATAATATGTATCAACCTTAAGGTCATTGTTACAAAGTTGGCCTTGCCAGGCATAGTCTAGTATGCACTAAAACGGCCGTCACTTAATGTCTGTACCGCCAAAACGAAAAGGATTTTATGTGGTCACGTAGTTAAATACTTTGTTTCAACGTGCCAGCGTTGAAGTATTAGACACTTGAAGTCCCCGAGTGATAACAATAATTTAACCACTTTCAACGGTTTCGAATGCGAATTAAATCGATTGTTTTTTATGATAGAGGAAAACAAAAAGTGGTGGGGTTTAGTCGATGGCGGGTGAAATACCCCAGCCCCCAAAATAAATACCATTGTTTTTCTTGTCAACACCAGGTTGTTCGTAACTGGGACTGGAATTTTTGATTACCTATCTATTTAATAATCATATTTTCAAACGAATTCCTCGGCCCTCTTTAGAATACCAATTTCCAGCTTTGGAAATAATGTCGCAAAGAAACCTATTACAAATTAAAACTAATTTACTCTTTATACAATTAAAAGTATGTGAATAGTGAGTAAAAAGTCAAAATTCTACTTAAATAGTACTATATCGTTTTTACGTTAGTTTAAAACGCGTTACATACATCGAATTATACATACAAATTTTTATTATTCCAGACGAAAAAGCCGTGAAGTTTCATCGCGGTTTGGATTTAGTCTGTGGATTTCCAATTTTCAAAGCCAAATAGATCGACAACACATCTTGTTTAGATGTTATATATCACTAATGGTAGCAATGTATGGCTTAGAATCAACGAGTCGTGGGATCGCTCCCCACCATGTCCAACATTATTCTAATTAATTTATAATTTTTTGAAACCTGGTGGACTGGAAAATTTTGGTAGTAGGAATATTGAAATTCCCTTCGGGTCTTGAACTACCGGAAAGCCATAGAGCCAACCACCGACGAAAAGGCGTCAAGCTTCATCGCGTTACAGTTTCTGTGTATTTCCGAAAATTCAAAGCAAAAATACGTCGTTTCAGCTACCATTGAGTGAACCCCGTGTTTGTCTGTAACCATATAATAATGCTATTTCCAGAAACGGAGTACAGAAAGATGCCAGCCTTATATGAGATGGATGACTATGATCTTTGCATGACAGAAGGCGATGAGGGTACATATTGCTTGGTCGATTTCGACCTCTTCTCCAGACAGAGATCGGCACTGATGAATTTTATACAGGTACTTTGTTAACTACATGAACTTCTGATGCCATATCTCAATGGTTCAAAACATAATAGATTATAAAAAAAACATAATAAATTAAAAAAAAATTACGACACGGCCAGTACTTGAACCTTATTGCGCAAATGTTAAGGTTGAAAATACAATGCGCCAGGTACATGCATCTATAGGAAAATCGATGACGTGTAGGAGACGGTTGCTGAATTGGTTAAAGCAACACGGAACGCTGTGGATGTCGGTTCAAGCCCTGCCCGTGTCGTTATTTTTTTCAATTTGCAATCTATTTTTAGTTCATCTTGTACATGTGAAAAATAGTGAAGTTCTCGAATAAATTGCCTTAAACAGGGCCGATTATATGCTCAAATTCAAAGGTCAAATTTCAGATCAACTACAACAAAACTAACTAAATCAAATAAATCAATAAAACGGCCACAGAACAGTATTTGTTTCATGGAGACAGGGAGAAATGAATTTGACTGTTCGTCAGTTACAATAATTTTTTATCGGTCGGGCAGAACATAGTTTTTGATTCAAATCGATTATTAAACGACTCAAACCCACGACTTCTCGCGCAATGTTCGGCAAAACAACTGATCCGCGAATGATTAGTGACAAAAATTACGGATTACTTAAATATGTTAAGATTTATTTTCAACGCAAACGATTATGACGATAAGCAAAATTTGCATAATAATTTGCATTTACGTATGTACGTATAATTGATCTATGTAAGTCACATTTAACGGTTTTAAACGTGAAATATAGTTAACTTTTTTTTAATTATTATACAAATAACAACTAAGACGAAACGCGCAGTGCTAGCGTAACATTTGAGTTTGACATTAGGGACACCATCCATTCTTAGTCCCCCGTGACCACGAGTGCTGCAAAGCAAAAGTGAAGCATGTTACTGTAGTTAAAATCTTAAAAATGAGTTAATTAATATTATCCGCGTTTGAAACCGTTATAAATGTTTTATTTAAATACGTTGTGCTCGCGTACAGGCAATACTTACTACAATGTGACTTGCCACGGTTTATTTAAAAAAAGTGTTATTCATTTTAATAACACGATTAAATGACATGCAATAACATAATAACTGATAATTATTGTGTACCACGTAATATGTCTAGGTCAAGATAAGTTTAACAATTATAAGAAAATGGTTTACTGGCACAAAAGCGAATTAAAAATCTTGCAAACCCTACATTTTAATAGATAGAAAATCATACAGTACTGTCTGTAGTTTACGCGAGTTTAAATCAAACACTTTTAACGGTTTGAATCGCGAAATATATAGCCTTTTTTTACATGTCTTTAAATTAAGCGAAGTTTCGGATGCTTTGCAGCAGCCGTGGTGACGGATCGAAATATTTTATTTAAAACTGGTAATGAATAAAGCCAAAATGGGCCGACAGCGTATCTTGCTTTAGATGTTGTATAGATTGCGAATTCGTACCTACCCGCATATAATACTGTAATGTACATGATTGTGTTTACGGTTAAGTGAAAATTTATTTCTTGCGTCAATAAATGTCTTCAACCCTAAAACTGTGTGTAACATTATTATTTTATATGTACAATATTGCGCTTGATTTAATTAAAATAAATGAAATTGTTATTTTCATTTCATGATAAATTTAATTATAAAAGGTGAAAACTTTAACGGTTTAAAACGCGATATATTAGTTAAACTTATTTGAAAATGATGTCTTCACGGGGAGACTGCAAAGCATCCGAAACGTCGGGCCGAAGTTAAAAATCATCTTCAAATAAGTTTGACTAATATATCGCGTTTTAAACCGTTAAAGTGTTTTATTTAAATGTGTACTACTCGCGTAAACTATAGACAGTATTTATAAAAGGTGGTTAACGCGAGTGAAACTCGAACTCAAGACCACAACAGTCCATGCTGCTCTAACATTTGACTTACTGTGACCCACACGCCATTATCTGATTTTTAATGGCAACGTCATTATACTATGACACTTACATATTGTAATTCCATAAGTCATTTATTTCATAGCTCAGAAAAGTATGTGGCGACAAAATATTTACTACTAATAGTTTCTCTATTTAAATATTATTCCAGCAATACTCAGCCCACACAAAAAAGCACTTCAATCACACACAAATACACAGGGCCGTGTGTGTTACGACGACCTGCAAAAATTACCTACCCACAAATAAAACAGTGGACCTAAACGCGAGCCTTGAGGCATGCATCAATGAAACAATATGGCAGTCTTACCACATAGAAGCTAAATTTAGTAATATACAGTATTGTAATAAGAAGGGTGAAAAGAAAGAGGTTACAAAGGGCGATATATTAGTTGTTGGAGTTTTCGGGATAATAATCGTGTTAAATATGGTCGGCACTTTCTATGATATTATCGTCTCTAAATCGGAAAATAAAGCAGGTATTTATTTCATTAATAGACGTTACTAAGTATACAAATATGTTTTGAACTAAAAGAATCTTAGCTAACTCATAAATAATGATTTTCTAGATACAATAAAACAAGTAACGGATAGAGAAAACACAAATAATGCTACATACAATTTCGAAGTAATCTTTGATATTTTTAATGCACCCTTTTTAAACACAGTACAAAACAGTTTTGTAATTATTTGCATTGTATTAATAACGAGATCAAATGAATGCTGTAGAGGTTATACCTTAATATGATAAATAAACGACTACTAACAATTATAAATAGCTTTTATCTGTTTCAGGGAATCGATTCCTTCTAGCACTTTCATTGAAAAAGAATTGGGATAGAATGGTTGCCCCATCCGGTAAGGGCCCGGATTCTAGATTAGAGAGACTGAGAGTGATCAACGGGTTGAGGTAAGATAACGTGTATTGCTTCTTCAAAAAGAACGTAGTATGTAGAGTCGAGCCAAGTTGGGTACTGATGTTGGGAGCTTTGGGGCCCAAATATTTTATCAGGGCTCCGTCTAAACCACCGGATATCAATGTAACCGAATTTGAAATGAAAGGAGAAGTAGATGGTGTGTTAAGGGTTGGTCTAGAGAGCGACTACTTGCATTCGATTTAACAACTTACCCAAAGTGCATTATGCGTTCATATATGAAGCTGTCACATATAAGAGGCACAGTGGCCTATTAACAAAAAAGATGATTTTCAATAAGAAGGAGAATAAAAATTCGCATTTAACTTAGGCGAAAATGAATTTGTAATATTATTTGTGTAAGAATTATGTTAATAATTTTCAGTAATTGTGCTCTTGTAGATTGAACATTTTTAGACTAAGGAAGTATAAATAACTCAAACTATTTAATTAATATGTTTGAAAATGATTTTTAACTTTGGCCCGACGTTTCGGTCATGGTCACTGGGAGACATCGGGCCAAAGTTAAAAATGATTTTCAAATAAGTTTAACTAATATATCGTGTTTTAAATCGTTAAAGTGTTTTATTTAAATGTGTACTGCTCGTGTATGTACTATGTACAGTTAGACTACTCTACCCTTAGCGGCCTCATACAAACGATGAAGAAGAACCTAACATTTACAAAGTAGTAAAGTAAAAATAACAAAGCGAAAGCATAAGAAAACGTGTTTTGAAAATAGAACGCGCTTCTATAAGGATTATTCTAGCTTTTAAAACAAATACGATTAAAAGATAATTCTGAAAGTTAAAAAAAGAACATATCCTGAAATAAACATATATAAGGATTAAGCATGGTTTTTTATATTGCAGGTCAATGACCATGGTGTGTGTTATATTCTCGCATACCGTACTCACGATGGCATTTTCATATGTTGAGAACCCTCTATACTTGGAAAAGGTAACTTAATTCGCTATTTATAAAGATAACTTTTGTTAACAACTTCTTATGCGCGTAATAATCTAACAGTACGAGAGGTGCATGTGCAAATGGCTTAACCAAATGCGATAAGAACAAGTAAGATACGTTACCTACATTTTATAACGTGAAATATATTGGAGTAAAGTAAATCCAAGCACTAATTCTTGGCCACTTCTCTCCAGCCGCATCCAGAAATTTCCGACAGGATTGAGTTATAAAATTCTTTATTAATTTCTATTGCTCTAAATATAGATAAGATTTTTAAAATAAATACTTTAACAAAACACTTTTTACGGTTTTACACATAAAATATTTAACTGCTCTTCTTTCGAAACAACAAATTCTAATTATAAATAAGATAAACAATGTAGTTCGCGTTTTAAACCGTTAAAGTGTTTTATTTAATTATATACTATTCGTGCAAAGTACAGACAGTAATAAAATACTGAATTTATATTTCAGGCATATGATGACCCTCTGAAGCATATTCTATACAATGGTACTCTAGTTACGTGCACATTCTTTGTCATGTCTTCCTTCCTTCTGGTGTTCAATTTCCTGATTTATACTGAAAATCATCAAGTTAGCCTGTGGGACTTTCCGAAAGGAGTGGTCTTGCGATGGTTGAGGTATTTATACTTATCTCTATGATTAGAGGTTTTCTGTGGTACGTGAAGACTGAACAAATATGTATATCTGTGCTTCACTGCCAACATCAAGTGCTCTAGCCCCAATGGGGCGAGAAGAGTTCCATGTCCGTGATCGATTTTATATACAGCAAGTTGAACAAACTTCTGTACCATTGCTGACTTAAAATTTAGTTAATTCCTCCACATCAAACTTATGACGTGTCAAGCCATTATATGTTGTAACGCTTTTATTTAAATCGAAGAGGATTTCCTGAATTCGGAGCCCTGGGTCTTCGCCCCACAAACGGAATTGTAATTGACACTTCCACAGACTTATTTCCAATCATGACTTTCAGGTTAACACCATCATATGCTCTCATGATAGCCTTGATAGCGACCCTGATCCGTCACTTCGGCAACGGGCCTCTATGGAAGATGGTCGTGGAAAGCGAGTCGATAGCCTGCCAGAAGAAATGGTGGACCAATATTTTATACATCAATAACTACACGTTTGATGACGTCAATTGCATGCCGCAGTCTTGGTAAGTTCTATACTATGAAGCGATAGAACTTTGTCTGAATATTTCAATAAAACAAGTTTCGGATGCTTTGCAGCAGTCGTGGTCACGGAGCGAACACGTCGGATTGTAGTTAAAGTAAATATATTTTGATCTACAGATAATACTTTGTCTGGATATTTACCAAGTAATAATAATTCACACTACATTAACATATTTTAAATAAAACACTTTTACGCTTTAAAAACGCGAAATGCGTTTGGTCATAGTTAACTAATTTTTAACTACGACCGGATGCTTTGCAGCAACCGTAGTATATGTAAAAAATATATATCTCGCGTTTTAAACAGTTAATAGTTTAAATGAGCAAGTCTCTTGCAAAATACAGACATTCCTACGTTAATATATGCGCATCGCATGACATTAGATGTTGAGTGTTATTTAAAATTCGAAAATGAATTGAAAAAAATTTCGATTTTGAACAGAGCAACAGCACGGAAACCTGACGATGCCGGTTCAAGTCCTGCCCGAGTCGAAAAATGTTTCAATTTATTTTCGATTTTTGAATTATATAGTGCCTTCATGTGCAATAACATGTAAAAAGTTTTCAAATGTTAAATGTTGCTTGTCCTAGCGAAAACTGGAGAAGCTTTGCAAAATGGCGACGTGAGTAGTATCTGTTTAAAAAAATACTGGCTAAATCTATTTATAAAAGGCTTATCAACTACATACATAGTTCAACTTACGATATATAATCCTAATAATAATTCTTACTTCTTATCTATCTAACTTAAAGGTATTCAAAACTTTAACTTAATATATTAAATAAAGATTACATAAACATTATGAGTAAAAATAAAAACTACAGATAAAAGGTACAAAAAAAAACGATTAAAATATATGGATGTTAACATTTATAAAATGTATTTGAGCTGACAAAAGACTAGTTGATCCAATTTAAAAACACAATTATACAATTTACACATTGCCTGAATGGTTTAATTTAATCTATATATGTATACTAATATATAAAGCTGAAGAGTTTGTTTGTTTGTTTGAACGCGTAAAACATCGCGCTGTGATTAGTAAAAGCGAAGATACTCGCGTCGTGGCTAACAGCCTAAGTTTATAAAGATGACGGTTTACAAAACCTAATTTGGATGCCCAATATAACGATTTTTGGGGACGAAGTCCCTGGCACAGCTAGTTATCTATATCTCTCTAAATATAAACGTGACGTTTCAGGTACCTAGCCGCTGACACTCAGCTGTTCACCCTAACACTGCTGATACTCCTGGTTGCAAGAACACCTCGCGCCAGAAACATCGCAGTCATCTTGATGTTTATCGTATCATTAGTTGTGTTAGCCGGCATCACATATTTTAATGATCTAGATGCCACGATTATACAAAGCCCTGAGTAAGTCTGTAAATACGAATATCCAAAGCCAGAATAAATCGACAGAGCATCTTGTTTATCTTTTAAATAAAACACTTTAACGGTTTAAAACGCGATATATTAGTAGTACACGGATTTGCAGCAGCCGTGGTCACGGGGAGACCCGTGTCCACGGCTGCTGCAAAGCATCCGAAACGTCGGGCCGAAGTTATAAATCGTTTTCAAATAAGTTTAACTAATATATCGCGTTTTAAACCGTTAAAGTGTTTTATTTCAATGTGTACTACTCGCATAAACTATAGACAGTTTTTGTTTATCTTTACTAATATATAAAGCTGAAGAGTTTGTTTGTTTGAACGCGCTAATCTCAGGAACTACTGAATGGAATTGAAAAGTCTTTTTGGGTTAGAGCATATATTGAGTAAGGCTATAAAACTCCACGATACGACTAATGCGATAGAACATCGGGAAATGTGGAAAAAACGGGAAAAATTATTAATGTTAGTAGGTTTCCGATGTGTACACTGCTAAAACGGTACAAGATAGCCAAGAATATGTATGGAAAAAATATTTCTCTTCAAAAGATTTAAAAAGATGTTTGCCACACTATATGTCTATCTTTCAAGATTAACTTGCAAGAACGACGGGACGCGACCTACGTGGACAATATCTTAATTCTATAAAGAATTGAATAAAAATTTTAATAAAATAAAAAATTTAATATATGAAGTGGAGGTTAGCAAAAACAAATTTGGCCGCCAAAAATACCTATTCTATGCGGACGAAGTCGCTGACACAGCTAGTATGTTATATGGCCGAGGTGTTTTACCTATCATGCTTGTCTAAGGGGGGGGGGAAGGGGGGGGGGGGGGGGGGGGGGGGGGGGGAGGAAGAGGAAAGGAAAGGGGGGGGGGGGGGGGGAGGGCAAAAGGTGGGGTCATAAAAACATCAAAAAATTCTGTACTTAGTCAATTGTACGGAACCCTTCGTTCAATAATCCGGCCCGCACTCGGCTGTATTATTTAAGTCCATTTATTAATCCATCGTTTCAGAACCTACCGAAGGCTCTATGCGGAGAATTATACTTTCCGGTTGAGTTACATTCCTGGCCACGCAAATATATCTGCGTATGTCTTCGGTTTTATCGCTGCAATACTAGTGTATCGCTGGCATGATGAGAAAAAGGATATAAGTAAATATAGAGTACGTATATAATTTTTTTCCTACATAGTTTTGCCTTAATACGGGTTCGAATCCTGGGGAATAAATAAATTGTTTCGGTCGGGCCGGACACAGAAGTCGGATCAATTACTTGTCTATAAATACAACCGATGATTGAAACGGACATAAAGTTGTGTTTGCCCTATGCCCATATTTTAAAAATACGCATAAAATGAATGAAATCGAACCGGATACGGAAATGTGACCAGTAGCTGTAACTCTCTTGCCCCATCTGATCTGTTGATAATTTACCGGGGTTCGAATCCAAAACCTATTGTGCTTTACTATTGAGCTATTGAGGCAGTGAGTGTAACACAAAGTGAGATTCCCAGATAATTCTAGAATTACATTATTATCTTTTACACGTTATTGCACATGAAGGCACTACTACACAGAAAATACAGAAAATTAATATGGCTTTTAAATAAAACACTTTAACGGTTTAAAAAGCGATATATTAGTTAAACTTATTTGGAAATGATTTTTAACTTCGGCCCGACGATTCGGATGCTTTGCAGCAGCCGTGGTCACGTCGTCAAAGTAAAAGCGTAGCAATTTTTTACTTATCGCGTTTTAAACCGTTAAAGTGTTTTATTTAAATGTGTACTACTCGCGTAAACTATAGACAGTATTTAATATGGCTTTTCAGAAATACCTATGGGCATATTGGTTGCTGTGCCCAGCTGGTGTAGCAGTCATCCTGTCTGGTGGACTCTTCTACATAGACGGCGTGGATCCCTCACTTCTATTCAGGACTCTTTATGCCACGTTTCACAAAGTCATCTTCCAATTTTTACTTACGATCTTCATGGTTGGATGCATCTTTAAACTTGACAGTAAGTGTTTAAAATTCAGTTTTCGCTACCTCATTAAAATATTTAGGAATTAATCCACCGATGGCGCTAGAGTAGCAGATTTGACTTCGATTTGACAGACAAACAGCGGGTTCACTGGATGGTAGGTGATATACCCCAGCCTATACCATCTAAACAAGATGCGTTATCGACCTTTTTTGGCTTTGGATTTTCGTAAATCCGCAGACTGAAACGAAAACGAATCAACGACCTTATAAGCCATACATAATTACCAATAGACCAATTAGCCCGTCATAATTAGAGATCTTCAGTCCCCCTGTGACCACGACTGCTGTAAATCAACTTTCTTCAAATGAACCTTAAACTTGTCTGTCCGTCTCTTTCACGGCAAGAAATCAAGTGTTTATATTTCAAATAACATAAATACTTATTCTACTCACTTATTCAAATAACATAAACACTTATTAACACATCTTATTCTTAAATTTTGTATTACTTTCTCGAGAAATCGAGGAGCTATCATCATCTCCTAATGGTGCCGTCTGCTGGATGGCGAAACGTCGAGAACCCCTTCTCGCACACGTCGGCCGAACAGTCCGAAAAACAATAATATGCAATCTTATTCTTTTCTTTTCAGACGTATACCGCCCCATAGTTGAATGGCGAGGCTTCTCTTGGATGAGTCGAGTGTCTTACAGCGCTTTCTTGGTCCACACAGTTTTCCAAAGATGCTTACTTGGTATCCAAATGCGACCTATGTACTTGGCTGACTACTACGCGGTATGTGTTCACAATTATCTGACACCCATCATAAGTTATTTTTAATTTGGTACATTAACAACCAAAATATAATTATACCATTTTTTTTTACTTTTGCCTTTGCAATAGTTTTTCTTAAATTAATTTCTCGCTTATATGCGCAAAGTGTTAACAAATTTATGACTAGATTAAACTTAAATTAAAAAATGTAACTTACCAAATAACAACTACGGCGAAACAGATAGCGCTAGCGTAGCAGTTTTGACATTGACATTAAAGACATCCACCATCTTTAGTCTTCCCGTGACCACAGCTACTGCATAGCATCCGAAATGTCTGAACGTAGTTAAATGTCAAGTTAATTGTGTTTTATTTATAATTGAATTAAGTAAATTTTGTGCCCTTTACAGTCTGTATTGCTACATTCGTCGATATTCAGCTCCTACCTCGTGGGGGCATCTCTGTATTTGTTCGTCGAAGCCCCCGTGGCTGCTTTAATGAAAGCAATACTATCGCCCCCTAAACCGGAAACAGCAGAGGAAAATAAATAATTCTTCCGTCAACAACTAGAATTTCTTGTACATAAACAGGTGTTGTATATAGTCAGATTTTAGATACATATGCGGTGGTTTAAGGGATAGAGAGGGTGCCCCCAGTATCTTGTACATTTGGGGCAATTATAGACTATTAGATGTAGTAGACCACAGATTATAATAGATAATGTAGAGAATGAATAGTACATATACTGTGCAGTTATCTATAATTGTTATGTATTTTTAATAAGGGACTTTATACATATATTTTTTATAATTTTTTTATTTCTACATGCAAAGGTTGCCTGGAAGAAATGCCATAGGCGACAAGGCCGCCTTTATCACAAACAATTTTTATTTTGTAATGTGCAGGTCTATGTTTGTGCAATAAAGAGTTTTATTATTATTATTATATCAAAAATACATGAATATGTAACTTAATAGTGTAAGTCAATAGTTACGCCGCCCTGTTGTAAAAACTTAGTGCAGTATGAGAATTTCTATACTTAATAGATTTATTATTTACATTATATGACATAATGTAGTATATTTTCTTATGCCATTTTTGTATTATACACAAAATTTTACACAAACGTTGTTTTATTTTATCGAAAATGGCAAAAAAAGGTCGACAACGCATTTTATTAGTTACTAATGAGCCAGTACAGTAGTGAGGTACATATGAGCGCAACACAGTATATAATAATAATAATTATTAGTTATAAAAATGTTAAATATTTATATACAGTGTTTAAATTATTGGCATAGTCAATTAATCTGCTATTTGTATATGACGGCGTATCTCGCTGTTACACACGATTTGCTGAAATTGTCAACGTCAATGACAGCTCTAGCGGACCATCGTGTCTATGGTAGCGGGCCGGCCATCTTAACGACACAATGATTCGAGACGGCGCCAGCGCACCACCTTTGCGACGAATCGCTGTATATTTGTATCATTATGACCCTGCTTCTAGAAGTCTTTGTTAAAGTTACAGTTTTTCAATTAATAATAGAGAGAAATTCATATTGATTTTCGAACATTTCGTCGCTTTTGTTTATTAAAATTATATCGATTAAAAAAAAACAAAGTGCCGTTCATTTTAAATAATGAACGAATACAATAAAGGCCCTCCCGCGTCTATATATAAAATCAAGCTCTTCAAGACTGACTATTTTGTGATCACTTGATTAGTAATTTTTTCAATTATCATGCTTGTATATATTAATTGTTTTATTTAATAAAAAACTTCAATGTTGTTAATAAAACAATAATTCGATTTCTATCCAACTGGTGGCACCATCATCCAACTTTATAAAGAAATGAATTAAAGATGGAACAAATAGTAAGATTCTGCAAGCAAAGCGGAAGGTTTGAAGCACGGCGCGAGTTGGATAACCCAAAAATGTCTCTAGCAGGAGGAGATGGGGAAATGGGTGAAATAGTCAGCTGATGGTGTGGACTGATCACCCGGCCTGCTATAGGTGTCCTCGATAGAAAATTAAAATAATAATACACTCGTAATTTTTATAAAGTATTTGAAATTTACAGAAATCCTTTTTTTAATTAAGGCATAAATTAAGGCTCTAAACTAATATTATAAAGCCATCGTATCAAAACTCGGAACACAGGAAATCACTTGCATTTTGACATTGCAAAAACTTTTAATTTATAATTTAATTTTTACTTATTTAAATTTATCCAAAATCTGCTATCCGGGTTCTGCAACCAAAGAACAAAACCTTACGCATAATTAAAACGTTGTACATATTATTACGTGCACATTACATATATGTATGTATAAAGATGTTTGTTTGAATGCGCTAATCTCAGGAACTACGGGTTCGAATTGAAAAATTATTTTTGTTTTGTTTAGTGCATTTATCGAGGAAGGCTCCAGGCTATAAAATAGAGAGAGAAGATACGACGAGAAATGTGAACAACATTGGGAAATTTATTAATCATTAAGGGTTTCCGAGGCGTACGCTGTAAAAAGCTTCACGATACCCAAAAAAATATTATGAAAGAATGACTTCTCAGTAAATATTTAAAAAAAAGTCCGCGACGCTATATTTAAAGACGAGAAGGGTCGCGACTGACGTTGCGGGTAACATGCTTATGAAATGAAGGGACTTGCAAAAATGAATTTGGACACCCAAAATAACGATCTTCACGCACGAAGTCACACAGCTAGTTAAATCATACGAATTATTTCGCGAGCAAAACCGACTTGTTCTTAGCAATTTTTTTTCAATGATCGACGGTCATCTTTAGAAAGAAATAGCAACAAAAACAATATATAAATATAAATACTGTCTATTGAAATCAATTGTTAAGATAATAACATTTTAGTAAGTAACTAGTGTTCTGCGCGGCATATAAGTGATTCAGTAGTGTTTCTTATCGAAATGAAGATTTTTATTTATGCGATATTGGTAGTGAGCATCAAAGCAGTGTTGGGAAGCAAAATCCAAATGAATGGTGGGTAGTCCACAAATTATATCACACACACACACACACAATAATTAACCACCATTATTCAACTGTTTCCACTGCTGGGAATCGTTTCTCTGTTATATTAATCAACAAATTTGTAGTACTTGAATGTTTCAAATACGTTTTTCATTAGCGGAGAACGCATCATATACACCAATAAATATTTATCGTTATAACAGAGATTCTTATATGATTTCTTAAGCTGCAAAGCATAAGACATTGAACCTTAATACGCAAGTGTTAAGGTTGAAATTACATTGCGCGAGAGGTACATGCATCAATAACTTGAAAAATTCGACGATGAGGTGTAGGACTCGGTAGCTCAATTGGTAGAGCAACAGCACGGAAAGCTGACGATGCCGGTTCAAGTCCTGCCCGAGTCGAAAATTTTTTTCAATTTATTTTCGATTTTTAAATTATATAGTGCCTTCATGTGAAAAATATTAATGTTTTCAATCGTTAGTTTTATTTAAATGCACGTAAACTACAGACAGTATTTATTAGATTCCTCCAAGTTAAGTTTAATATAGTTATAAGTAGACAGTAGTAATTTACTATATTTCAAAAAATATTTCACGAGCGGGATTTGAAGCCACGAGTACAGCGTTCCGTTTTGCTCTCTTTCCATTGACGTAACTCTTGCTCAATGTTATTTAAATTAGAATTAAGTAAGATGACTATTATAAAAGGAACTTTGATCGGGTCTACACAACTAGGGAAAAAAGTATGCAAAAACGTAAGTAATTACGGAACTACCTGTCGAAATGAGGAAATTAAAAGTTATTAAAATCTTTCTAATAATACCAATTTACATTATTATTAGAATTTGATTTATTAGCCTTTAGAAAACAAATTCTGGGTTCGATTCCCACCTGTTCTAATTTAATCTGTATTGTGTTAGACTGATGGTAGGTAGGATGGGTACAAATAAACGAAACCACAAATGAAGAAGCAGTAATACAGTGAATTCTCGTTCTGGTTTAACTCTCTGGATTTTTATGTGTCATAATAGATCGACAACGCATCTTGTTACATCTTATAGCTTGGGTATTTTACCTTCAAGTGAGCCCATGTTTGTCCGTCCTCCCGTTGTAAAAAGGTCTTTTAAAGGAGGGTAAAACACTTCTTTACGTAACGCGTTACCCTAACTAATGATTTAACCTAGATAAGTTTAAATAAACATGTGCATCGAATGAAACGAGACGAGTACAAAAATTACATCTTTGATCTCTGTATATCATAGGGCGGACATATAACTGTGTCCGTTTCATATCGATTTTTAATAACATATGAGTATTCAAAATTTTGCTGTCGTATTGCTTTCACAGGAATCAAACTTAGGACCGGGTGTAACTACTTATTATAAGGGTTTATCTATTGATAAGTGTCCGACTTCTGTTCCTGATGTTTGTGAGTTCATTACCCGTTGGATACTTGCTGACAATTGCTCCAACGAAGCGTCATTTGCTCACACGTTATTGATACTGTTGTACATTCCTTTTAAACAGAAGCCCGCGTCCCACAAGTGGGCTTAAGAGGCTGTGAAGGATAACAGTAAAATATCAACTTTATTGTCATATTTTCAGACACGCTTCTAGAATGGTTTCCCCCACTTTACGACTTGGACGAGTGGTCATCATGCCAACACCCCATGGACCAATACTGCATTGTCGACGCTGTGTTGTACTCCAACCAACCTTCGAAACTCCTTGATACTCTTAAGGTAGAGAAAAAGAAGATTTATAAAACAAATGATTTTCGTTCACAAAAGTGAAATTCCGTTTCCCCTCGTTGGGACATGGGGCGAAGACATTTCTGTGTCCGTTTCACTGATCCGTTCTTCAACCAAAAATTGTTTCGGCCGGGCAGGGCACAGAAGTCAGATCAACTACTTGCCTAAATACTATAATCTATAGTTTACGCGAGAAGTGCACATTTAAATAAAACACTTCAACAATTTAAAACGCGATATATTAGTTAAACTTATTTGTCACTTACTTAGTGGTGGCGGGGAGACTCTCCCCGTGACCACGGCTGCTGCAAAGCATCCGAAACGTGGGGCCAAAGTTAAAGATCATTATCAAATAAGTTTAACTAATATATATCGATTTTAATAAAACATTTAAACGGTTTAAAACGCGATATATTAGTTAAACTTATTTGGTGGTCACGGCTGCTGCAAAGCATCCGAAACGTGGGGCCAAAGTTAAAGATCATTTTCAAATAAGTTTAACTAATATATATCGATTTAAATAAAACATTTAAACGGTTTAAAACGCGATATATTAGTTAAACTTATTTAAAAATGATGTTTAACTTCGGCCCGACGTTTCGGATGCTTTGCAGCAGCCGTGACCACCAAATAAGTTTAACTAATATATCGCGTTTTAAACCGTTAAAGTGTTTCATTTAAATGTGTACTACTCGCGTAAACTATAGACAGTATTTAATATATATCGAGTTTAAAACCGTTAAGCGTTTAATTTAAATGTGTATTACTCGCGTAAACCAAAGCCAGTCGAAATCAGGACGAAACTGACAGAAGAACGCTTTAGGAAAGGTCTCGGGTTCTAAATTCAAATCCCGCGGCTACAAAAAAAGATTTGTTCCAACTTTATCAACTACTTTATATCAAATCGATATAAAAGAGAAACAGACATATTGAATTAAATGAAAAATTACAGGAATACTCCGCGGAAACAGCGAAACACTACAATAGAACGCAAATTCACCGGGGCATATGTATTCCCCGGTGTCCAGGGAACAGCACTGATGTGGTGGAAGCAGCACAGTCCTGTATAGATGAGAGCATTCGCCCATATCACCTTGAGGTATCGATTTTAACTTGTTCATATTATGTAAAAGGAAAATTTTCTTTTAATGATGATGATGATGATGGTAGGTGATGTTGACCGTTGTCGACTGAACCAACGAGTGAAGTTTTACTAACATTTTCAGGCAAAAGTGATTTCTGTGAACTGGTGTAGGACAGCTGGAACACAAAGGGCGTCTGGCGGAGCTCGTGCGATGGGGGTCATTGTGGTCACATTGCTTGTAATCACTTTAGTAGCAACTGGGGTCAGTCTCGTTGATGGCAAACAAGGTAAGTCATTATTATGAAAGCTGGGCTAAGTACAGTCTCACCGTGAGCACGGCTGTTCTTGGAACACGCATCCGAAGCGTGTCGGGCCATAGTTTTAAACCGTTAAAGTGTTTTATTTAACTGGCTACCACTGTTTCACATTAAACTGCATTGTTGGTCGCTAATAGCAAAGTATGGCTAATAATAATCAACGGGTCTTGAGTCTGGTCCCCAGCGGGTCCGACATGTTTTTAATTAATTCGGTTCAAGTCCGGATTTCCGAATATCCAAACCCAAAATAGGTAGACAGCGCACCTTGTTTGAATGTTTTATAATATTTAAATATAAAATGAATGCTTATAAAAACAAGAAAAAACGAATAAACAGTTATATTTCAATATGATTTCAGGTCGTCATCGTTTTTAACAATGGAACAAGTTACAAACTAAGTTCACAAACTGTGAATGTGTTTTTCATGATTTCAGGAAACAAAGTGTTACTGGCATTTTCGTTGAAAAAAAATTGGGAACTTTTGACATCGAATAGGCTGAAACAAGAGTCCCGGCTAAAAGACTTCAAATGTTTAGATGGAGTTAAGTTAGTAGTTTTTATTATTTTATTGCACATGATAGCTCAATTGGTTAGGACACGGAACGCTGTGGCTGCAGGTTCAAGTCTTGCCCAAATCGTAACAAAAACACTAGACTACGAAACAGATGGCGCTAACATAGCATATAGATTTGACTTTGACATTAAAGATACCTTGAAGCCCCCCATGACCATGAGTGCTGCAAAGCTTTTGAAATGTCGGCCCGTAGCTAAAATAAAGCATAAATAACCTTCTATAAAATTTCGCGTTTCAAACCGTTGAATGTTTTTATTTCAATGTCCTTATAATTAATTATGTTTTCCTTTTTCAGGGCACTTGGAATACAGAGTGTAATCTTTACTCATGTGGTAATAGTTTCATCTCATTCTTTTACGGACAATCCAGACTTCATTGAGAGGGTATTTCTTTTTTAATATTTTATTTTTTGGATATTTTACCTTTAGGATTTGTTTTTGTCCCCCGCCCATGTTTAATCACTTGTAGTGGTCAAAAATCCAATTAACTATGATGAATAAATCGAACAGTGAAACAGACACAGATGTTCGCATAGTACAGTAGAAAACAAATACTCTTGATAACTTTGACATTAATTAAAGGAATCACAATAAAACTATGACAAATCTATTTAAATAAAACACTTTAACGGTTTAATACGCGATAAATATTGGTTAACATTATTTTTAACTTCGGCCCGACGTGGTCACGGGGAGACTGTCTCCCCATATCGAGGACTGCAGCTTGACTTTACTTATATATCGCGTTTTAAATTGTTTTATTTAAATGTGTACTACTCGCGTAAACTACAGACAGTATTTATTACAAATGTACCCAAAAATCATAGATATTTCTTTTTGTAAACTTTACTGTGTTTTTATTTGTACAACAGCGACTTTTTTGGTTTATTTTCACTTGAGTGTGGCACCGCTGTCCACACTCTAAGGACTTACTGAAAATCAGTCTTAGGCCAATAAAAGGCCTGATATAAACTGAGTAAGATCATATTCTACTAGCAGCACACAACATTATCTTATCCTGTTAATATTAAGTTATTCTGTCAAGGCTAAATTATGTTTTGTTGTTTATGTTTTAGTAATAAGTGTAATATATGTTTTTGTGTGCCCTAGTACCTAGTAGTAGTAGTAGTAGTCAATAAATTTATTTCTTTCTTTCTTTAATTATTCTATAATAATAGAGTATGTATCTAACTAAGAACATTATGGAAAGGCGGGAAAAATAATTATGAGTTCAACAACTTTTATAATGAATATTTCTGTCTTTTAGTTATACGACCAGCTACCATGGAAAGTGCTGATGAATTCGCCGCTGTTCCTCCAAGTCTTCTTCTCCATGACTGGGTTCATCACATCATACTTCGTACTTATTGTGGCGGAGAAGCGCACTATTAATTTGGCAGCCTGTGTCTTTTCTACTATATCTCGATACATTAGGTAATGTTTGAAGTTGGAAAGTACCGATCATGTGCATCCGCTTATGTCTTTTTTGTTTTTATATACTGACACGAGCCATTAATTTACGGACCAAGATTTTTTTTGATAGAGGGGGCAGAGAAGCATAGTGTATCATTTGATAGTACCTGAAATCCCCTACCATATAACATATAACAAACTGCGCTATCGACCTATTTTGTCTTTGGACGTTTGGAAATACACAGGCTGAAACCGAAACGCGATTTGACTTCACGGCCATTTCATTGTCATTTCTACCCATTTCATATCGAGATTTCCTAACGAAATTCAACATGTTTCAGAAAAAATATAATTAGATAAGAAAGATATTGGACACAGTGGGGATCGGACCCACGAGCCGTTGATTAATAGCTTTTGCTTCTATTTATTGTATGCAAGGTTTTATGGATAAAAAGCGGAATACCTAATCACAGGAATACAGGAACACAGGAATACAGGAACACAGGAATAATTTCACAGAGTGAAACTGAAACGCCATTTAACTTTAAGGTTTTTCATCTGGTTGTTCTTGCCCAGGACGCAATTTCAACGCGACATTCCTACCACCCATATCCAGATTTCCGGGCGAAGTCCAGCATGTTTTAGATCAATTATAAATTGATGTTTCTAATCTAACTAACCGATTGTTGGACCCGATGGGTTCACGACCCGTTGATGATTAGAGATGATTATATAATAATATATCCTCTGCAGGCTGGCCCCGGTAACATTGTTCGCGCTATGTTTTACAATGTTCTGGTTTCCACTGTTGGGCTCAAGCCCCCACTGGACCTGGCTGGTGGAACGGGAAGCTAACTCTTGTTCACAAGTCTGGTGGTACTTTCCCTTCTTCGGGCAAAATTTTATAGACACAAAAAATTACTGTTTGGGTCATTTGTGGTAAGAATTCTTGCTTTTCTTATCTTTAATTCTTTCTGGTGTGTTGTGTTTACATTTTAGCAGATTAAAAAAATGTAAAGCTGTTAACTACGTGCCTACCATATTAACGGAGGGCATACGTTGTTCAGATCATTAACTAGATTGACTGACAATTATTATTGTGTGATTGTCATGTCCTTTGTCATCTACTAGTTTCATAAGCAGAAAGAGCGCTTGGTTGTTTAATATGAAACGACTTTTGTCCTTATTTAAATGAAAACACTTTAACGGTTTAAAACGTGATATATTAGTTAAAACAAATTAAAAAAATCATTAGTACGCCGTTTTGATACGTGATTCTTATAAACTATACATGTATATTAATGATTATATTTTAAAGGTATGTCGGAGCTGATATGCACTTCCACATCTTCGGAATGTTGTTACTCGTGGTGTTACTTCGCTTCAGATGGCTGGCGATTCCGGTGCTTTCCACCATTTTTATTTCTATTGGAGTAGCGTCAGGAGTTGTCGCATATATTTATGGGCATATGCCGATAATCACGGGACAGCCTCCCGAGTATGTATCCCAAATACCTATACATATATTAGTTTAAGCTAATGGAAAAAAATTAAATAATAAATGTATAATTGGTAATACATGTACGAGTCGAATCCACGACGAGTGTTTCTGGTACAGGTTGAGTCCCATTTGTAAAATAACCTAGCCTTGTCAACGACTTCATCCGCGAGAGTCGTTATTTTGGGCATTCGTTTCTGCAAATCCCTTCATCTTTATAAACCGAAGCGGTTACCCACGATGCACCCGATTGCACCCGAGCGAAGCCGGGGCGGGTCATTAGTAGAATTATAAAAAAAAATATTGTATAAAATGCAATATGCAGTAGTTAATTTATATTTTTAACTACTGCCCGACGTTTTCGAGCCACCCCTGAACCCTTTTTAAAACCGTTAAGTATTTTCTTTCAATGTGTTGGTAAAGTACAGACGATACTTTATGATTTTTCCAGAGTCCTGAGGACGCTTTTCGCTGACTCGTCAGTAATTCCACACCTATATATTGTACCCTGGGTGAATCCAGGTTTCTTCGCCGGGCTCATTATTGGGTTTATTCACTATCGCAACATACAGAAGGGGATTAAACTTAGTGAGATATTGGTGAGTTTTAGGCACTTTACGTTTCAATTCTTTTATTTTCAATTCAAGAACTTCGATACCATTTCGTTATTCTCACCTTGATAAACGAAATTAATATATACATGTTGTTGGTTTGTAAATTTACCATATTCGCAATGTAAGTCCTTTAAAAATGCCCTTTTCCCCTGTTGGGGAAAAACGAGCAATGCAATGGTAGGGTTTAACAATTGCCTTTTAGTTTAATAAAGTCTTATTTATCACTGCAAGACTGTAAACCATAGCCCAGAGATGCACAGACCAAGGCCCCGCCTGTCAAATACTGATGGCCCGCCGACAGCAAAAGTAATATTCGAATTAATAAATTATTTTTCAATTTTAATACATTATTATCGATTCTTAATAAGCCCGTGCATCCTTGCCATTCACCATAGACACAAAACTATAGAGTATGTATAGATAATATACTATAACTATATAAACATAGATAATATATTTTGTTATAGTGGTTTAACATACTCTTCAAAATATCCCTCCACCTGACAGCACTAGTGGCCGCTCTTGGAGTTTTCTTCTTGGCTGACAACAGCCCACCACTCTGGGTTGGGGTGGTATACACTATGTTCGATAGAACGTTGGTTTCAGTATTTTTAAGTATTTCTATTTTGGGACTCGTTAGTAAGTGCAAATGTAAGTATCTTTATTTACTATCTTATGGTGTAGAAAAGCACAGTGAGGCAAATTATTAAATTTACTTACACCCTTGTTTAATGATGGTAAAGTAAACAGCTTGATCAGATGAATTTTATATTTTAGTAAAGTTTGCAGAAGCTAAAAAGCTTTGGCGGCCATTTTGTTTTTTGAGTTTTCGGTCGTAATTGACATATTTTTTGGGAAGTTGTGCATCACAATTTAAGACTTAGCTTAGTCTAGAAACGTAATATTAAATATGACCGAGTAACGGCGAAAAGAATTTCTCAATTGCGACAATACTATTTTATTTATTTATTACAGCTATATGCATAATGTATACCACAGAAAATACAAGAGAAGAAAAAACTTACGTACTTATAAATTAAATACGGTTTTACCGCTTACCGGCGTTCTCTTCTAGGCAATCTGAAGTGCAAATTTTATTGTTGTTATAGAGAAATTCTTCTCCACCTAAAAAGCTATGATTTTTAGTGTCTCATACTTGACTGGTACAAGTGTGAAAATTCCCTTCAATCTATTTGAATGTATGACAACAGTATAAATAAATACTGTCTATAGTTTACGCGAGAAGTAAAACACTTTAACGGTTTAAAACGCATTATATTAGTTAAACTTATTGAAAATGATTTTTAACTTCGGCCCGACGTTTCGGATGCTTTGCAGCAGCCGTGACCACGGCTTAAACACTATAAATAATTTATTTCTTTATTCTAGCATTTCTACTGACGGCGCTGTCATGGAGGGGATTCGACGTATTAGGCAGACTTACATACTGCGCTTTCGTCATCCACTTCATTATCCTTCGCTTCATCATGGCGAACAACACCACACTCATTCACATTAATTTATTTTCCATAGTAAGTATAGAATGAGATTAAATTAATTGGTCTAATGGTAGTAATGTATGGCTAGTAATAAACGGGTCGTGGATTCGATCCCCAGCGGGTCTAACGTGTTTCTGGGAGAAGAGATGAAGACAAGACGTGGAGCTTAATCGCGTTCCGGTTTCAGTCTGTGGATTTCCGAATATCCGAAGCCAACATACGTCGACTTCGCATCTTAATTAGATGGTATAGGCTGGGGTATCTCACCCACCATTATGTGAACCCTATGCTTGTCTATCCTCCTCTATCATTAAAAAAAGGACGGTTTTAAACGCGAAATTTTATTTACTTGGTCACAGCTGCTGCAAAGTACATAAAAGTGGGGCCGTAGGTACTATAAATATGTCAATTAATATATTTCGCGTTTTCAACCGTTAAGTGTCTTTTTTAAATCTACCCGAGTAAACTACAGAAATAGGATGTTAATTTTTTTTCTTAAAGATTTTATAAAGTAAAACCTTTTTTTTTCAGGTATATTTTCAAATAATTACAACAGTACTAACTTACATAGTTAGTATACCTGTGCATTTGATAATTGAGCTGCCCTTAATTCAAGTATGGAAAGCCACAGTCGAAGTCCCCAGGCCATCCTCCGCTGAACCCACAACTGAAAAGGGCGACCACACAACAGCAAATGGAGAAAATGTTGCGTAAAAAAATTGATGTAAGGGAGCTGTGGCTAAGTTGTTGTTTAATCTAAATATTAAAATGTATACGATAATATATGATTGAAATGAATTATTTTAATATTTTTTTTACCTGCTGCTTGAGAATTAATATCTACACCCGAAATAGGTCAGCTACACTATAGCAATTAGCATGTTACCTTCTCTCAAAATCTTTAAGCTAGTCTATCCTCCTCTGTTATATAAGATACACAAACATATCAAAGGGCCCTTTTTCTTTTACTTGGACGAATCGACGCCCCCGCCTGGCCACAACGAGTGGCGGGGGGAGTGTGGGGGTCGGCCAGCTTGACCACTACCCACTAAACCTCTAAGAGCCCACGGGAGACTTGCCGGACGCGAGCGGGCGGTTAGTTGATATCAAAGGGCCCTGCGTCAGGATAAGTTGCGCACAGTTATGCTACAACCCCGATTTTACAGTAAAACCCTACTTTAAATTTCGGAAGTCTAGAGAATGTCGAAAATAATAAAATGTATATATATATATATATATATAATTGTACCTGGTAAAGGTAGGAAAATACAGTAGTGTAACAAAAAGCAAAATGTTTTAATTTTTTTCATTAACTAGCTGTACCCTGTATTATTTCGCCGTAACACATAGTGACTGTTGGGCTAAGAGATGAGGAACGAAACGAATATCAAAGTACATATGAGTAATTTGTTTTAATACTTGTGAAAATACAATGTTTTTGTTTTGCCACATGTCAACGGCAACCAGTGACAGCGCCATCTGCCGCAAGCGAGAAAACACTCGCTGACAACAGTAAACGTTTTTGGGACGTATTCATCACTATGGGATTCCGACGCTAAAACGGTTTCAAAATATCCAAAAAATAAGTATGAAAGAATGAATCCTCTTTAAATGATGACACTATCGACCTTATTACAAAAAAATACTTAAACCAGAACTGCGGAGTCTTGGTTTAACTCTTAAACCATGGTCTAAATAAATCTAAGTTAGTGACATAGTTAGTCCACGCGGCCAGTATTTCACGCGGACGAAGTCGCTGATACAGCTAGTTCGGAATATATATCATGCTAAAATTCCAGCTCTAATTCAATTTTATCAATTTTGAAGCGTACCTGATCCAACACAACATATATAGATAAATCCTTACTAGTAATCGATGAACAAAAAGTAATAATATCCTGTCAAGAACATAAATACGAATGAGAGTAAAGTTCAGTCTATACTAAAATATAAAACTGGAAAATTTGTTTGTTTGAACGTGCTAATCTCTAGAACTACTGATGGAAATTACAAATGTTTGTGTCGGTTCGAACGTTTATCTAAGAAGGCTTGAGGCTATAAAACATCAGGCTGCGACCAATAGGAGAGTAAAAAAGAGAGTGGAGTTGAGAGATGTGAAAAAAATGGGGGAAGTTATTAATTATGAGGGCTTCCGTCGCGTGCGCTGCGAAAATGGTTCGAACCCAAAAAATATGTATGAAAAAATCGTTCTCCTTTAAATGCACTAAAAAATTGTCCGTGACAATATCAAAAATCAAAGTCATATTTAGGTGCATATAGTGATAACTTACTTCTGGAAGTAAGATATATTAACACCAGCCTTTATTAATATAGAGTTAAACAGACAAGAATAAGGTCCATGAGAGGTGAAATAAGGGTCTTATACCTAACATCTATACAAGATGCGCTATCGACTTATTTTAACTTTGTACCTTCGCAATTTATGTTTTTCTATTGTCTGTATAAATGTTTAGACATGCATATTATCAGAATTAATTAACTATGAATTTATAAAATTACTTAGTTAATGAAACCTGCCAGGGTCAAATGTAACTTACTTCAAGATACGGTCTGTAGTTTACGCTAGTAATACCCATTTAAATAAAACACTTTAACGGTTTAAAACGCGATATATTTTCGTTAAACTTGTTTGACAAAATATTTTTAACTATCGGCGTTTCGGATGCTTTGCAGCAGACGTGGTCACGGGGGTTATTTAAATTACTTCAAGATTTTTTTTTAATAACAGCAATTCTTGTATATATCCTTGTAAAATAAAGCAAAGAAATAGAGTATACCACTTGTTCATATTATTATTTTGTCCCTATAAGTACATACTTGGATTTAGATCTCCATTCTTTTTACGGCCAAGCAAAGCACAAGTTTTGTTTTGAACTCGGCTTTTTTACAACACGCCCACGCATCGCAATTTATCGCCCTAGTCTTTGATTTAATTTGAAAGGACAGACCAACAGAGATTCTACAATATTATTTTATTTTTATAATATTGGGAAAACTTAACAGCTAATAGTTATAAATAGTTTAGAATAGGAAGAGTAGAGTAGTAAAGCTAGGGGAAGTTTTCACTTATAGAATATACTTACTTATAGAAGAATATTATACGACCATATCACTAAATCAAAAATTAAAAGCTGAGTATGATGAACCGTGTCACGGGGAGACCTCTCCCGTGCAAAGCAGCAGCAGCCGTGGTTCCTGCAAACCACGGCTGCTGCAAAGCATCCGAAACGTCGGGCCGAAGTTAAAAATCATTTACAAATACGTTTAACTAATATATCGCGTTTTAAACCGTTAAAGTATTTTATTTAAATGTGTACTACTCGCGTAAACTGTTACTATAGACAGTATTTAAAAAGGGAGATGGGAAGTCATACACAATATTATACATAAAATTTGTACACTTTGATCTGCAATAATCATTATAATTACTGTTTGAAATAGGAATAGTTACTTAGTGTAATAGGAAAAAATACGCTTGTTCTAAACGAAAGTTATCGGCAAAAACTTAAAGACATAATGTTACACTAGCTTTGCCCCAGGCTGTGTGCGTTAATACCATTTTAAGTTAATAAATTTGTTCACAACAGATCGCTAGTCAAAATATCCCCTTAGTACTTAGTATAAGTAGCACACTTTCAAATAAAACACTCTCAACGGTTTTAATCGCAAAATATATAGGTTGACTTATTGTCAATTTGTGCAAGTGCAAGACTGCCCTTATAGATAAATGGTTAAACATGTTGCTCACTGCATTAAGCGCAGGAGGTTCTGGGTTCGAATCCCGGGGAAACAATAAATGTTATGTCGGGCAGGGCACAAAAGTTTGATCAACTACTTGCCTCTAATTAAAAAAATCAATTAGTGAAACGGACATTGAAATGTGTTCGCCCAATTATCAGCGAGGGAAATGAGATTTTGCTTTTTTGCTGCAAAGCATCCGAAACGTCGATTGTCATTTAAATATATTAGTAATAAGTTATATAATACATTTCGCGTTTAAAGCCGTTAAAATCCAACTACCAAACTACATTACATCTTATAACTATCTTCAATGTACAGATTACGTCTTAGCAGTTAGTTTAATTATAAAAGTTAAATATATCTAAATTTAGAGTAAGTCCAATATAATTTAATTGGTACCAACATTAATTTTTTCCTTTAAATCACGATACATTCGAACGAACTAACAAAAAAGGTACATAAATATAATTCTAAATTAATTCAGAGCAACAATACGAGAAGTTAGTTGTGGTGGACGGGCGTACAAACGGCTCCACGGTGTGGTGAGGGGCTGAAAACTGAAAAACTGAAAATGAAGTTCCTAATTTTCGTTCTTGTAATAGTGAGTTTTGAGGGAGTTATTGGAAGCAAAATAGAAATTAACGGTCGGTATACTTTAAATTTTTGTATTATCTGTACTTCACGCAAATAGTACACATTTTTAATTACGGTTTAAAACGCTGAATATATCAGATAATATATTTACAGTTATTTTAACTACGTTTCGAATGCTTTGTAACAGGTGACCACGTTCCTGCAAGGATAACTTATATATTTCGCGTTTTAAACCGTTAAAGTGTTTCACTTAAACTTAAAACTTATGTATATATATTATCTTCCACCTTTGTAGCTCTGCAAAAACGTTTAGAGGTATTGCTTAGCATTGACTAAAACAGGAAAGCCTAGGGTTCGAATTCAAATTAAGAAAAATTGTTTGGGTCGGGCCGGGCACAGAACTCTGATCAACTACGTACCTTTAACACGGATCAAAGACTCCATCACTGAAATGAACACAAAAATATGTTTTTCTCATTTCCCGGGGAAACGGGGTTTCCCATTAGTATATAAGTGGTTAAACACTGTCTATAGTTTACGCGAGTAGTACCTACGCGTATATATAGTATATTACTTAAAATCATTTGAAAATGATTTTTATTTTCCGCCGGACGTATCGGATGCTTTGCTTGCAGCAGCCGTGGTCACGGGGAGAAACACAGATTTTGAATCAACTTTTTAAGAGAACTTTTGGGTGTACTTCCGAAAAGCGCATACCGCCGATCGTTCTGAAATTTGGTATACTTATGTATTTTGACCTCCTAATCACGAATACCATAACGAAAATTGGCGCAAACGCCGTTTTGAATATGAAAATCGAAAAAAAAACTCTTTACGTTCAGTGTGTCTAATCACGCATTTCTAACCAATGTAGACTATTTGAGCTTTTCCCGAAAAGGGTGTGTGTATGTGTTTGTGTGTGTGTAACCATTTTTTACCCATAGCGATCCAAGTTCGTCAAAGCGTTGGAGGTTGCATGGCCGAAAAGCGCAGACTATTCGCGTTATCTACAATGCACCACGTGGAGGTTGTCTGTCTAGCATTCCTGGCCGTAGCATAAGGACCGTTTTGTGTGTGTGTGTGTGTGTAGTGTGATTTTCATTGATTCACCAATAACCTAAACGTTGCACATGTCCGTTATACAATTTCAACTTTGTGGTGATTTTCCACTGTGGTACATGAATGTGGTGCCGCTATAGTAGTCAAACCTGCATTTTCCATTTACTTTCGGCTGTCAGATACAAACTGCGTATATTTTTCTTTATATTAGTCGAAGTCCGAGAATGTTTTTTACTGTAATAGTCGGCCTATGGAAATATTTGCCGCTTTTGTCGATAGACTTGAGATCTATTCCCGCTATAGTAGCCTAATTCTTGAGTGGTTTTTTGTTCTCCTAATTAATCGACCTGGGAATATTTCCCGCTGTAGTAATTACATTTCGTGAAATTTTTTTGATTAGGCACACTGAACGAAAAGAGGTTTTTTTCATATTCAAAATGGCGTTTGCGCCAATTTTCATTATGATATTCGTGATTAGGAGGTCAAAATACATAAGTATACCAAATTTCAGATCGGTCGGCGGTATGCGCTTTTCGGAAGTTTATCCGAACTTTTCAAGACAACTTACATAATTATGATTAAAAATCGATTTTAGATTTTTTTTAAATTCAGGACTTGAACTGGGTCCATAGGTTACGTGCCGTTGCTTTAACCAATTGAGCTACCGTGTCCTTCAACCTATTGTTACTTGAACTTCTTGCGTATTATAATTACAACCTAAACACTTAAAACAGTGAAATCCCGTTTCCCCCTCGTGGGGCATGGGGCGAACGCATTACTGTGTCCGTTTCACTGATTCGTTTAACGGGGAAGTCGTTGATCAGACTCCTGTGCCCTGCCCGACCGAAACAATTTTATGTTTTCCTGGGATTCGAACTCGGGATCTCTCGCGTTTAACGCAATGCTAAGCAATACGTTTAACCATTTGGCTACAAAGGCGGTCAACGTAAACACTTGTATTTTGTAAAAACATCTAGAATTTTCGTAGCACGTTTGTTCAATTACTTAGCTAAAGAAAAAGTTTACAATCATATTATGATTTATTGTTTTTATGTCAGATTTAATAAATAAAATAAAGTTTATCATATTTCACTGGATTTCACAAACAATCGGTTCATTAATTCACATGTAATTTCAAATTATTAAAGTAATATTGTTTCAAATAATATGGTTAAAATTATTATTCAAATATTAACTTTATATCGAAATTTTTATTGTTCCAAATTTGAATTTATATGGTTTATCACTTACACTAGCTTTGCCAGCGACTTTGTCCACTAAGAATATTTATTTTGGGCATCCAAATTCGTATTTGCAAACCCCTATATCTTTATAAACTTAAGCGGTTACCCACGATGTCAGTCGCGTCCATTCCCGTCGTCCTTACAAGTTAATCTTAAAAGATAGACATATAGCGTCGTGGAATTTTTTAGATCATTTAAAGAGGAATCATTCTCTCATACATATTTATTGGGTCTCTAGAACCGTTTTTGCAGCGTACGCCTCGGTAACCCATAATAATGAATAATATTCCAAATTTTTATCACATTTCCCGCTGTGTCTTCGCCTGTTTTAGTCACAGGGTGCTGTTTCATTGCCTATAGCCTTACTCGATAAATGCTCTAACCAACACAAAAATATTTTTTTTAATTCGTACCCGTAGTTCCCGAGATAAGCGCGTTTAAACAAACAAACAAACTCTTCAGCTCTTCAGCAGCATTAGTGTAGATTTACGTAACTTTTAAAATATATACTTGGAATGAAAAATTGTTTTGTGTGTCATAAATTTAAATGTGAGAATAAAATTAATTTCTATGTAAGTCTAGTGTGCTTATATATTTGCGTTTAAGAGACTGGGACTTCGACTCACGGTCGTGCAGGAAACAAATTTTTTGGTACATTTTGTAAAGAACGAAATTGTTGTTTAAGCAGAAAATTCGTTGTGCATAATCCGAATTATTTTTTCAGATACCCTAATAGAATGGTTTCCGCCACTTTACGCACTCGACGAATGGGCAACCTGTCAACACCCCATGGACGAATATTGTTTAGTGGACGCTGTATTGTACTCCGACAAGCCATCCAAACTTCTGGACACTCTGACGGTAATTGAACACTTAGAAACATATTGAAACGCAAATAACGACCCGACGCGCGATGTTTTGGAGGTTTTTCATCACGGGAAAATCAAAATGGTGTATCGTTGTCAAAAAATTGCTTAAGAGTTTTTGGATTTAAGGCTACGTTGTTAATTGGACCGCCTCTGTAGCCAAATAGTTAAACTGTTGCCTTGCATTCCGTTAAGCGCGAGAGAACATGACTTCGAATCCCGGGGAAATAATAAATTGTTTCAGTCGGCACAGAAGTCCATGCTACTTGTCTGCAAATAAAACCGGTCAGTGTACCGGACATAGAAAAATGGATCCACGAAATCAGGATTTCACTTTTTTGACAATTGACCGATCCACTGTGTTAGTATGTTAGTTACAATGTTCTTAAAAACAAGTTAATATGGTTAAAGTTTATATTAGAGGTGTCAACTAAAGGTATTATGAAGTAACGCCAATGAAAAACTTTTCTCTACCAATTCCCACTTCACAGCTGTGTCGGCGACTTCGTCCGCGTAGAATTGTTATTTTTGCCATCAAAATTTGTTTTTGCAAAACATCTTTATGGAAAGCTTTAAGCTGTCGTCCACGCTGTCGGTTGCGTCCCGTCGTTGTTGCAAGTTAATATAAAAAGATTATTTAGATTATTTAAGTAGGAATTATTCTGAATACTGTCTATAGTTTACGCGAGTAGTACACATTTAAATAAAACACTTTAACCGTTTAAAACGCAATATATTAGTTAAAATTATTTGAAAATGATTTTTAACTTCGGCCCGACGTTTCGGATGCTTTGCAGCAGCCGTGGTCACGGGGAGAGGCGAAACGTCGGGCCGAAGTTAAAAATCATTTTCGAATAAGTTTAACTAATATATCGCGTTTTAAACCGTTAAAGTGTTTTATTTAAATAGGAATTATTCTTTCATAATTATAATCTTTGGGTATCTTGAGCCGTTTTCGCAGCGTACGCAACGAGAACCCACAAGGATGAATAGTGTCTGCGTTTCTTTTCTTTCATTCGTTGTGGAGCAATATTTGTAGCCTATATCGAGCATTTCCACGATAAATTCTCTAACCAACACAAAAATAATTTTTCAATTCGAACCGTACTTCCTGATATTACCGCGTTCAAACATACAAACTCTTCAGCTTTATATATTAGTATAGATAGGTCAAGCTAATAAAAGTCTATTTCCTCTATGAATTTCCAGTTTTTTGTTAATGAAGAAATAAATTTGACCTTCATTTAACCTTCAGGCTTACTCGTCAGAGGTGGCCAAGCACTACAACCGAACACAAATACACCGAGGCGTATGCATGTCCAAGTGTCCAGTGAACGGGACAGATAAGTGGGAAGTTGCCCAGTCCTGCGTGAACAGAAGCATTCAGCCATATGACCTAGAGGTAAATACTTTGACATCCACAGACTGAAAGCTGCTTGGCTTTTTCATCTGTTGATAGTGTTTCCTGATCCGTGCGGAATTTCGATATAGCTAGCACCCACTTAATATCCAGATTTCTAGACGAAGCCCTACATGTTTCAGGAAATATTAATTGATTTGAAACATATTGGACCTGGAGGAGATTAAATCAACGACTCGTTGATTATAAGCCGTATATGTGAATTTAACTGTTTTTATAGGCTAGAGTGACGTCAGTGAACTGGTGCAGCACCCCAGGAGGTCAACGAGCGTCGGGTGCAGCGCGCGCCATGGGGGTGATTATGGTCACCTTACTTGTTATGACTGTAGCAGCAACGGTAGTCAGTCTTGTCGATTATAAAATGGGTAAGGAATCCATTCCAGGAGTATGGAATCTGATACATTATGAAAACTTGTTTCATATTGCATTTTTGTTAACAATTTGTAGCCTATGCAAATAAAACACTTTTAACGGTTTAAAACGCGAAATATATAAGTTAATTTATTTACAACTTATTTTAACGGTGCCCCGACGACGTTTCGGATGCTTTGCAGCATCCGTGACTTTGGATGACTGTATCTGCCTGTTTTTTGTTGACAAAACATTTCGCGTATTTAACCGTTAAGTTTTACATTTCAAATGAAATCAAAATTTGAGTTTTACTTTCTTTATCCGCAAATAATGTATTATCTATTCACGATTAGTTGTATACTTTTTAGGAAACAAAGTGTTGATGGCGTTCTCCTTAACCAAGAACTGGCAATCATTGTTCAGCGGTAGACCTAGTAGTGAGGCAAGGTTTCGAGACTTTAACGTTTTGGATGGAGTTAAGTAAGTATATCATAGTCTAACATAAACGTGACGCCATTACCCCAATGGTCAATAATTTTGCAAATAAATTATTATCCATCTGAACATTTCCAAGCCGAGGCATTGTTTTTTACGATATTTAAACCGGAATACCGAAATTTTGGGTAGGATTTGGTTCTTTCAAATTTTGACATTTACCCCTTCACTAGCTGTGACAGCGTCTTCGTCCGCATTGGCATCCAAATTTGTTTTTGCCAATCTTCTCTCCATCTTTATAAAACTTAAGATATTACCCAACGACGTCGGTTGCGTCCCGTAGTTCCTGCAAGGTAATCTTACAAGATAAACATATACTGTCACGGATATTTTTTCAGATCATTTATTATTAGTATAGATGGTAAGAAGTTTATATGGCATTATATAAATTTAAAATCACATTTACGACCCGGCGGGACATAACCGGCATCTACAGCGTTGTGTGTGCTAATTGAGTGTGTGCCAATTGTGTGTTAAAACTACTCGTGTTTTTTTCAGTGGTAGTTTAATTTTGATGTCTTGTTTTGAATTATATATTATTCGTTAGATACTAAAAATCGATTTGGTTACACAATTTATGGGAAAAACTGGACTGTGAATTTTTTTCTTTTTTTATATTTTGGGGTTAGCCGAGTTCCACACACTGAGCACTCTTAAATAGTAATAATTGTACTTTACCAGAACCAAAATACTGTAAAAGCTTACTGCGCAAGCGTTTCTTAAAAGATGTGTGTGCGCTCTTTTACTAATTCACACTTTATTTTTCAGGGCTCTAGGTATTCAAAGTGTAATATTCACACACATTATGCTCCTCCAAGCGTATGCCTACGTTGATAATCCCGATTTTATAGAGAGGGTAAGGATAGTTAATGTAGTAACTATAAGTAGTTTGTAAAAAACACTTTTAAAACTCTACAAAAGTTTAAGAGTGTCTATGATGTGCATGGGGCGAACACAATTTTGTGTTCGTTTCTCTGATGATTGTTTTAACAGGCAAGTAGTTGATCAGACTTCTGTGCCCTACCCGACCGAATTTTTTTTTGTTACCTGGTATTCGAACCCAGGACCTCTTGCGAATAACGAAAGTTCACGTAAGGATCCCAAATTTAAAAAAAATATATAATCTATCCTAAATACTGTCTATAGTTTACGCGAGTAGTACACAATTAAATAAAACACTAACGGTTTAAAACGTGATATATTAGTTAAACTTATTTGAAAATGATTTTTAACTTCGGCCCGACGTTTCGGATTCTTTGCAGCAGCCGTGACCACGGCTAACTAATATATCAAGTTATACTAATATACTGTTTAACTAATATATCGCGTTTTAAATAATTAAAGTGATTTATTTAAATAATTTATCCTATTTTCTATTGGTGAGTTTTTCAAATCGGCAAAGTGATTTTTGAGTTTATTCAAAACAAACATACACACAAAATTACAAATCATTATAATATTAGTGTAGAATATATTCAAGTTTTCTGTTTTGAAATTTGAATATTTTTTTCATGTACTTTTTGTACTGTCATTATATAGATTAAAAAATAAATTTAGTTTATTTATTATTAAATCATGCGCACAAAACTTCCTTTTTCAACAGCTCTTTCACCATTAAAGCTATTAATCTCTGGAGCTCTCTCCCACTGATATCAGAAAAGCTGAATCTCTCTCTTCTTTCAAAACCTTTCAGTATATATATATACCTATATATTTTACCTTTCAATTTCCCCTTTGCACCACCAACCAAAGTTCCCTTTTTGTTTCTCCCTTCACTTCAGGTCTGAAAGAGATCTCTGTTCAGTGATAAGGCCGCTTTTTATTTATAAACTAGATCATTAGTTTTTGTATTCATATAACAAGTCCTGCGGTGTTTATAATTAATAATGTTAAATAAATAAATCATAAATAAGTAAGCGTACCGTGCTTCAAGTTTTCACTTCCAACGGCACTTGTAGCTTGTAACCAGTTTGCATTTATTTCAGATATATGACAAGCTGACTTGGAAAGTGGGTATGAACACCCCACTCTTTCTCCAAGCCTTCTTCACGATGACTGGATTCATGACGGCTTACATGACACTTGTCATAGCTGAAAAACGCAGGATTTCCTTTACAGATTGTTTGTTTTCCATTATTTCCCGGATAATCAGGTAAATCGATTATAATTTAAATAACGTCCGTAGTTTACGCGAGTATAAATAAAACATTTAAATAAAACACTATAACGGTTTAAAACGCGATGTTTGGGTTAAACTTATTAAAAAGTTATTTTAGCAACGACCCGAGTTTTGGATGCTTTGCAGCAGCCAGTGGTCAAGGGGAGACACGCCAAAATGTCGGGCTATATGGCTCGCGTTTTAAACCGTTAAGTGTTTTATTTAAAATAAGTTGTTTAAAAGTATATAAATGATCAGTGAGCATTATGCGATCACATCAAACGCTAAAAGCTAAAAGTAATTATTGTTGGCCAAATGTTTCCCAGTCAGTTTTCTCAGATGTTTTTTTTATTGGACCCAAGGGACGCTGAGGCAGATCCAAAACCAAAATAGACCCAAATACATCCAAATTGTGGATTAGATAAAAAACAAAAAACTTCTTTTCGATTTTCCTCATTACTACGTTTTTGTATGTCTTTGGGACTTTTGTAAAACCCGGTTTGGTGGAACCCGGACCTCGTAATCTAGAGTAGAATTTACTAACCACTGCACACGAATCGTTACTGTTGTACTTTCTCGGGATTCGAACACAGGACGCTTATTGCAATGCTAGTCAATGCTCTTGACCACTTGAATCTTACTTCAAACTAGCTGTGTCAGCATTCCGCATAGAACAGTTATTTTGGCTATCAAATTGTTTTTTATCCTCCGTTCAACTTAAAAATTCAGAAGTTGTTACCCACGACGTCGTCAGTCAGTCGTCGTTCTTAATTAATTAGTCCGGCTTCGTTATTTTAAGGGACATAAAATTTGTTGTCCTCCGGTTCGCATGGGAACTAATAAATTTTAAGCTGTCAGTGTTTTGAGCCATAAGCTAGAAACTTGCCTAAGGGGGGGGGGGGGGGGGGGCCTCCCAGAAAAAACCCCAAACCACAAAAAAAAAAGAAATTTTCAATTTAAACCAAAAACTTAGCTCTATACTAACTACTCTAGCTTCTAACTATAACTACTATTGTCAACTTGCGTAACACTTCAGTATATTAATATAAGCTTTCCTCTATTAGGTTAGGCCCGTTAGTGATCTTCACGCTGGGTTTCACGATTTTCTGGTTCCCACTGATGGGATCCAGTCCCCACTGGACCTGGCTAGTGGGAAGGGAGGTTCACGATTGCTCGAACATTTGGTGGCATTTCTTCGTCTTCGGTGAGAACTTCACAGGCACAAAGAACTATTGTTTATCCCATTTATGGTAAGGAATTATTAGTGCAGAATGTCAATAGTTTATGATTAATGATAAGTAAAATATTGTTATATAAAACATATTTAACGGTTTCCAACGCGAAATATATAAATTTTTCTTCAATGCGTCGCAACGTTCGAATTAAGTAGGTATATCTGCAAAATATGTGGTCTAGGAAGACGTAGGTAAATAAAATGCCTGATATATTTCGCCTTTGAAACCGTTAACATTATATTTAATAGACTGTAAAGTCTTACAATCAGTAGAAGTAAATATAAAACGGATAGGAAATTTCAATAAAATAAAACGCATTAACATACTGTAAAAATATACAAACGTGAGGACACCGTTAGTCAATTCTACAAAGACCAGACCAGTTTCGTCAAATACCAACTACGATGGAACAGATGGCGCTAGCCTAGCAGTTTTTACATTAACATTAGAGACTTTCCTCCCCGCATCCCCATGACCTGCTGCTGCAAAGCATCCAAAACGGACCGTAGTTAAAATAATTTGTAAATAAGTTTAACTAATATACTTAGTTTAAACCGGTAGAGGGTTCCATGAGAAAAAATAATGATTTCTTTTCTAAGATAAACTTTTGTCTCCAGGTATGTAGCTATTGATTTGCAATTCCACATCTTCGGGGTCCTGTTCCTCTTCCTGTTCCTTCGTTATAGGCGTTTTGCGATTCCAGTACTAACTGCCATTGTAATAGGAACTGGATTGGCAGCTGGTATCGTTCATTATAGATCCAGCTACACGCCAATCATCACTGGACAACATCCTGAGTAAGTAGCATAATCGACTTTAAATTAAAGATACAACATTTAAAGAACTATGGCCAAATGTGTATAACATGACTAATATTTTTCGCAAAACATAAAGGATGTTTCACTTTGATGTATTAACAACCAAATACGAAAACATTATTTAAAAAGCCAGCCTAATTACGTCAAAAATAGTTTTGAGGTTAGAATCAATAAATAAGTTTAATTATATATGTTTTAATATAATTGCAGAACTGAGCATATTAACATTTTCGTTAAATATAAACAGAGTTATGTGAAAAGTAAAATAAGCTTCTGGGAGGGTAAATTAAAGAAATTTTTAAACTGTCAGTCATGTGTCAATAATGTTGACTGATAGCGCGTCGATGACAAATCGTCTCGTTACACGCAAATTATCAAAATACTTTTGCTTGCTCTTTAAATATAATAACAACTCATAAAAATAAATAATCATTGTATATTGGACGTTATTAATGTTATCTAACGATAAATTCGATAGGGTAAAAAATATATCTTTGGGAGAACAATCAATATCTTTTTTTGCTGGCTTAATTCGCCTACAGAACGTAATATGTCACAACATATATGCTCTAGATCTCACTCATCATAAAAGGTAATTCAATCACGTAGGTGACGGAAACAAAAGATTTATCTCTACCAAAAAGAAACCGACGCGATAGTTTTCACTTCAAATTTTGCCCACGTACCCTTTTGAATCAGCCTTCTACCGCTTAAAATAATCAGTTGATTTTAATTACGTCGACGAAATAATGGTGGTAATCAAATCCTAAAATATAACCTCGGAAATTATATAGACAAAATAATCCGTTTTAGTAGAAAAGACATCTTGTATTTAATAGTGTACTTCATTAAATACTGTCTAGTTTACGCGAGTAGTACACATTTAAATAAAACAAAACCAGCCGTGGTCAAGGAGACTAGGTCTGGCTGCAAAGCATCCGAAAAGTCGGGCCGGAGTTAAAAATCATTTTCAAATAAATTTAACTAATATATCGTTTTAAACCGTTAAAGTGTTTTATTTAAAAGTGTACTTCATTTTTTTAATTGAAAAGGAAACTAAGGTTGAAACACATTATACATACATGAACTATGTATGTGTGTGTATAATTGTATATGTTGTAGCGTGGCAACCGCGTCTCTTCTATGCCACCCAGGTGCAAAAATTTTATGTTGTCGGCTTATAGTTTTATAATATTTATTTCCAGAACACTTAGAACTGTATTCGAGCACTGGGAACAAATAAGAATTATTTACACTCCACCGTGGATGAACCCTGGATTTTTCATCGGACTTATTGTCGGATTTATACACTATAACAATCAAGAGAAGGGAATTAAACTCAGTGAAAAAACGGTACGTCCATAAACACATAGGGATTATACGCGCACGCGCAAATGGAACTAATAACATTGGGTTTTATATCAAGCGTTAAAATTGAGTATTCTCTTTCATCTTGATTGGTCTTTTTATCGTTATTTAAAAATAAAAAAAAATTATTTTAACAAATACAAAGAAATGTAAACATTATATATAACCATTTGTATTTTTTTTTAAACAATACACTTAAATGGTTTAAAACTTCAGACAGCATTGGGATTTAATAATGTTACCTTAAAAAGACATTTGTATTTTTTTAAAGTAATTTAATGTTAAAATCCTCACACAACAAGATGTAAAATAATGTGCAATATTTTTGCTATCTGTACTTCACTATAAACACAATGGTCGCTAACTTTGTCACGTCTCGTGAGCCACAGATTATCAAACTTAGTACTGCAGGGGCCAGACATTTCAGGGGCATGATATTTTTATATTAATTAGAGTTTTGACCATGTCCGTACGCCGTATGCTATATAGGACGACAGCGCATATGTTTAAGACGGTATATGGGTGGAGTACTTCATATTGTATCTTCAAACATCGGTTAATACCTCTTTCGTTTCAGTGGTTCAATATCCTCTTCAAAACATCGCTCCACTTAGCGATGGTTGTAGCCGCTCTTGGGGTATTCTTTTTATCAGACAATCCTCCCCCAATATGGGTTGGTGGTGTATACAGCGCACTGGACAGGCCGTTGGTTTCTGTCTTTCTGAGTATTTTCATCTTGGGGCTGGTCAGTAAATGCAAATGTGAGTACGACTTGTATATATTAAAATAGAGTTGAATACAGACAGACATTTTGAAATATCTTATAATTTAACAATTCATAATTGTAATAGTAATTTGACGGGCTAAACAGGTCGTGGATTCGATTCCCATCTGGCTCAACATGTTTCTTGTCAATTTAGAAGTTTTCTCGAACTTGTCTGCAATTTGATATTAAATAAATATATGGGTTTTTCGAAAACTCCGTCCTCGTCACGAACCACCGTACACAGATGTAAAAAGCCGTGAAATTTAATCTTTCCGAATATCCAAAGCCAAAACAGGTCGACCGCGCATCTTGTTTAGGTGCTATATGGCTCCCTCCACGCTTGTCTATACTCCTATAAAAGAAAATGTATGGACGAATATTTTTTTTTTAAGTTTTACTTATAGAAGTTTTATTGTATATAATTTTATCTTTCAGCCCTCGCGCTTAGCATATTATCATGGAGTGGCTTCCAGGCCATGGGAAAACTTGCCTACTGCGCGTACATCGTTCACTTTATCGTGCTACGTTTAATATTTGCGAACAACATGCGACTCATACACGTCAACATATTTTATATGGTAAGCTTGAATTGGTATACCATATATTAAAAATCGATTGTAATTGAAAAAAAATATGACACGGTTCAAGGCCTCCGAACCGGCATCTAAAACGTTCCGTGCTATTGTTCTAACCGATTCATATACTTTTTTACGGTTTAAAACGTGATATATATTAGTTAAAATTATTTGAAAATTAGAGCCGTCCTCCCGTGACCACGGTGGCTGCAAAGCGTCCGAAACGTCGGGCCACAATTGAAATAATTTTCAACAAGTTCTACTAATATATACGGCTTTTTAAACCGTTATAGTGTTTTATCTAAATGCGTGCAGACAGTATTTGATGTACTTTTGTCAAAAAGAAAAAAAAATTACGAGCTCGTTGGTCTTGTGGAAGCAATGTATGGATGATAATCAACTGGTCGTGGGATCGTTCTTTACCAGGTCCACCATGCTTCTGCGCAATTTATAACAGCTAAAACATGTTGGACTCCTGGAAAACTATATTTTAAATGGGCGGTAGAAAGAATTATTCCTCTGTACGATCGATAAGAACGACCGATCGTGCTGGAAGTCTATGGGGGAGGCCTATGTCCAGAAATGGACACCGAACGGCATTCCTCTTTAATTGATCTAAAATAATGTTCAAGAGAATATTTGCCTTTATTACAAGATTAACTTACAAGAAACGATTATAACGTAATCAAAATATTGTCAAATTACATATTTATATAAATACAATCTTTGCCAGGTTAGCTAATATAGACTATTCGACTTGTTTCAGATCTTTCTCCAAATATCCGCAACGGTTCTCACTTACTTGATCAGTATTCCCATGTATTTGCTGATCGAGTTGCCATTCGTCAAAATATGGAAGTCTGCGTTTGAAGCCCCAAAGCCCCAGTCCAAAGTGAACGAAGAACCTGCAACTCTCAAAGTGGACCATTCAACGAATGTACAAAATGATGTTTAAAAACATCCGATATTTAAGTCTACTTAATTCGTATTATTAAGTTATCACAGTCTATTGTTAGAACTATTAGAAAATATACCTACTTTTTTAAAGATAGTATTTGTTTGTTTTTAAATATGTCACCAAATCATGGGACCTTAAGTAAAACAATGAGATCCACTACTTATTTAGTAAATGCGCTAGGGCCCCAGTACGAATTTTCGATTTTGTTAAGTTACAGAATGAAATAGGTAAAAAAAAGACTAGTAGTAGACTTTTTTCTCTTTCTCCCACTTCCCGCGTTATCCCACTTAAATGTCTTGACGTCAAAAGAAAAAAAAAATGTGATCACTTATGTTTGACCAGTGAAGTAAAAATCGAAACGCGTTATCGTATTTTTAATAATCACGAATTAACCATAAATAATGATAACGCAAAAACCTGTGTCATTTTGTGAAAAATAATAGTTTGAACATAACTATTTGTTCCGAAAGAAGAACGGTGTGTCTTAAAATGACTTATTTATTAATTTTCTTAATTGTTGTAGTCAAGTCTTCCGCTGCGACAGTATATCAATTAAATGGTAAAGACTATTTAAATAAAACACTTTAACGGTTTTAAACGCGATATATTCGTTATACTTGTTTGAAAATGATTTTTAACTTCGGCGCGACGTTTCGGATGCTTTGCAGCAGCCATGGTCATGGGGACAATAAAAGTGTAAAGTAAAAAGTGGGGGGGGGGGGAAAAGACTAGCTTATATAAGAGTAAGCGCAGTGGGGCCGGGGTAAACACATTTCTGTGCCCGTTTCTCAGATCGTTTTAGCTATGTACAAGGACTTAGTTCGGACTTCGATGCCCTGTCCGAAACATGTATTTTTTACCTAAGTCTCAAACTCGAGACTTCCTTTACTATGAATATTATTTTAAAAACAACTACCAATTAATGTAATTTAAATTAGTGTTAAATCACACTTTAATTATATTTTTATAACAATTTTGTATCTCTTAGTGTGTGTGAAATTAGAAACATAGAATTTCAAAACTTCATTTTTAAAAATTGACTGCCCACACCTGCATTAACGAGAATAATTCCGCTTAAACTTTTCAGAAGTGTTATTCAGACTAACAATTTATAAGATTTTTGGAGTAAGGGGAAACTTTTTTCTTATTCAGGAACTGAATACAATCAATTGCCTCCTCTATTTGAGCTGGACGATTACCGTGAATGTAAAAAGGCAGAACAAGGCTTGTACTGTATTGTTAATATAGTTTTGTCAGCCTCTGCTGAGAATCAGCTGATGAGAATAATTACGGTAAGTGAATTATTAGTCTCAACTATATATTATGTAGATAACATAATATAGCTTCGTACTTATTAAAGATTCTTTAATTCAATTTTTAACTGATTTTTGTACTTGAATCGCTGTAAAATCAATATATGCCAATACAGGCATGTGACGTCACCGTCTCCGTTGAAGCGCCATTTTGAATACCGTTTACTTACTTTAAATGTTGAATTTTTTAACGCTGTATATTATATTAAATATCTACCCCGATGTATTTTACTTAATATTGTTCGACTTGGACTTATTATCATAGCAAATTTATGGAGGGTAAAATACCCAATGCATTGTTATGTGATGAGACGTGTCTACTGTTCCCTCGAGCAACACGTTGCGCCGTCAACCTTAAGCTTTGGACATTTATTCTGTTTCAGGAATATTCAGCTTTAGATATACATTACAATCATAGTTCTCTAGATCGAGGAATTTGTGTTACTACAAGATGTAAGGCATTTTTCGATGAAAGTAATAAATGGAATCTAACGAACATGCAAACAATTCTCAACAAATGTATTGAAAATTCGTATAATGACTACGGATTGGTAGCAAATGTATCCAACATTTATTACTGTACAGACAATGAAGCGTATGAGAATAAAAATGTAGATTTAGGAGACTTTATCTTTGGCGCAATCATTATATTATTATTGGTAATTAACGGTGTTGCCACTTTTTATGACGTGATCCTGAGAAAATGGACTCAGACTAACAAAGAATCTGGTAAGAACTAAATAATAAAAAGAAATGAAATATTAGTTCAGCTTAAAAGGAATTGTAGCCTAAAAGAGATAGGTTGATAGTTATAGCCTCTGACAGCAGAGGTTCACTTAATAAAAGGTAAAATAGCCATATAACACCTAAAGAAGATGCACTGTCGACGTATTGCTGGCCTTGTATTTACGAAATTAACCGAAACGCCATGAAACTTCATGGCTTTTTTATTTATGGTTCGTGACTCGGACATAATGCTGCTACCACTCACGTAATATCGAAATGTATCCAGACGAAGTATAATGTTTAAGAAAAAATATAAATTAATTAGAATGGAATTGGACCCGGTGGGGATTGAACCCTAGACCGCAGAGCTTGTCTGAACAAACATTAAAAGACAGGCTTAGAAAAACTTTAATATTTATCACATATTTATTATAATTTTGTTTTTAAGGTAACCAATACTTACTGACCTTTTCGGTGATACAAAATTGGGAGCGGCTGATTCAAAGTGGACATATTGACCCGGCTTACGAAAGATTTGCTAGCGTCCACGGCGTCAGGTATTAAAATAGGATATTAGTAAAAGAAAAATCTATTTAAGAAAAAAATCAATAGGACCTGAACGGGCAAACGCAGCGTTTCGTGCTTATGCTCTAACCAATTAAGCTCCTAAGCTAATTTTGGAAGCATGCTGCCTGAGTGGGTCAGAAGACTGCCTTGGTTGGAGGAGACATTTTGGCAGGGATAGTTGGTTATGTTAGACTGTGCATAGCGAGCCTTCAAAGCCTTCTCAACCGATATCCTCTTGCAGTAGTAGGAGGCGGATAGGGCAAGAGAAGAGAAGCTGATCCCGATGCCGTATCCCTAGCCTGAACCCCTCACTAACCTCGCTGTCTATATGGTGGGTGAGGTCGGTAGAGACTCGATTCCTACAAATAAAATAAAAATAATTGAGCTGCCATTTCTCGCTCGTTCTCATTGAATTTCTTTAACTCATTGCTCTCTATCACAATTTAATTAAAACCTTAATACTTACGTATTGAGGATCAATGTCTTATTACTGAGTAGTATTTATTAACTAAATATATTACTTTATCTTTCAGAAGTTTATCTTCGTTTCTGACGATACTTCCACACATGATGCTTCTGGTTGGATCAGGTTTTGTCGATAACCCCCATGATTTTGAAAAGGTAATATGCACCTCGTGCTATAGATAAAAATCGAGAGAGAGAAATCCGGGTTTGAATTTTACGTCTTCTTTTGTAATAGAGGAGGACAGGCAAGCATAAGGTTTACTTAATGGGTAATGCAGCCTTATAACAAGTGAACAAGATGCTCTGTCGCCTTTTTTGGTTTGGAATATTTGGAGATTTACAAACAGAAGCCAAAACGCCAGTAATCTTGACTTCTTTTTCATGTGTCGCCTTTAATGTCCAGATTTTCAAACGAAGGCCAACATGTTTCATGGCCCGGTGATTATTATTAGCCACACATTACTATTAGAGCTACAAGTCTGTTGCGAAAGGTTACTTCAAGAAATCTTCTAGTACCTGGAGTTTGGAAATAAGGTGATCTCTCTCGTTCCTGGGGGAGCCCACTGAGCCGTCGGTCCCGATAACCACCACTATTTGTGGTGGTAGCCGTTAAAACCCGCCAACCAAAACTGCCAAGTATAAAGAGTAGATCTTCACCTCTTAAAACCTTTTGAAGCAAAGGTAGACTTACGCCTAGCATACTTGTTTAATACTAATTATAATAAAATAAATTTTGCAGGCCTATTATAATCCATTCTTCTACATAATTGTAAACGGAACAATGTTTGTACAAATATATTTTATTGTTTCTGGAAGTTTGATGACATACTCCCTCGCGCTGAACGATGGAAAGAGGAAAGAGAAATGGGGATTTTTCTTTAAAGCAATTTTGTATAGATGGATCAGGTGATATTTGAATTTTTATTGACAGAGAAGAGGACGACACGAGAAGAGACTTGATGAAAGGTTGTATGTGTGGAGGCTCGTGGGGCATGGGATGAACACATTTCTGTGTCTGTTTCCTGATCGGTTTTTTTACAGCTCAGTACATGATCAGACTTGTATGCCCTGAATTGCCTGATGAAAGGTGATATAGCTCTGAAAAATATAACATCTAAACTAGATGTGCTATCAACCTTGAAGACGGGTGGTTACAACCGGATGGAATTTATATACCACCCATCTATGCAAAACAAAGGTTTTGCATAGATGGGTGGTATAATGGTGGTTATGCGTACGCCATTTAAGGAACTGTTTCACACTTTGTTTATTTTCATTTTCTTTATCAAAGTCTTTAGTCTTTGTTATCCTTTCAGGCTAGTTCCAAGTGTCGCCCTACTCCTTGGCTTTATAACCACTTGGTATCGTCACCTGGGCTCTGGCCCTCTATGGGAATTTTACACCACTCCAGTTGTCAACGACTGCAGACGGTACTGGTGGTCGCATATACTTCTCTTCAATAATTATATAGAAGACAACAAATATTGCTTATTACAATCTTGGTATGCACTCTTACTTATTGACAGATATGTCCAAAAACGAGCAGTGGACTTCAAAAAGTTCAAACCCTCGCGAGTAGTACATATTTAAATAATACACTTTTAACGGCTTTAAACTCCAAATATATGAGACACTTATATTTTATTTATTTGACCAACACAACAGTCGGACGTTGCTTCCGCATCGTGACCACGACTGCTGCAAAGCATCCGAAAAGATGGGCTATAGTTAAAATAAATTATCACTAAGTATACTAATATATGTCGCATTTTGAACCGTTTAAAATGTTATATTTTAAACCTGAAAACTTTTCAATAAAAAAAACACAATTTAGCTGTCAATTCATTCAAAACGGGGAGGACTTGAACCGGCATCCACCATCATCGCCAATTTTTTTCGACCTTTTGATACATACACCTCTTGCGCAATTGTTGTCAATTTTTTTCAATGCAAAAAAACGATTTTTAAATTATATAATAAATCATAAAAGTGTTCAAACTTTAATTACTTTCTTACTCCGCTGGCGCATCGACCCAAAGTGAGTTTTGGCCTCCGAAACTAAAGAGCGCCATTTTCGCCGATCTTGCGCGGCTGTTCGCCATTCGGCCACACCGAGTTCGCGCAGGTCCTCTCTTTATTCCGTTTAATAACAATGGTTTGTTTTACGTGGGTGGGCTATCACACCCCTCGCACAACCCCCATATTGCTGGAAGACCACACCCTACGTTGGTCAACGAGATCATCGGGCTTAGCGAGTGAACGTAGCTAGGCTATGCTACTGACCGTTCCCCCATCCACGCCCCATGTAGGGTCAGCGCAAACTTTAATTATTGTTTAAATATATGTTTCATAGGTATTATTTATTTATTGCAGGCAAATAGCAGCGGATTACCAAATGTATAGCATCGCTTTGGCTCTATACTTAGGAACAAAGAAGGGGCGGGGTAGAAGCTTGGCCCATTTCCTTTTATTCGCTATTGGTTGCATAGCCCCCGCATTGCATGTCTGGTTTCAGAATCTTGATGGGGTGTTTATATTGTATCCTGAGTAAGTTCTACAGAAGTTTAATTAAACCTAAGCGTTCATAGTGTTGTATTTTTTTGTACTAACTGGTAATCCCTTTCAGAATATATCGTACCTTTAAAACAGACAACTTTAGGAAGATGCACGTTTTCTTCTATAATAACCTGGCCTGTTTCGCGATGGGTCTGCAATTGGGTTTGTTTGTACACTATGGACTTAAGAATAAAATAAATTTATCCAAATATTCTGTAAGTAAACTTTTTCTAGACTATGAAAATGGGTAAGTAACTCTCTCTAACACGTACGTACCTCCATAACATTTCTTATACCTGTTATAATAATATAATTGACTATTGTGACTTGCCATTGCGTTTTCACGATTGCTAATGTGCTAAGGTTCGAATTCCGTAGTGACAATAAATAGTTTTGATCAGGTATGGCATAGAAGTCTGATGAATTATTTGCCATTATTTACCATCTGTCGTTTACGAGCGTAATACACTTGTAAATAAAACATTTCTAACGGTTTAAAACGCGAAATGTGTTACATATAAAGGTATCTTATTTTCAATTTTATTCAACATCCGGCTGCTGGAAATCGTCCAGAATGTCAGGGTGTATAACTATTTTTTATTTTAAAAAAAGTTAACCAATATAATATTTTGCGGTTTAAACCGTTAAAAGTGATTTATTTTATTGTCTGGAAATAAAAACAATCAATGAATCACACAAGATTGTGTATGCCGTACACCACAGGAGGAAACAAATATCAATTCTTTAATCCCCCTACTCAAACATGGCCACGCCGTTCCAGTCTTGTCTAGCTTGGGGCTTCCAGACATTTTTAAACTTCCGATATCGAAGTAACATTTCGCCCGACCGAGTTTCGAAGTATTCATTACTTCTGCAGTATTCATTTTTACCCCGTTTGAAAAAGCACATAACCTCTAAATTGTACGTTTCTTGTTGCAAAAATTTTCGACTCGGACAGGACTTGAACCTGCATCGTCAGCGTTCCGTGCCAATAGAGCTAGCTACCGAGTCTGTAGGACAGAGCAACAGCACGTAACGCTGATGCCGGTTCAAGTCCTGTCCGAGTCGAAAATTTTTCAATTTATTTTCGATTCTTATTCTATATGTGCCATCATGTGTAATAACATGTAAAAAATATTAAAGTTTACAAATAACTTTTGTTGTAGAAAATGTGTACTTGTATCTCCTGGATGTCAATTCCACTATCCATGCTAATCTTTATGACCGGTTTTATCTTTTTTGGCAAGTTAGAACGGCCGTCTGTTCTTATGAGGATGATGTACACCTTGCATAGGCCAATTTTCGGAGCATTGGTAGTTATTGGTCTTTTAACCTGTATTTTCCGAGTGGAAGGTAAAGTTTTTTATTATACACTAGCTGTGCCCAAATGGAATAGTGACTGGGTAGAATTTTTAATAATTTTTCGCCTATTTATTTATTTCATAAATTTATCGCGTTTTAAACCGTTTAAGTGTTTTATTTAAATATTGTATCTTGTTTCAGATAATTTCCGCCATATTTTTGAGTGGCGTGTGTTCAGAGTCCCCAGTAGACTGTCGTATGCTGCTTTGTTAGTGCATATGAATATAATAAACTATATACAGGGTGTGCAGACGCAGCTGATTACTGTATCATTTTTCAATCTGGTCAGTGGCTAATTATCAAACTAAGTTTTTAAAATAAATGTCTCTCTATGGGGCATGGTTTTGTAGGTTGTACTCTTTATTTATTCAAATACTGTTAACGGTTTAAAACGCGAAATATATAAGTTAACCTATCTTGGAGGTTTGATTTGTTGCAAAGCATCCGAAACGTCGGGCCGTAGTTAAATTATACTTAAGTGAACAACTATATTTTGCATTTTAAAACGTTATAAGTGTTTCATGAAACGCTATGCTTTTGTAGACAACAGACATTTTATTGACTTCTGTGCCCTGCCCGGCCGTAATAATTTATTTTCCCTGGATCCGAACTCACCTCTTATGCTATAATTTTAGATCAATGTTAGGTAAGTGTCCTGCAGAGGCGATCAAATAAGTACTTAAAAATATTATTAATTATGTATAACTTTAACTGTATTCTGCATCTAAAATTAACTGTGATATAATTTTTTCGCCTAAATCCAAGATAGGACAAGAGCGCATAGCAATAGACATTAAAGGTGTTAAGTTAGAAATCAGATATGATTCCACCTTTCAGTAAGTGAAACTTACTTATCTCTTACTTAAATATTTTGATCGTAAGTTAAGATCGTAATTCACTGTAGCCATAATGACTAAATCTAATTAAAAAATCCTTAACGAAAAGACCAAAAGCCATTCCAACACCAACATATGAAATTTTCATTAATGATTGGATATCGAATCTTACAGACAGTTCAGTACCTCGGGGTGGTGTGGTTATCATTTCTGATGGCAATCCCAATCTACATCTTGGTGGAGACGCCGGTAACCAGGATTTTGAAGCTATGTCTTTTTAGTGAAAAATCGGAAGACAGCAAGAAAAGAGGATAGCATTAAATCTATACTAATATTTAAAACTTATGAGTTTGAACGCGCTAATTTTAGGAACTACTCGTCCAAATTGAGCATTTATCGAGAAGGGTTTTAGGCTACAAAACATGAGACGATCAATAGAAGCGAAGAAATAGTTTAAAATGTGGAAAAACGGGGAAAATTGTACGGGACTGTATAGCGTACACTAAACTATATTATCCGGTTGTCTTGATGGTTTGGAAATAAAACTACCAGTACGTTGCCGCTAACGAATATGTCGCTATGCCACGACATCCGATTGCCACGCTACTGTTACGCGCCTATATCGTGCGCACAAAGTATGGAAACGAAAAGTCTAAACGGCCGCGTTAACTATCTATCAATACGATGCGAAGTACTTGCGACGCGAACCGTGAGAGGAGCGGCGTCTATGGGCAAAGTACTCGCGATGCGTGCCGTGTCGATGTTAGAAGCGAACTAGTTTGGCTTGCTCCCAGAGCCCTCTTTTATGGTACATTATTCCAGTCATAAGAGAGAGAAATGGGTTGCAGGTATTGAGTGTAGCGTGGCGTCGGATTCATGGGAAACAAACACTTTATTGTTTTAGAGCAAATACTTAAACTAATGCGTGACGATTTCTTACGTTTGTCAACGCTTAAACTAACGTAACTTATCCAATAACGCAGTCAATAAATTGTACCTTTCTAAAGTGGATACAAAACAAAGGGTCTATTTACTGTTACAATTTATGGCCGTACAACGCATTTCTAATGTTTAAGTATAATGAATATTTATTTATTTATATGCTCTCAATAATATTACTATGCTTTAAACCTAACGCGAGCTGTCCGGAACAAAAATTATGCACCTTTGGGCGGGTTCGCTACGAAAACAGATAAAAAAAACAAAAAATATGTGTGATAGAATGATTCTTTATTATTAAACTAAAATTTTTATTGTAAACAATTTAAATAAGAATCTTCTTTTAGTTTCAATTTTGATTTAAAATAATGTCTGCGACAATGTGTCTTTGGCTTTATAAACTTGTTGAGATAAATGTTTCCAAAAATGCATTTTGATGCCCAAATAACTGTTCCACGTGAAGTCGCGGGCATAGCTAATCTGCACTAAAATTGTAAAGACGATTTGATTTTTGTGCGTATGTTTGTAAATGAATAAAATCAAAAACTACTGTGCCATTGTAATGACACAGTAGTTTGTCACATTGACAAAATGCACTCCTTTACTATTTTCCATGTTCAGCCTGAGTGACATAGTTAGTTAGTGAGTGACATAATTACCTAACCAAAAGCGTTAAAGTATGATGAAAATCGTGTTTAGACGCATGTCCTGTGGAAACTTGTGTATTGATTCACTTAAAAGGTATTCAATAAAACATATTTGTAGAACAAATTTTTATTATTAAACATAAACCAGTAGTAATTCTTAACTATGTAAATATTTACACTTAAACTTGTCTGTTTTGAATTCTTTCAAATTGAATGAAATTGAGATAAATGATGGCATAGAATTTACGATCAATAACAGACTGTGGAATTTTAATCATTTTATCACCTTACATGTACCTCTTATGGAGGCTATGTCATCAATATTTCAATTTAAAATGATTTTTTAACAAATGTGGGAGTGAAAAAAATAGTCCTGTCTCTTATAATTAAAATATTTCTTATAAATAACCCTCTATGATAGAGGAAAACAGACAAGCATAGGCTGGTAGGTGAAACACCCAGCCGTATAACATTTGAAAAAAGATACGCTATCGCCCTATTTTGGCTTTGGATATTCGGAAAACCACAGATCGAAACGCGATTGAATTTGACAGCTTTTGCATATGTAGACCGTGGTTCGATATCGATATTGGAATTTCAATATTCCTACTAACAATTTAATGTCCAGATTTACAGACGAAATCCAACATGTTTCAGAGAAAAATATACATTCATTAGAAAAATGTTGGATCGAGCCCAGGACCAGTTGGTTATAGAGCTATATATTGCTACCACTATACCAACGAGACGACAGAAAAACAAAGTATATTAACTCCCGTGACCACGGCTGCTGCAAAGCATCCGAAACGTCGGGCCGAAGTTAAAAATCATTTTCAAATAAGTTTAACTAATATATCGCGTTTTAAACCGTTAAAGTGTTTTATTTAAAAGTATATTAACATATAATTACTCAATATTCCTTTTATAACCAAGGTATTATTAGTATAAACAGTAAGACACGACTAGCAATTATCGATATTATAATATATTACCCAGATTCTGTAATAAACTAGAAGTACATATACCTACATATAACTTACATCAACATCTAATATAAGGGCGTGTAGTTTTATCTAAACGTAAATGCTAAAAATTTAATATTAAAAAAACTAAAAACGTTCAAAAGACAGGCTGCCGCAAGCTTATTGATTTTAACAGAGTGTGACTAGTTCTGATTGTATTTGCAAAATTTTAATTGAAATCGGCCTAGCGGTTTTGAAGACGGAAATATTTTTCGGATTACGGTACAAGAAACAATACATACGTGGGAAAGAATGATTCTTCTTTAAATTATCTAAAAATGTCCGACGTCTTTAAATTTAACTGTTTTTTTAAATAATTTTTCATATAATTTAAACAATTTAGCGTGTAATGCATAGTTTATTTATTTATTTAATTCTTTATTGCAACACACACAAACACAAAGTACACAATATATTTCCTTAAAAAATATTCTTAATAATACAAGTTAAAACGATAAATTATTTTACAAGTTATGGAGTGCAATGGGCGGCCTTATCGCTTTAGAGCGATCTCTTCCAGGCAACCCTTCCGTAAAATTAAATAAGATATATCATGGGAACGTGCAGGTCATGCGAAGCTTTGTTAAGCTACACATAAATATAGTTAAATCAGTTTATCAATCTCTTAGTAAATTAAATTAATTACATTATTTTAAACAGCGACCAGACGCTTTCCATAACAAGAAGGGACTGAATATAGAGGGCGTCCCAAAAACAAAAAAAAGGCACGCTAGCGCCATCTCTGTCGTAAAAGCAGAAACTAGCTGGGTTCTTACAAAATTATCTGTGGTGTCTTTTATCTTTTGTTATCTTCATTTCTAACCTTAGAATATAACCTGTGATGCTATCAAGGGCCTTATACTTCGTTCTGTTGTCCGTTGATGCCAGCAACGAGGTCGAATTTGGGATTAACTGGTTCTTCAGTCACCGCAGGTGGTCGAGATTCTCCTTGGAATAACGCCTTCCAGAACTGGATTGCTGGTATCTCTATCATCAAGCACACCGGGATACTAACGAGAAAGGTTAGTATTGTACCCACTATGAGAAGGGATATCTGAAAAAATAGAAGGCAAATAGGGTCTGTAGTTTATGGGAGTTGTACACATTAAAATAAAAGACGGTTTAAAACGAGAATAGTAGTCACAATGATTTGTAAATAGATTTAAGTAAACATTTCGCCTTTTAAAACTGTTAAAAGTGTTTTATTTCAATAGAATAGAAGTCAAATGTTGTAGTTTATGTACTGTTACTGAAGTGTATATTTAAATCAAACGGTTTAAAACGCCAAATATGTTATTATTTATTTAAATATATTTATTGTTTTAAATCGTTAGTGTTTTATTTAGAAGCGAAATAATTATAATTACTTATTACGTGTAGTTTACTAATAATACGAATAATAACACAAAAGAATAAAATACTTTTAACAATTTGAAATGCGATATATTAACTTATTTTATAAAGTTTAACCGCGGTCGCACGTTTCGGACGCGAGTTACAAGAGCACTTCCATCACGCCTGCTACAAAGCATCCGAAACGTCGGATTAAATTTGAAAGTTAACGCGTTATAAACCGTTAAAATTCTAATAAAATATAACACTATTTTATTACAATAGAAGTGCGATGTTTTTCATAAAGAACAATTCGACAATTCTTATATATAACAAGAAAGTGTCTGTCAATATTTGTTTTTTGAGATATCTTTAGTTACACAAGCAACTTTCTTGATAGATAGAAATTGACAGACTAACTTCAAATTTAAATTACGTTAATGTCTTTGAGCCTTGCTAAAATTGGACGGTTCACTTCTATCGGAATGTAAGAATATTGATAATATTATAAAGTTACAAAGTAATGTTTTATACATTAAGAAACACAGGAAATCGAACCTAACACTCCCTCTTAACACTATGCTAAATCACCCATTTCACTATTAAGCTATGGAAGCGGTCCTAATGTATAATTCTAACTTACCATAGAGAATAAAGTTGCATGAGGGATCTGGGTATTGTATGCGATCGCAAAACGTAGGATAATGAAGTGTATAACAAACACACAGAAGGAAAGTCTGCCGAGCACGTTCCACCCTCGCCACGACAAGAAAGTAAGAGGTGGTGCTGAAAAAGACATAATTGTTTACACATCCGACCGACAAAACACAAATATTTTTGCCCTACAATGTATAACAGGCGACCGTACAAGTATTGAGTGTTTAAATTACTTTCATGATCGATAAAAAAGAATATTTTAGCTGGTCAAGATGTGGTGTTGACTTATGGCTTTAAATATTCGGAAATCTTCAGACTGAAACGCGATTAAGCTTCAAGGCTTTATTGTCTGTGGTATGTTCGGAGCCCGGACGGAATGTCGAAGTCCGACGTTTCAAAAAATTATAAATTGATTAAAAACATGTTGGAACGGGTGGGGATCAAACCCACGATCCATTTATTACCATACATCTCTAAGGTGCTAATTAACTGTAATGCAATCCTGAAACTCTTGGAAAGGAAAAACTTCATAATTTAAAATCGATGATAAATTGAAAAAAAAAATACTAAGCGGGCACGACTTGAACCGGCATCGTCAGCGTTCCGTGCTATTGCTCTAACCAATTGAGCTACGAGTCATCGTCGATTTTTTTCACCTGATTGATACATGTACCTCTCGCTGTATTGAATATGAAATCACAAAGTTATAACGTTTGGAAACTGTAATATTTTTCACAGGTTGCACTTGATGGCACTATATAAATTAAAAAAAAACGAATTTAAACTAAAAAAAAACTTACATTTACACTTGCTAACGAGTCCCAGAAGAAAAATGGAGAAGCATATTGAGACGAGCGACCTATCCAGGGCGGAGTACAGTGCTGAAACCCATAGAGGGGGCGTCTCATCAGAGAGGAAGGGAATACCGCAGAGCACCACGATGCTGGCGATGTGCAGCGACAGCTGGTTTAGGATGTTAAACCACTGAAACAGAAATAGATCATAGAAGAACTCTTGCGCATAGTATAAGGCTTCTTTGGGTGATCACCCCGTTTTGTTTAATGCTTTTTAATAAAACACTTAAACGGTTTAAAACGCGATATATTTTAGTTAAACTTGTTTGAAAATTATTTTAACTACGACTCGACGTTTCCCATGCTTTGCAGCAGTCGTTATTTGAAATCAACGTACTATGTTGTATTAACTAATAAATAAAAAAACTTAGGCAATTTCATTATATTGTTAACTATCTGTGTCAGCGACTTCGTCCGCGAGAATCGTTATTTTGGAGATCCATATTCGTTTTTGCAAGCCCGTTCATCTTTATACACTTAAGCTGTTACCCACAACATCGGTCGCGCCCCATCCCGTCGTTCTTGCAAGTTAATCTTAAAAGATAGACATATATTGTCGCTGACTTTTGTAGATCGTTTAAAGAGGAATCATTCTTTCATACATTTATTTTGGGTATCTTGAACCGTTGTTGCAACGTGCGCGTCGGAAACCCATTATAATAAATAATTTTCCCAATTTTTTCACATTTCTCGGTGTATCTTCGCTTGTATTGTACAGGGCGATGTTTATTCTATAGCCTTCCTCGATAAATACTCGAACCAATCAATTCAAACCAGTAGTTCCTGAGATTAGCGCGTTCAAACATACAAACAAACAATCTCTTCAGCTTTATGTATTAGTATAGATATGGAGACTCACTTTTTTCTCGTTAAGCTTCACACCCGCTTGCTGGTTCTGATAGTGAATGTATGCAGCAGCTGTTCCACAAATGTAGCCAGATAAATTCATCCATACCGGCAGGTACAGGTGTTTTATTATGCCAGATTTAAAGAATATTGTACGAAGGCCTCTGCAAAATGAAAAAAACATAGTTAAACCTTAATCCACAAGAGTTAAGGTTGAAATTACATCGCGCGAGAAGTGGAAAATTCGATGATGAGGTGTAGAACTCGATAGCTCAATTGGTAGAGCAACAACACGGTACGCTAACGAGGCCGGTTCAAGTCCTGCCCTAACCAAAAATTATGCAATTTAACATAGTTATATAGAATTCGATTGTGATAGTCTTAATTGAACAATTTGTGCTCTAACGCGTTACGTTATGCTTTAGTTGCAAGAAGAAGTACGTTCCTGGACATATAATTTATCAACTATTAAATCTCGCGGTCGGGCGGTCAAAATATAATATATTTTGGCCTCTGTAGCAAAATAGTTGAATGTACTGCCTAGCATTGTGTTAAACGCGAGAGGCCTGGATTCGAATCCCGGGGAAACAATAAATTGTTTCTGTCAGGCATGGCACAGAAGTCTGATCAACTACTTGCCTGATAAAAAAGAATCAGAGAAACAAATAGAAATCTTTTCGCCCCATGCCCCACGACTCGTGGCCCACGAGGGGGAAACCGGATTTCATTTAAATATATGATAATATAAATACCTTAAAATTTTAAAGTTTTAATGTCTCCCACTCCCAACGATGTGTTCGATTTTAATAGTACTATAAATAATACAGACTATCTCTAATATAAACAATGCGACAAAGCCAATGGACCTTGGGTTCGATTCCCTGCGTGTTACGTTAAACATGTCTTAAATCCAACGTTTGAAAAATCTAGTACCTATGCATGATGATCGAAATCCTAATTACGTTAAAGAAACAGGCGGGGCATTGTAAATTCCAGAAGAAATATAGGTCGAGGGCGCATTAAGAATTATAGGGCTACACTCTTAAATAAAACACTTAACGGTTTAAAACGCGATATATTAGTTAAACTAATTTAAAATGATTTTTAACTTCGGCCCGACGTTTTAGATGCTTTGCAGCAGCTGTGGTCACGGGGAGATGTATATCGCGTTTTAAACCGTTAAAGTGTTTTATTTAAATGTGTACTACTCGCGTAAACTATAGACATGGCTATACTTACTCGGGAGGCTGTGCTGTGATGATGGGAGTCAGTTCGTAGTAGTATACCACGAAGGCAGCCCCAGCTGAAGAAGCAACGAGCAATGCCCCGAGAACTGGTAACATTAAGCGTCGGTAGCGAAGTAGAATGAACATTAGAATGGTACCAAGTACATGGATTTGCATGTCCGCTGAGAGATACCTGGAATAATAAAAAAAATATTTTATTTAAATGATTTGAGTTTTGAGTTTGAGTTTATATACTAAAGGCCTAAAAATTGGATACAGTATTATTAGAGAGGTGAAGAGCTTATTTGTTTGAACGCGGTAATCTCAGGATTTGTAGGTTAAATTTGAAAAAGTATTTTTGTGTCTGTTGAACCATTTATTGAGAAAGGCTTTAGGCTAAAAAACATTAGGCCTCGACCAATCTAAAAGAAAAGAAAAGAAAAGAATGATTCCTCTACAAATGTTCTAAAAACTGTCAGCGGTATTTGTTAATCTTTTTAGATAGATTGTCTTTAAATTAACTTGCAAGAACAATTGTTTGGTAATCAAATTTAGACGAAATGTATGCTAATCTATACTAATATATAAAGCTGAAGAGTTCGTTTGTTTGAACGCTGTAATCTCAGGAACTACTAGTTTTGAATTGAAATTGATGAATGAGAAATGCTAGAACACATCGCAATGTGACTAATAAGAAGAAATAACAGGTAAAACTATTCATCTTGGTATCAAAAGAGGAATTTTAAAATTCTCCTCTTTGAATGATAAAAAAAATGTCCGCCACACTATATGTCTATCTTTTAAGATTAACTTGCAAGAACGACGGGACGTAAAAGAAATTGGAAGCCCAAAATAAATGTTTTTGATATTACTTTTAATCATACCCACTCAAACTCAAAATGTCATACACTTCTTACTTACCAAGTGTGGGCCATACAGAACTTGCCCAAGGTCTGGTAGTTCAGGATATACAAGAAGTGGCCCAGCCAAGCTTGGGAACACTCGCACGACTCTCGCCCGACAACCCAGGCCCACTGAGGCCCAGAACCCATGTGTGGGTACCAGGCGACGATGAACCAAAGGGCGAAAACTGATACGGGCGTCACCCTGAAAAGCAGATTTTTTCATGAAATAAATAAAGTATTGTCTGTAGTTTAAGATACCTAAATAAAACCCAAATAAAACACTTCGAAACATGAAATATTACTATCGCCTTTTTTCCGGCCCAATGTTATCGCGTTGGCTATTTATAGTTCCCCAGAATTTATTCTAAGTATCCGCGTCATTAGTTGTAATAATTTGTTTATTTTAGCAATAAGTTTATCACAATTCTTATGAAATATAAATACCGAAATATTTAATTTTAACTACGATTGACGTTAAGCCGTAGAGAGGGCAGGGGCTCCGTAGTTAAACTAAAAATTAAGTTTAACAACTATATTTCGTGTTGTAAACGGGTAAAAAATTAATTAACTGTATACATATTATTGAAAAAGAGCCAAGTCAAGATCGGATTCGTACGGTAGAAATATAATATAGACTTTAACTGTTGTACGATATTCGAAAACTCATTTAATGTGCTTATAATTATCCCCCTGTTGGGAGTGGGACGAACAAACATTTCTATGCACTTCTTTTCACTGAACAATGATAATGTAGACTCAGAATTATGTGCCCCGCCCGACCGAAATAAATAAAGCCCCACCTGTATTATGATTTGCTGGTTAAAACAATTTCGTTTCTTACCTGATATAACGGTTCAGTATAGAGAGGATGCTGTAACCGATTGATATATTCCTCTTCTCAGAAAGAATGAGCAATGTGTAACAGTTGAGGAAGCCGGAAATCGCAAAGAAGCCTTGAAGCCACGGGGGAGAGTTTAAGACCATCTTCCACCCGAATTGATCGTACATCTACATAAAAAATGTGTAAATGTATGAATTCTAAATTACTTTATGACAGGTGGACAAACCAGCATGGGGCTTAAGTCATCGAAGGAAAAATATGCCAGCCATATGATAAAAAATAAACTAGCTGTGTCAGCGACTGCGTCCTCGTATAATCGTTATCTTGGGCATCCAAATTCGTATTTGCAACCCTTCATTTTTATAAACATAAGCTGTTATCCATGACGTCGGACGCGTCCCTTCCGTCGTTCTTGCAAGTTAATATTTAAAAATAGACATATAGCGTCGCAGACTTTTTTTCACATCATTTAAAGAGGAATAATTCTTTTGTACATATTTTTTTTTATTTATTTTGAACCGTTTTTTTCACTTTACCCGCTCTTATTAGTCGCATGCTCTACCCAGCACAAAAATATTTGTTTCAATTCGAACCAGTCGTTCCTGAGATAAGTGCGTTCAAACAAACAAATAAACTGTTCAGTTTTATATTTTAGTATCGTTTGACAAATATTTGGAATCTGCTTGAGAACACCATCGTGAAAAACCAACGTCGATAACACGTGAAAAATATTACAGTTTTCAAATAAACATATTTCTCATCTATTACTGAAAATGAAGCCCTGTATCATTTATTTAGTGTTCTAATCTAGATTCTTCCTGTTGTAAAAAGCTCTGATCTCAAAATAGTTACCTGTTCAATAAATTGGGGATTGTCTATGTACGAGTAGACATAGGTAAGAATAACGTGTGCGAATATAACACATTGCGTACCGATTACTCTGAAAAAAAAATCAATTCAGTCCATGCTAGGTACACTAATACAGTCGCTTTGTTCTACAGACTAATTCTAGTTATATCGTAACTCATAACATAAGTTAACGTTTTCATAAGATTTAACATATATAACAAGATTGAGTAAAAATTACGCCTTTAAATAAAACACTTTAACGGTTTAAAACGCGATATATATTAGTTTAACTTATTTTAACTACGTCACGGCGAGACCACGGCTGTTGCAAAGCATCCGAATACCGCGCAGTAATTAAAATAATGTTTAGTTTAACTAATATATAATATGAATAAAGTGTTTTAATTAAATGTGTGCTAGTCGCGTAAACTACAGACAGTATTTAAAAACATATTTTTAACGGTTCAAAACGCCATTTTGTCGCTCTATTTACAACTATCGTAGTCACGATGGGATCTCGATTGCTAAACAAACATCGCTACGGCTCGATGTGAACAGTTATCTAATAATTTCGCGTTTCAAACCGTTAGATATGTGTATTAAACTCGTGTTAAGTACATATCAGTTAAATATAGTTGAAGAACGATTTGATTTAATAAACGATTTTTTTAATGTGTCCGAAGAATAAATTAGGTAAGCATAAAAACTGGATGCACGTTTCACTTCTTGCCTTGGGCTTCTTAAACTGATATACCTGATTCCTTCGATTGGACTGAGATCCTTCATACGAGGCTCGGCTCGTGGCTTCGAACGGTCGTACGTCAGAATCTCCCAGTTCTTCACAAGCGAGAAAGCCATTAGGAATCGGTTACCTGAAAATGTATAACTATATAAATTGTCAGTCGTAAGACCAGAGAGATAGCGTAGGTAACTTGATAGAGTTTTTATTTAATGTTATTAAACATATGAGGCTTTAGGTAGCTGTAAGTAGCCTAACTGCACTAAAAATGATAATCTACAACAATACAGTGACCGAAAATTGTTTTTACAATTTTAACACAAATAATAGTCAAATTCATTTTCGCCTAACTTAATTGCACATTAAATATTGTCTATAGTTTACGCGAGTAGTACACATTTAAATAAAACACTTTAACGGTTTAAAACGCGATATATTTTCGTTAAACTTACTTCGGCCCGACGTTTCAACTGCTGCAAAGCATCCGAAACGTCGGGCCGAAGTTAAAAATCATTTTCAAATAAGTTTAACTAATATATCGCGTTTTAAACCGTTAAAGATTTTTATTTAAATTAATTGCGCATTTTTATTTTCCTCGTTATTGAGAATCATGTTTGTTATTAGGCCACTCTGTCTCTAGCAGCTTCATATTTAATACTAGTACTCAGTATTATTAACATTTAAGAACGATCTTCACTAATCGTTAATGGCGAAGATAGGTATAACATAATTTTTTCCTACTTCATTATCCTTACTTCCTTACTAATATTATAAATGCGAAAGTAGCTCGGTCTGTCTGTTACTCTATCACGCCAAAACTACTAATCAGATTTGAATGAAATTTGGTACACATATGGTCTAGACCCTGAGAAAGAACATAGGCTAACTTTTTATGTAGATGTGAAAAGTTAGTAAGAAAGGGGGTTGTATGGGGTAAAAAGGGAGGGTGAAAGTTTGTATGGAAATTCGTGGTTTTTGAAGATAGAACTTTTAAACTTCCTTCTTTGGCCTTTTGAGAATAGGAGTGAACGTAGGGTTGAGAGTGGGAGTTAGAGGAGGAGTTAGAGGAGGAGTGATATGAGGTGAGCGTGTTGCGTCAAAGTAGCACTTGCAACATAGATAAATAAGCAATTACATAATTTAATAAACACCCTAAATAATTAAAAATCCTCAAGTCACGCGAACGAAGTCGCTGGCACAGCTAGTATACAATAAAAATGTAATATCTACACAAGATGGGCTGTTGACATTTGGACTGAAACCGAAACGTGATTAAAGTTGGCGGCTTTTTTATCTGTGGACGGCGATTCGTAACCCGGACGGAATTTCGATATTCTTACCACCCATTTACAACCAGATTCCAGACGATATCCAACAAGTTTCAGAAAGATTATAAATTGATTAAAAAATTATTGGACCGGGTGGGAATCGAACCCAGGACTCATTGATTACATTACATACATTGCCGTACATTGCTACGATTATACAAACGAGCTAGTCAACTAAAGTAATTACTAAAATAGGAAAGGTTTCCTGTTTTTATCACTAAGTTTGAACTAAACATTGTTTAGCCTGTAAATTAAAACTTTGATTAGATTGAAAAAAATATAATGCCACGGGCGGGAATTGAACCGGCATTATAATTTATATAATGTCATCATATAATAAGGTTCCAAAAAACGTCTAGCCTCTAAAATGTAGGTTTCACATTGAATAAGAAAACCAATTATGATTTACAAGCTGTATCTGTAGCTGTACAAGCCCGTGACTTCGTTCGCGTGGAATAGTGACTTGAGGAAGAATAGAATTTTTAATTTTTTTGGCTGAAATAATTATGTAATAGCCATTTATCGCAGCCAAGCTATGTTGTAAGTGTTTTGCCGAACCACCTCGCATCACTACCAAACTCCCTCCCCCCGTCCCCTCCCCTCAGCCAAAGAAGATATTTCATTGTTCTTCTTAAACTTTCACCCCCTTTCCCCTCTACAACCCCCTTTTCGCAATGAAAATCCTTTGTTCGTTCTCAGGGTCTAGACCATCTGTGTACCAAGTTTTATTCAAATCCGTTCAGTAGTTTTGGCGTGAAAGAGTAACAGACATACAGACAGAGTTACTTTCGCATTTTATAACATTTTTAAGTATGTACCACAGTCTATGAACCATCGGTGACGCAATGGCATCGGATTACCAATCTCATGACGTAATATGACGTTTTCTTTGTCAATGTTTGTTATTTCAAAAAAGGTTGCGATATGGTTATAATTGTAGTGAATTACATATTCGTTATGTTTACATAACAGTAGTTAGCCTTGAAAGGGTGGTGTTCGAATCCCTGGCTCGTTGGTGTAATGGTGGCTATGTATGACTAATAATAATAAATGGGTCTTGGGTTCTATCCCCACCGGGTCCTACATTTCAATCAATTTATGATTTTCCAGAACATGTTCAACTTCGTCGGGATATGTGGATATTAAACGTTCCGTCCGGGTCACCAAACACCGTCCACATATGAACTAGACAAAGTTCAAGTAGCAAGCTATTAATTAAGACACTTTAACGGTTTAAAACTCGAAATATACATTTAACTTATTTAAGAAAGAAAGAAATGAAAAATGAAAAAATAATAAAAATATTTTAACTGCGGCCGCGCATTGGATGCTTTGTACCAGCCGTGGTCACGGGGGGACATTATATTATGATTTTATTTAAAACTTTAATCGTTTTCGGTACCAGTATGTTTATTTCCGAATATCCAAAGCCAAAATAGGTCGACGACGCATCTTGCTTATATGTTATGGCTGGGTTGTTTCACCTACCATCAAGTGAACGCCAAGCTTATGTCTCACTCTATCAATAAAAAAAAATAAGCCTGGTTTTTTAGCTTGTAAACAATAATGAACTCGACTCGAGAGAATTGTAATGAAACTTGCCCATTTTATTACTGAACAATCCCAGGACTGTTGCCACCAACGTGATGATGATGAGGGCGACAACGAAGACCCCGAACGCGCGACTTGATGTCGATATTTCCTGGTGGCCTGCTGTACTACACCATTTTGCCGATATCACCTCTGCCTTGAAATAATAGGAGATATATTAACTTCTATAAACGAATAGATGCGCACACGCATATATGTGTGTAATCTGTCATTGTTGTTAGTTTACATTAAATAAAATAATTTTAGCGGTTTTACAACGTGAAATATATATATCTCGGATGCTTCGCAACCGTGAGCCGAAACGTCAAGTTAAAAAAAGATAAGTTAACTAATATAAATCTCGTTTTAAACCGTCAAATGTGTTAGTTTAGTTCTCTATGGCTGTATTTTTTGTGTTCTTTTATGTGCTATGCTATGGTATTTATTAAAATATATTCTTTAAAGAGATAAATCAATGATTTAACTGTGTTTGAAACGTATTTTTCAATATATATAACCGGCGCTTCTCCTCTGCTCTGAGTGGTGAAGCACATGCCGAGTTCAACTACGACTCGACGTTTCGGATGCTTTGCAGCAGTGACATCGGTTTAGTTATTTGTAAATAAGTTTAACTAATAAATTTCGCGTTGTAAGCCGTTAAATTATTTTATTGAACAGTCCTCTTGTACTTAGGATCCTTCCTGTATTTTCACAGATATTCTTTTTATTAATGCCAATTTAAATTTACCTGAAGATCGTAACTTTCGATAGATCGGTTGATGCACGTCTGCGCTGCTTCCATGAAGTCAGTTCCATTGCCCATGCAGCGGGAGATGCAAACGCCGCGATGGATCTGCGTTCTGTTGTAATGTTTCAGTTTTTGGGCCGAGTATCTGCATAATACTGTTTTACAAAAAAATTCCACATACATATAGAGCACGATGGCAGACACATTTTTGCGTCCGTTTCATGGATTCTATTTACAAGTAAGAACTGTTTAGATTTATATACCCAGCGCGAGACTCAGGGACTAATAGGAGCGAAGATATAGTGGGAAATGTGAACAAAACGGGGGAAATTTTTCATCTCTATCAGTTTCTGATGCGTAAGCTGATAGCATAGTTGCTTGAGATGCCCAAAACAAAGTTGCTGACACAGCTAGTACATTGGCAAAAGAACGTGTGCTGGTATATATCGCATTATTTTGTTTTTTAATAATATTTAAATCGTAAATTACTTAAGGTGGATTATATGTTCTTCCTTGTTTACAAATTTCTTAGAAATGTTTAATATTCCTAAACAATTTGCTGGGTCAAGGAGTAGATATAGGTATATATAATGTATTTATGTATACATAATGACAATATTCTTGTCTCTCTAAAACTAAGAATAGTTCAAATGAACGCCCCACGCCCCATAGGGAAAATCGGGACTTTACACAATGTAGAACACGAAATAGGCCGAACATGTGCGGTGAAGAAGTGCCGTGCAAATTGCGCGGCGTGACCTGCTTACGATGGATTTTTTAAAATATTTCAGTCTGTTTATTACAAAACTTTATTACGACCGCCAAGTAGTCGACCTTCACCTAGTAGCCAGTGGTTCAAGCACCTTGCCGCTTCGACATTTAACGCAATACATTCTAATCGCAGTGCGTATGCGCACCCTACATACTTGAGATCGGGGATTCGATTCTCGACGTACACGTTTTTGAGACATTCGGAAATCCACAGACTGAAACCGGAACCGAGATCAAATCTCACGGCTTTTTCACTTAAAACATACTTGGAAAATTGAGCATTTTTTGACAACCCTCTTTAAGATAAATCAACTTGCTTTACTGCAATAGTTATATGAAAATCGCATTTGTCGTGTAATTTAATAATGGAACAATCTTCTACTCCACAACATGGCGATCAAAAAGGTAACTCATCAAAGGTTTAATTAAATTTCGATCTGGCTGGCACATAGAAAGCTGTTTAGTAAAAAAAATGTATACTTTGGCGCGTAAAAAACTATTGCTAGTTCGTCAACCTTGGTTTTATAGTTATGAATTGTACTATTAGTTTTATTCGCATTAGTTGAGAAAAGTATTATACTAGGCATTGATAGATATACGTATGTGTGCCTCGGCTCGCCTCGGCCCCCATTTACACGTCCATCAATGCCTCTCCAGTCAGCCGCTTCAGTAATGTACTATTTCTATCATTAGGAATGAATAAAATATAATTGAGATATTAGAATTCAAACGTATTCGAACTGTACACGCCCATACAAAAAGTATCGGCCCCACCATTTAATTGTATCGCTAGTAACAAAAATACGAGTGAAAATTAATTTTAACTTATTTTTATCTTTACTAGTAAATTTAAAAGCAGTTCAATGGTCGAATGGTAGTAATATAGGGCAAATAATCAACGGGTCGTGGCTTTGATCCCCATGGCTCCAACATGTTTTTAATCAATTATATTTTTGCAAAATGTTGGACTTGAAAAAGCCGTGAAGTTTAATCGTGTTTCGGTTGCAGTCAGTGAATTTCCGAAAAAGGTCAACAGTGCATCGTGTTAAGTATATTATATTATATATTTAAATCAATCAATAATAATTAAAAAAACACTTTAACGGTTTAAAACGCGATATATCAGTTGAACTTATTTGAAAATGATTTTTAACTTTTTAAAATAACTAATATATCGCGTTTTAAACCGTTAGTGTTTTATTTAAATGTGTACTACTCGCGTAAACTATAGACAGTATTTAAGTATATTATATTATCACCTTACTTAACTTTTTTTTCTAAGTCAGCGATTTCTGTAAATTAGCTTAGCTAAGCCCAATGACTATAAATTTGAATGCGTACTTGACTTCTGAACAAATTTGAAGCACTATTTAATATTTTAGTATAAGTACCCTGAAACACTCGTGCGCAATTTATTATAATATATATATATCTATAACTTCGACAGGCTCTTTCGCAAATTACTTATTTGGAATGGACAGTGAATACTATGAATATTTATGAATTTATATTGTTAAGGATAATGTTTCAGTTGTTGGCCTTACTTAATTCTAAGCAAAAACATAGAGTGAAAAGAAAATGTTTGCTTTCAAATTGATAATGTAATTAATTGTATTTATTCTGTACTGTATTTAAAATGATTAATTCTGTATTCTTTTTAATTTTAAACTCACTTAAATAAATTACGTTAATGATTTGAAACGCAATATATATAAGCTAAACTTATTTTTCACAAGCCAGGAAGTCCTCCCGTGACCACAGCTGCTGCGAAACATCGGGCCGTAGTTAAAATGACTTTCAAATGAGTTTAACTATAGACAGTATTTTAACGCACTATTTCTGGCTATCAATCAAATGCCATCCATGGGCGTCGCTGATAATCGGCAGTGCAGCAACGCTGTTGCTGCTGCAACCGCCGGGTGATGTCCATCCACATCAAAGTTGTTGTTAATTTTAGCCTATTACTTTTATGTTATATCATTTATAATTTCTATGTATTTGTATATGCATGTGTGCTTTGTGGATTAAATTATTTTAATTTAAATAAATCACGGTCAGAGTTAGGAATCTAATACCAACGGTTTAAAACGCGATATATTAGTTAAACTTAATTGAAAATGATTTTTAACTTCGGCCCGACGTTTCGGATGCTTTGCAGCAGCCGTGGTCACGGGGAGTCTCCCCGAAGGTAAAAATCATTTTCAAATTAGTTTAACTAATATATCGCGTTTTAAACCGTTAAAGTGTTTTATTTAAATGTGTACTACTCGTGTAACTATAGACAGTATATCTCATAATTATTTGAACGGTAAATTGATTTCAGAAACATATTGGACCATTGGTAATCGAATCTAACCTAACCTACCACCCGTTGATTTATAGAGTCTTACATTGCTACCATTAGACTAACCGTCAGGTAAATTATACTTGGTTTTATAACTATGTTTTTCAACGGGACCTTTTTTTTCAAAACAGAACGTTGCCACAGACTATATTCTATCAAATCTAAAACAATGTACGCGCAGCTATATTGACGCTCTTGCATTATCAGCCCACTACGATTTCGCACTATTGGGACTTGGGAGTAGTTTGTATCCTAAGCCTCCGGCGATTTCCCAGGGCACCCTCAAAGCACCTTAGAGGGCATTTCCATGATCTTTATCAGAAAGTACGCGGCAATAAAAATAAGGATGAATATTTTTTTGTGCACGGTTGGGTTTCGAACTCACGACGTTTCAAACGGATGTCAGATGCCACCACTAGACCAACGCGGTAAATATATTAACACTAACAGGTAGGGATTAATTTGACTTAAAACTTTACCTTCAGGGCGTCCAATAAAGGTGAAGGTTTGTCGGAATACAGAACGGCATCCACCATGCAGTATTGGTCCATTGGATGTTGGCATATATCCCAATCCTCTAGTGCATATAAAGGTGGGAACCATTCTAATAATGTGTCTGAAAATAGTTTATATTTTGTATAGTTAAACAGTTGTTATGTTCATTTAGGACGTGCTTAATTCGGACGTTTAATTAATATAATTTAACATATCATTGTCTTTCGGGCTGTTCGGCCGATGTGAGCGAGAAGAGGTTCTCGACGTTTCGCCATCACGTGTGGACGGCATCATCAGGAGGATCCTCCTGATGATGCCGCTCACATCGCTCACATCGCTCACATCGGCCGAACAGCCCGAATGACAATGATATGCTGATCGATGGCCGTGAAAGCCTTACTCAATTTAATATAATTTAACAATAAATCATTCTCGTTTTAACGGTTTAATACGAGAATTTAATTAATAAATTTAATTACTAAACGAACTTGTAACACTTATAAATATATATTTTTGAATTCGACAATTTACGTTCAGTTATGACGTATAATTTGATTATTTGATTAATATGAATAAACATTAAATAACACTCATTTTAACGGTTTTAAAACGGGAATATAATTAATAGAATAAAGAAAATTACAACATCAGCATAAACACTTTTCTAACGCTAAAATGTTACAATTTAAAAAAATTTTCACTAATATTCTTTCCGTTTTAATCGGTTAACCGAGGTTAATGTGTTAAATATTATTCGTATCACGACTTAAGAAATTGAAATTTTAATAAATAGTCTTGTTACTCTTGTATTTTAAATTCCAGACATATTTAATATGTAAAGCACAGTATACATACCATTGAATTGAACTTTGCTTCCAAAAACACCGCTCACACACACTAATAATACCATAAATGAACGACACCCCATTGTATACACCATTCGCTGTCGAATTTTCGTTAAAATTAATCGCGTTGAAACCACTCGTCCATATATAAAGACCGTTTTTGTCCAAAACAATTTCTAATTAACAATATTTTGTATTATCATTTAAGTGTCAACGACAAAAACTGCGGGGATTAAGAACAGAACACTTCCACAAACACGTTCGAACGAACAACCAAGTGTTATGGACAAGTGTGTGTTGCAAAGAACTTACGATTGCCCAACAGACAGCCAGGGTTGAGGCTTTATCCCTTCTAAAGCTTTCAACATCTTGTATAAAAAATAATGATTAGCATTGATTATTATTAGTTCTTAATGTCTGTCCTTGGCTATACCGGTTTTATTCGTATAATTGTTCTTCGTGAAGATCTAGGTCTTTTATATATATAGTAGCTGTGCCTGCGACTTCGTTCGCGTGGAATAGTGACTTGGGGTAGAATTTCTAATTATTTAGGCTGTTTATTAATTTATGTAATTGCGCATTTATCGCAGCCAAAACCGCTAACCTAACATAACCTACACACATAACTCCTACTATAACTCCCACTCCCACTCCTATTCCTAAAAAGCGACAGAAGAAAGTTTCTTTGTTCTCGCTCCAATAACCACGAATTTCCATACAAACTTTCACCCCCTCCCTTTTAACCCCTTACACCCCCCTTTTCGCAATAAAAAGATATATATCCTTTCTTAAGGTCTAGACCATCTGTGTACCAAATTTCATTCAAATCCGTTCAGTAGTTTTGGCGTCAAAGAGTAACATACTGACAGACAGAGTTACTTTCACATTTATAATTTTAGTAAGGATCATAAAGCTTAACAGTTGGTTTGTTTGAACGCACCAATCTTAGGTTCATTTCCTTTTATGTTAGTTAGAGCATTTATCGAGGAAGGTATAGGCAATAAAACAGGAAGCCAACAAATGGAGCGAAGAAATAAAGTAAATTCGGAAAGATCGGGAAAAATTATTCATCTTTTTAGAGTTTCCGTTTTTTTTTGTCTAAAATAACTATTCTACGCGAACGAAGTCACGGGCATAGTTAAATATAATTTGGCAGAGAGCTACCGTGTCCTATAAAATGATTGCTCCTCTTGTTCAATCAGTTAAAGCCGTAGCTTACGCTAATAATGTCGGTTCAAGTCCAGTCCGTTCGAAATTCCATGTGAAGTAAAAGTCTTGGTGTCAAAGCAACAGCTTAAATCCTGGTAAAACAGTAAAAGTTTTGGTATGGCCCTAATATTTTGTGTCCCCACAAGACTGATAAATCCCCACAAGTTACCCCACGGCCTAAGGTCACATATAAATCTAGTTCTTTATAGTAGCATGTTAATTAATGTACTACAATTTCCTATATACTAATTAACGGTTTAAAACTCGAAATATATTATTTAATTCATTCGTGATTTAACTACGACTGGACATTTGGTTTCCCGAAATTGTTGTATCGAATTATATGCTACTCGCATAAACTACAGACAATACCGTAATGTAACAATTGAAGTTGAGTAAAAATAGAGAGATTGAGAAAAAATGGCTTTGTACCAGTTTCCTGTAAAATAAAGCCCGTTTCCCCTCGTAGTTAGTTAAATTTGTTTGAAAATTATTTTTAACTTCGGCCCGACGTTTCGGATGCTTTGCAGCAGCCGGGCTGCACGGGGAGACTAAAGATGGAGGATGTCTCTGACGTCAAAGTAAAAAATTGCTACGCTAACGCCATCTGTTCCATCGAAGTTGGTATTTGGCGAAACTGGCCAAGTCCTTACAAAATTCACTAACAGTGTCTTCGCGTTTGCCGGTATGCTGTTTAAGTTTAACTAATATATCGCATTTTAAACCGTTAAAGTTTAAATGTGTACTACTCGCGTAAACTGTAGACAGTATTTATTATCCCTCTTATTAAACATTGAACACGGAACCCTAAAAAGCGTAAAGGTTATAATTGACACCACTATAATAATCGATAACTTTTATTCTTATTAATTCTTCAATATCCATATAATATTTACACAATTTGATATATAGCTCGTAATTTAAATGTAAAACTCATCTAGCGGTAATATAAACATTGTTTTTAAAAGTAGGATAAAATAATACATACGATAAAACAATTGAATGTGAAATATTTGCAATATAACGCATACCTTTGCGAGATTTCCGATAATTGTATAGTTTGAAAACTATTAAAAAAAAAACAAAATAGATACGGACGGAATAGTGAAAAATCTAAATTTATCCACACCCGTTGCCCCCAGTGGGGCATGGGGTATTTTAGTTCCCTTATTCAATGGTCGATGTTTTAAATACATTTCAAGTTCTACGCCCTGCTAGACCTCAAAAATTTATCGTTCTACTGGGATTCAAACCCAGGTCCTCATGCTTAACGCAATGCTAGGCAACCCGGTCAGTAGACACTTTAAGAGTTTAAAAGGCGATATATTTTAGTTAAATTCTATTGAAAATTATTTTAACTACGGCCCGATGTCTCGGATGCTTTGCAGCAGCCGTGGTCACGGGGAGACAAGTCGGACCGTCGGGCCGTAGTTAAAATAATTTTCAAATAAGTTTATTAGTGTATATCGCGTTTTAAACCGTTAAAGTGTTTTATTTAAATGTGTAGTGCTCGCGTAAACTACAGACAGGTTAGTAATTACTACACTTATAGCATTAGCAGCTAGAAGTACACCGCACAGTAGGTACAAAGATTAAGATTTGTTTATTTCATATATATATTAACATATAGACATTTTACTGACAATACTGACGCAAAAACACAAGGTATGCGTTATACAATAATATTCAAATGTAGGAAAGAAAGTGACGTAACTATTACAAAGATAAGGCTTACGTCATTATAATTTTAATATTTATAAAATTTATTAATTACATTCAGATGGACACTTAAATGAACTCGACCACGCTACAAATGTAGAATATTAAAGATAAAACCCCAAGCCAAAGGGTATTCGTATTACGTAAGCATTGTGGTGGGGGGGGGCTCCAATAGTAAAACCAGATTTAATAATTTCGAACTACTCCACATCTACAGTATATTATAAAGAGTATAGATTTTTATTTGTGTGTACGTAATAAACTCAAAAATTACTATGCCAAAAGTAGGTTCAGGGCTAGGAACGATAAGAGATCCATGCTAAAACAGAGTTAGTAATACACAAAAAGGAAAATAAATATTAAGAGAAGAGGTGAATAGGGGGGGGGTTTAAGCTTATTTTTTTATAAGGATGGGGGGGGGATATTAGTCACGATGCTTACGTAACACTTGAACAGCCCCAAGCTGAAGAGTTAGCTCAGCTATAAGGATACATATAAGAAACAACCAAATAACTTAAATTAAAATAAATACATGACGCTCATTTTTTTTCTTTTATCCATTTCATTGATAGCTAGCAATTTTACATCGACCTAACTATTATTATGTACAATTGTTTGTCAAGGTTATTACAGTTTCCGTAGACGGAGGCACGAAATGTATTGTTTTTGTCGACATCTGTTACTCGCTTACGAAGTATTGCCAGATCTAAATGACGTATTACTTTTAACTTGAAAAAAAAAAGGCAACCATACAGCTTCGATTTAATCAACTCTTGTGAAGCTGAAATACCGCAGCCATATCTCGACGTGATGCGCTGTCGGCCTATGGCTTTCGACTTAACCCACAGACTGAAACCGAAATGGCAATCATCATAGCTTCATCTGCGGTGTGTCCGACCGAATTTCGACAGTCTTAACATGTTTCAAAAGAATTTAAGGAACATGTTGGATCCGCTAGTCGAAGGCACAATCCGTTGATTGTTTGCCATTACTACGCTTTGGGCCAAGAAGGTCGTAAAATTAAGTGCAAAATTGAAACGACATCTACAAATATATATAACAGCAGTGTATACACATAATACTGTACTGATCCAGCTTAAGTAAGATTCAAATGTTATAAATTCTATAAGAATATAACTAGGCACCAAATTTTTACACATTACAATATTCTGTGTATTATTGACAATGTTTATAATATAGCGCGTTTAAAAAGGATATATTAGTCAAAATAATATAAAACGGTTTAAAACGTGAATAGTATTCGTTAATTACTTTTAAACAAAATTTTCGCGTTTTAAACCGTTAAAGTGTTTAATTTAATTAATAACATCTTAAAGACAATAATTAATGAATTACTTTAACAATTTTCTCTGAAGTAATTCATTAAATTTGTATTCACCTTGGATTATTTACAAACTCGTTGTACCTGTTGGAAATCGAACTCCCGTTAATTGTAAGCCAATCTTTATTAAGTGATCAGAAATGAAACTTCCCATTAACTATATGCAAATTACTTGGAGCCACTTTGAATGACGAATAATGACTTCGATTAATGTTAACCGGTTGTTAAAATTTATTAAACTTTCTTAATCAAAATGGTTCGGTAAAATTGGTCTTAATACTTCTTTAAACGCGCCATATCATACTTAAGTTAAACTTTAACACGTGTTTAACACGAGAATTCAAGCTCCGAAACGAATCGGTGTGTTCAGTAGAGTTAACTGCTAGATTTTGCACGTATCGACAATATTAGAAACAATTTCAAGCACAATTTAATTGACGTTAAAGCTGAACAAGCACTACGCACTGAGGGTAGGAACTACATCAATTGAAAAATGTTTAATTACATATTATTGTTTCAAAGAGGAATTAAGATAAATTAATTTTAATCAAAATATTTAGCAATTGTTAACAAAGTTAATATAAAAATTATTCACGAGCGCTCCGAAGGGCTTCTATTTTAGTGACCGGCCTACAGTAAATGCTCAAGGAATTATTACGAGGTTACATTCTACGCCCCTCTCGGATATTAAGAGCTACCCAAGAACACCGTTTTCGGAAGAATAAATTAATATAACCATTATGACACAATAAACGTATTAATATTTGACACTAGAGTGCAATAAAGTACCACTTTCGTACCAAAAATATAATATTACGGACTTTATGAAGTATAATGTTCACTTATTTATAGCTTAAAATTACGCAGATTTAAGTTTAAGCCGAAATTGACTAGAAAATTTGGACGAGTGAGCAGGTACCGAGCATACGTTCGCCGCCGCTGCGCATACGTCGAAATTTTTCTATACACATCCGATACAGTGGACCCGCGAAGCACCAGTAAAATAAACCGCAACACATTACCATTAATGAGCAATACCAGTATCGCAAAATGACATATGTTTGAATCAATTTCGACGTCAAATCGTGACACCGATCAAAGTTAAACAACCGTTAAAGGATATCGATGGGTGTTAAGATTAATCGGTGTCAAAATCCGTCGGTGATATTGAACCTTAGTATCACGTGTGGACGTTAAGTGTGTCGTTTTTATCCTTTGCGTTATCATATACTGTAATTAAAATTCTCCGTAATAATATGATAACATCTAAATAATTGAAAACTAGGTAATTAAATTGACGTCATAGCTAACGAGTTCCAGCGCGATTGTAGGTATCAAAATTTTGCTCTTTGTACACATTAGATATTGGATTTTATTACAACTATTTTAGGGTTCCGTAGCCAAAGGTTAAAAACGCGAATCTCTAACTTCACTGTGTCTGTTACCAAGCGGTGTCAAGTACATTGATAGCTAGAGAATTGAAATATTAACATATTATGAATTTTTGTAGTAGGTTTTTAAATACAAAAAAAAAATTATTGCCCGTTTTCGCCTAAATGAAGGTGATATGAACACACTGAATTTGTACAAAATACTTAGTGGTATGTTTGTTTAAACAGATTTACATGGATTTAATACATGGGAACGGTGAAGTAACGATAATTATTTAAAAATGGCTAAAATATGAATTTTTTTTTTAAAAAAGAAATATGACATTTGCGGAACTAATAAAATAAAAATAATAAATAACCAATTGAGCTACCATGTCCTACACGTCACCGTTTAATTATTTTTTTCAACTCTCGCGCATAGGAATGAAATTTGATTTAGCAGTTTACGTATTCATTTGTACGGAACTCCTGCGCATAATTTTTTGTCTATGGTTTTAGGAACTTCGCTAGCTTAACGCGTACACTAGTGCCGTATTTCTATCTACATAAGGCGTTTATTGCTTTGTCAAGTGCTCAGTCCACGCCGGCAAAGCCTTGCGAGCCCTCGATCGCTTTGATGAGCTTCTCCCGGAGTTGTTGGTAGCTCTCGTACGGCGGCAGATCGATACGGTTGAAACTGCGAAAGGAGAGTCTAAATTAAAAATCGATTTTAGATTGATGATCCATACATTGCTATTAAACTAATGAGCCACTCGGCTTTATATAATAGAATTCCCTTTGAAAACTGTAATATTTTTCACATGTTATTGCACACGATGGCATTATATGAACTAAACATGGGTTTTAGGTTGAAACAATGATACGACACAGGAAGTTGACACGGTAGCTCAATTGGCGAGAGCAACAGCGCGGAACGCTGTGGATCCCGGTCCAAGTCCCGCCGTTGTCATATTTTTTTTTAAATCTAAAATCGAATTTAATTTATATAATGGCAACATGTGAAAAATAAAGTTTTTAATGGAAAACAAAGCTGGGTGGCACATTGATTTAATAGTAGAAATATAATAATCAACGGGTCGTGTGTTGGATACCCAATGGGTCCATATATATATTTTTTAGAAGTTTGTTTTGTAATCTGGATATTAAATGTGTGGTAGGAATATCCGACTACAGATGTCAAAGCCGTCTGGTTTAATCGCGTTTCGGTTTCAGTCTGTAGATTTACGAATATCCAAACCCAAAATAGGTCGACGGCACATCTTGTTTAGATGTTATAGGGCTGGGGTATTTCTCCTACCATCAAGTAAACCTAATGCTTGTCTGTCTTCGTGTATCATAAAAAATGTATGTACATAGTTCTTCGAATTAAAATCAAACAATAAAATGTTCACGTTTAAATAGAACACTTTTGACGGTTTAACAAAAGATTCCACATCTTTTTCTTCTACATACAGAGGGATGAGACGATAGTACGAGCTCATCAAAACTTAAACATATATACTACATACTGTCTATAGTTAACGCGAGTATTACACATTTAAATAAAACACTTTAACGGTTTAAAACGCGATATATTAGTTAAACTTATTGAAAATGATTTTTAATTTCTGCCCGACGTTTCGGATGCTTTGCAGCAGCCGTGGTCACGGGGAGACTTTCAATAAGTTTAACTAATATATCGCGTTTTTAACCGTTAGTGTTTTATTCAAATTTATCCTATATTTAACATAAATCGACACTATAACATAAAACTCTTTACCATGTATGTGCCCGAGGGTAGTTTTCAGGTGAGCCCCATTTCTCGATCGTGAAAAGTTGGGGTCCATTGGAGCCATACAGCTCTTTGAAGCCGTTCATGGGCACGCGAGATGTCCCCGTCACGAATTGAAGAAGTCGAGATCTCATCTCGTTGGAGAAGGATAATACCACCTGTAACAAGTGGGAATTTATTCACTACGACGAAGTTGCTGGCACAGTGCCAGCAACTTCGTCCGCGTAGCTGTTACCCACGACGTCGTTCTTGCAAGTTAATCTTAAAAGATATTCTTGTCTGTTCCTATTATTTTACTAGCGGCCCACCCCGGCTTCGTTCGGCGGCAGTGCTGATACTAAATACACAATAGAAAACTGTGAATGTATTAATATAAAAATTTTCCCGTTCATTCCACATATTCCTCTATACCTTCGCTCCTATTACAACAAGTACGCCTCAGGTTAATAATATTAGTATAACCCACCCTCCAAAACCATTGCACCACGAGATGGTTCGCGTGATAGTCTCCCTTATACAGGGTGTTGGCACGCCAGTCGCGCACATCGATCCGCTGGATTCCGCACAGCAGCAACTCTAGCTCGTGCTCGTCGAAGATCTTCAGCAGCGCAGGTGGCACCAAAGCACCGAAACCCTCAAGGAATGCATTCATTTGTTCTTGGACGCGTCGTACAAAGCGCCACTCTATCACAGACCTGAAATAATTGAAGAAGCACATGTGAATATGGTCAAGCAGAGAATGCCACGGAAATTACGAGAAAAGCCATACACGGACAGGTTTCCCTCCCTGGGGCATGGGGCGAACAGAACGATGTACTTATATACTTAAGTTAAATGTTTGCCCAAAGCCTTACTAGTTTGATAGCGCTTCTTGTTTAGACTCTATATCCTCCCTGGAGCAAGAGAGCGAACACATTTCTGTACCCATTTCACTGATCACTTTTTAATTACACACGAATAATTGATCAGATTTCTGTGCCTTACCAAAATAATCTATTGTTTTCCCTCGATCCGAACCCAGGACCTCTCGCGCTTAACGCAATGCTAAGCAAAACTTGAGACATTTAGCCTCAGAGGTGGGCTTTTTTTATTTAACAATAAAGCTATAAATACATTTAAACAATCCTGCATTATGTTTTTTACGTAGAATATTGTTCTAGTAGTGGTTCTGGTCGACTCGCGCTATTGCGAGAGCTGGTACCAACAGATTGAGCGCAAAAGGTGTAGTACCGATTACCACACCACAACTGCTTGATGTGCAAAATGGCCCATCATTCACATCATCAGTCATCAATCATCAGTTACCATCATTAACCATCAGTCATCATTCATCAGTTTCCATCACTAACCATCATTTATCTTCAGTCATCATTAAAATAAAAATAGAGAAAAAATATATGTCTGTTCCATTATATGCGTAAATAACTCACTTTATATACTCGTCCTTGTTTTCATCATCAACAGAAATATTCGCACCATTGGGCTTCAACTCTCGCTGATAAGTCTTGCCGAACTGCTCTTCATCGACCGCAAATGTTAAGTACAGTTCAGAAGGGTCATTATCCTGGGGAAGATATAAAAAGAGTTGTTCAAAGTAATATTAACAAAGAACATATGAAGAAATGTTTTATAACTGACTAGCTGTGGCAGCGAAGAATACATACATTTTTAAAACCTCCCCTCGTTCTTTATTATTTTAACTGTTACCCACGACTAATCTTAAAAGATAGACATAAACTGTCGCGGACATTTTTTAGAACCTGAACCGTTTTTGCAGCGTATGCAACGGTTAATAGTTTTTCCTATTTTCCACATTTCCCGCTGTTTCTTCGCTCCTATTAGTCGCTGCGAAATATTTTTTAGCCTTCCTCGATAAATGCTCAGACCAACACAAAGAATTTTTCAATTCGAACCAGAACTTACACAAAAATAATAAATTTTTCGATTTACACTAGTAATTCTTGAGATTAGCGCGTTCAAACAAACAAATAAACAATCTCTTTAGCTATATATTAGTATAGATGGGAATTGTGAATATACTCGCAAGTCGTAGATATGGTTAATAGATATACCCGTATCCACATAAGTGAGTTGTAGTACTCCAAATCGACGGACTCCATGTCCTGGAGATCAATGGGTTTGCCCAGCATCATCTTGTAGAATGGACGGATAAAGAATGCTGTAACAAGATTATTTAATGTTACATAAAACACTATTAATAGTTTAGAGAGATTAATCATAACGCGTTACGTGACGTAACGTTTATACGTTTGTATGTTATTCCTACTGAATAAATGATTTTTGACCTTGACATAAGGAGTACTTAAACATATTTTATAAGAGAACGTAAAATAAGTTACCTAATATATTTCTCGTTTCAAACCATTTAAAGTGTTTAATTTAAATGGGTATAACTCACGTCAATTACAAATAATATTTTAACAAAGCACTTCAACGGTTTAAAACGCGATACATAATATAAATTAAACTTATTTGGGCTATTATTCAATTACATCCCGACGTTTCGGATGCTTTGCAGCAACCGTGGTCACGGAGAGACACACGACCCACAGACAGTATCTACAGACAATTCGTCACGTACCATCAAGCAACTTCCCATGGTACACAGCCATACCGGCGACGCGGCCGATGAACTTGAAGTAGTTCAAATGCTCCTCGTTACAGACGCCACTGTTCGGATTGATTTGCAGTGTATAGTTGTCCATGGCCGAATACTCGAAGAGGCCGTAGTACGGATTGAACATCTCCTTCGACAGTAAGAAGAACCACTCTCGCGCCAAACCGCCATAATCTGCGAATACGCAAATATACGAACCAAATTAGGCAATACTCTTATGATATTATGTATTGTAATTTTATAAAAGTACTGTCGAGATTAGTATTTTTCTAAGTTCCGAAAAGATTTGGCCGATTGCAAACGGAGTCCATACCCAGTGATGACCTATTATAGAGTGAAGTCGATGCCACAGAGGGATAAAGAGATATCGATTATACAGGGTGTCCCAAGAAGTAGTGTCAAGCGGTGGTCCCAAATTAGAACACGCCTTGGATCATCCGAAACACCCCCATGTATGTTCTGCGATTATTTATAGTTTTCGAGTTACGAATTTTTTTCTAAAATTTTGAGATTTTTTGACCTAAACAACTAAAACGCTAATTTACAAAAGGTGATAAGACTTTTTCTAGATTTAGGTTAGTTAGGAAGAATACACTATAGGTTTTCAATTGGGACGTGGAGGGGGCTCATTGATCTGGTCGTATCAATGTATTCCTAATAATACTCAACGGGTAGTGATATCTCTTTTATATTATAGTAAGGATACAAACCTAATCCCACTTCCGATTCGAACTCAACCCAAAGTTTCGTCTTGAGAAGATCGACTCTACTAACGGAGCTAATGATGCGGTAAGAATCTTCCAGAATCGAATTCCGACGGACTTTTATCTCGAACTTGTTTGGAACGTTACTCTGGAACAAGAATTATTGTAAACATGAGCACAAACAGTTTAAAACTGGGTTTAGCGTTACATTGGATAACGAAAACGGGGCAATACTAATATTATATAGTCGAAGAGTTTGTTTGAACGTGCTAACCCAGGAACTACTACTGGATAGAGCATTTATCGAAGAAGACTTTAGACTGTATAACATCACGCTTCGACGAATAGGAACTAAGAAACGGATAATGGAATTATTTCTTTTTAAACGATAAAAAAAAACGTACGCGGCAATATATATTTTAATATTAATTCGCAGCAACGCCGGGACGCAGAGGACATCGTTAGTAATAGCTATTTATTTATAAAGGTGAGGAGGAGCTTTACAAAATCAACTTTTGATGCCTAAAATTCAACGCGTACATAGTCGCTGGCACAGCTAGTTCATGATAAAGTGACAAATGCCATTTGTTTAATAATAGAAAAAAAAAGCCTCACCGGTTTGCGCAGCTGACTCTTGAGGTACTCGTACTTGCGTTTATAGTCTCTGGAGTATGGAACTGCTGGACCAGCTATCTGCGGGTTGGAGAGTCTCGGGTCCTCCCACTGAGTAGTGCGAGTGTCTATAACCACACACAGTACAGGTTATATAGGAAAAAATAACTAAACACTACCAATGTTATAATCTTCATTTTGAAAAACTATTATTCTACACACATTGGTGCACATAATCTATGCAAATATTATAAAGCCATAGAGTTTGTTTGTTTGAACGCGTTCTTTCGGGAACTACTGGTTCGAATTAAAAAAATAATTTTGGTGTCGGATAGACCAATTATCGAGGAAGGATTTAAGGCTAAAACATCAGATTTTGATTAAGAGGAGCGATGAAACAGAGCGAAATAAAGAAAAACTGGACCAAATGGCGAAATTCATATTTGAGAGCTTTCGTTGCGTACGCTCCGAAATCAGTTTTTAGAAAAAATAAAATATATAATAAATAATTCTATTTTTAAATTCTCTAATTTTAAATAAATTACGGCGACAGTATTTGTCCATCTTTATTAGATGAAACAAAAACCATTTATATGGTAATAAATTTTCGCCAAAACAAAGCGTTTTCAATTGGTTGAAATTACATTGCACATCAGGTGCTTGTCTCAAAGGCGTTGAAAATGACGAGTATAATGCACGCAGTATCTCAAATGGTTAGAGCAACAACACGGAACGCTGTTCAAGTCCCTTTTTTATCATACAATTTTTTTCCATCTAATCGGATTTGTAATTGTATTTTTTTATTATCTATTTCAAGCTTTATGGGAAAACAGATTACAGTAGGTACACTTACTATGATCGATGAAGAATATCCTGGCATCAGTATGCACGCGCTCCTCCCAACCTTCAGGCAGAGGCCCTAACTCATCAGCTTCAGCTCCCGCGCTCGCTTGTACTGCACTTGGCAAGCTGGACGCACAACCTGCCACAAAAACATATTTCACATACTTACATGCAGAGATATATTATTATGAAATCTTCAAGTTTGTTTTTATGATAGAATAGTACTGTCTGTAGTTTACGCGAGTAGTAATATTTAAGTAAAACATTTTTAACGCGTGATCACGGCTGCAATGAAGCAACTGAAACGTCTAGCCTTAGTAAAACAACTTTCAAACAATTAAATCAAACACTTTAACGGTTTAAAACGCGATATATTAGTTAAACTTCGAACTTTGTTTGCATTTTCCAGCCCGTACTGGTCAATTAAATACTGTCTATAGTTTACGCGAGTAGTACACACTTAAATAATATTTGTAAATGATTTTTAACTTTTTAATCGCGTTTTAAACGGTTAAAGTGTTTTATTTAAATGTGTACTACTCGCGTAAACTATAGACAGAATTTAACTTTCAAACAAGTTTAAATAATATATATCGCGTCTTAAACCGTTAAAGTGTTTTATTTAAATGATAAGATGAGAACATAGAAGCATGGGGCTCACCTAATGGTAAGTGTCCCCAGCCAGCAGTAGGTCGGAATCTCGATATTCCTACCATCTGTTAAATATCCAGTTTTCGAGACGAAGTCCAATAAAAGTTTAACTATTTTTTTTAACATAAATTACAGGTTAAGAAATCAATTTTACAACAAATGTTGAAATAAATCAACCTAAATGAAAAATAAAAATATGTATAAAGAAAAACTAACCTGTTCTTGGATCCACCCAGGTGGTCGTTTTATTATTATGGTCGATGAAGAATATTCTTCCATTCGGTGCCCGTTGCATGCTCCAGCCGAGGGGTAGACCTATGAAAAAGGAAATTGATTTAGTATAAATCATTATTACATATAACAAATCATTAAATATAATACATAGATTTATGTATTCAACACATAGTATATATGAGAAGGCCAGACAAAAACGAGAAATATAAATATTTTGTACTTGTTGGTAGGTAAAACACCACAGCCCTATAACATCTTAACAAGATTCGCTGTCCTATTTTGGGTTTTGGATATTCGGAAATCCACATGAAACTTCCTTCAGCTTTATTGTTCTACATTTCTTATTACTAGATTTTTTACTTTAAGCTGTAAAGTATTCTAAACGTTACATAAATAACCTCTAAACAAGATGCGCTAGCGACCCTTTACGGCTTGTGATACAATTTTAATTAAAGTACGTACCATCACTGTTTGGTAAATTTTGACTCTGCGTGCTGCTCGCGCTGCTGCTTCGAGTACTCTCCGAAGAACCATCAGACTCGTCCTAGAAACACAAAATTTATTAAAAACTATAGAATACCTTCGTTTACAAGAACGATTTTAACTGAACTGAAATCTAGTAATCAACGTAGCGTCCTGGACTAAAACATTGTATGAGCTTAGTTAAATACGAATCAATATAAATATTATGTAAAGCTACTCTTGGTTTGGCAATCCGTTCGCCAGCTTGAAACCCAAATATCTGCGCAGTATGACCACGAAAACCTCACCCAATTTGCTATACAAGTAATATTTGATCCGAAACCCAATTTTCTCTTCAACGTATTTATTTGCTTAAGGCAAAAAATTGACAAAATATTTGAAAATAGCACCTAAAAATAACAAAAGCGGTTCAAAACTAAAACCATGCAGTGACTAAACCTTCATGCCATGCAGCAATGTATAACCTAAATTATATGCTTAGCGTAAGCGAAACCTGAGAAATGATGTGCTGCGTAATGAAGTCTTCAGTGGCATCTTATCTTATCCTAATGAAATAAATACTTACTTGAAATTCACATCGTATAGGCCGCTAAAGGTAGATGGTATCACCAATATTCAAGTCTATGTTAGAATCTCCCAAAAAAAAGATCGAAGGTTCTATCAGTATTCAAAACTTTTATTTACAATGTGCGTGTTAATTATGGTCTAGTGTCTGTGAGCATCTTTTCTAGCGCTGTGTTAGTCGCAAGCGCAGCCGTGTCAAGTGTACGCCCACTATGTCCTCAACATAGATGTATAGATGCGCAGACTATACAATATTTTAAGTGATCTATAGCAGGTACGCAATCTATCACCTTTCATAGACAATCGATCAGAGCGTAACATACAGATAGAGATAACTATACATTCATTCTGTTCTCTCTTACTAGGACTACCGATGTACACAGGTGCTATTAGCGGGACGTCATACAAACCCACAAATGTACACATACACTCGTCTTAGTCGAGTAGAGACTAGCCAGCTGTATCTATCAACAAATCGATCAATTCGTCGATCAATCAATAAAATAAAAATGATAGGAACAGGTTACAGCTAGCTAGTGAGTACTCAAAATATGTCACTCCTTCAAACCATCTTACCTCTGAGCTCATAGAGCTTGCCGTCGTCCGTCGTCTACGTCTGTCCGTCGAAGATCTTCTCCCCGACGACGGGCGCCTCTCGGGTGTCAGCCCCCCTGTCGGCGTGCTAAAGTGGTTCTCATCAAACGTCAAAGACTCTGCCGACTCGACAGTTAGTTCCTCTCGACTCCCTTCGTCTCGACTCTCTTCTCTTCCGCCTCCCTCTCCATTGTCAACGCAATTAACTCTATCTATCTCCTCTTGAGTTTCGTCAGGACTAGTTATGATTATCTCCTCTACTGGCCTTAATTCGATTTCTAGGGTGTCAGTGGCGGAACTATCTTGGCTACTACTCGCGGACAAATTAGCTCTCGGCGTGCTAGGTGTATTGTCATTTGTATTAGCATCAACGGTTTCTATATTATTATCTATTTCACTATCGCTAACATTTTCGGTGTCTACAGTCGATGCTTCAGCATTTGCTGCACACGATGCAGCTACGTCTGTCACTAAATTACTTTCTTGTTCTCCTTGCTCATTTTCTTCAGTTTCAGTCGTATCATTAGCACAGACTAAGTCATTTTCTTCGTTTTGATTATCGCTTACATTAGTATCACAGACATTAGTAGAATCAGGAATGGGATCGGTATTTTCCATCACTGGAGTGAGGACCGGCGTAGAATATGGAGTGACTTCCGTGGAATTTTCCGGTCTATTCTCATCTGTTTCCACTGGAATTCCGGTACTTAAGTCGGTCGTGTCGGGGCTATTTTCAGCTGGTCTATTGTTTGCTTCCTCCTGTTAGAGATTTACAAGTGACACTGACTTTTACGGAACATTTAAATTGGTAATACATGGTGAATTGACATTTCCTAAAATTAAACTACTAGGTGTAAAAAAATTACAGTACCGCAGTATTGTCTATGATCTGTGAGGACATTACAGTGAATGTACGGAACCCAACACGCAGTTGGAGTGTAAGATTCAAGGTTAAAATATTTAACCATGGATAATCCAATTAGTTATTAATGAAGTAGGCTGATTGTATGATGTTAAAAAACAGTGTACATATTTTTGTATTTATTTTATGTCATGTAGTTATTTATATAGGTATCGACACAATACTTTGTAATATGGTAATATTTCAAAGATCCCAAGTACACGGTCTTTTAATTCGTGAAGGAAACATAAAGTGTTAAAAAGTATGGCTAAGGCCAAATGAGATCCCTTTTTTGCAAAGCCATGCTGCATATAAATATCTACCTCGAAATAGTGTCGTAATAAATTTTTTGTATTATTATACTTACGCGATATTTTTTTTATTTTTTTAATAAAAAATGTAGGTATATGAATATTTTGTAGGCGCTTAAGTGCACTTTAGGCATACTATATTTCAAGAAAAGTCAAGTATTGTCACATAATTTAAAAATCCATCTAGATTTTAACTGAATACGGTCAGGACTTGAACCCTGGACCACAGCACATCAAGATGCTAGTCGTGGTTTCGAGTCTAACTCTTTTTATCAAAATTAACTTTTGATAAGTAAAATTGACTTCTTAAAATAGGTTATAAATGGATTTTCAGTCAACTTGGTAACTGGTTAAGCTTCTTTTTCGCGCTGTTCGGCTGTCGTAATTAAGAAATGTTTCTCGACGTTCCTCCACTAAGGGACTAACTCTACAGTCAGTTGAACAGCTCGAAAACCCAAAAAGCCTTGCAAAATGGTGAAGGCGTTGAACAATTTATTTTATAACTGGTTAAAACTAGTTTGGAACCAAAGCACCTTATCAAAAAGAGTGCAACCTAGATAAAACGAAGCAAACAAAACGAATATCATGCAAGATAAGAACGTGCAAATATTGAACTTCCCTTTTCAATTTATTTGAATATGTGTACAATTTTGACAGTAATAATAAGCATAATTTTCATGCCATGTGCACAACATTTATAAGTGTACGGTAGCATTTGGAACAATCTTACCCCCCCTCCCCTTTTTTTAATAACCCAATATCGCAAGACCACTGAACCTTCTACGGAATAAACATTTTTGGAGGCAGTAATTTCTCAACACAACAATTCTTACTTGGCATGTTAAATATTGTAAATTTAAATCTGATTGTCTTTTAATCCCGCTGTTGTTTTAATAAACCAGTTTTAACGGTTAAAGATTTTATATTTTTCACATATTATTTGCACATGATGGCATTTTATAACTTAAAGATCAAAAATAATTTGATACAATTTTCGGCTGGCAGGACTTGAACCGGCATAGTCAGCGTTCCGTGCTGTTGCTGTACGGAAATTGAGCTACCGAGTCGGTAGAGCAACTGCCAGTTCAAGTCGCTGCCCTGAGCCGAAAATTGTATCAAATTATTTTCGATTTTTAAGTTTCCTTTAACGGTTTTAAAACAAAACGCTATCTATTTATTAGTGTACTCGCAAGAACTACACGGTTCCGCTAATATTATTGGAAAAAAAAGGGGGGGGGGGGCAAAGATTTTAGACAAGTTTGATAGCTGCTCCACATTATATTTTTCCGTAGAAGGTGTTAACTACTTCAATCTAAACCAGACCTAGCCCATATAAAGCCCATATCGTCTAGAATAGAAGTAAAACAGCGAAGACCCTTGAAACGTACCTGCGGCTGGGTGTTCGTTTGGTTTTGTTCGTCGTCGGCCGAAATGTGAAACCGACGCTGAAATTCAGTCGCCGCCGTCTCCATGCGCTCCGCTTGAGACTCTGTGCTCATGTTGCGGCTGAAATGTTTCATAATTTTGTTAATTTTTATAATATTAAAATAAGCACTAATGTCAGGATCTACTGGTTCGAATTGAAATACAGCGGGACAGGACAAAGTGGAATATGTGAAAAAAAAAACATCTTTGCTAGCTCCCGTTCCCGCTCCCCGCGTGTGCTGCGAAAAGTGTTAAAGACATTTGTATGAAAAAAATATTTCCTTTTAAATGATCTTAAAGTCGGATCTCCACAGTATATGTCTATCTTTTATGATTACTAACCAAATTTGTCGAAATGAATGCATAATCTGTTAGAGTTGAATCAACGTAATAATATTACTCTTGCAAACAACAACACAGCCGGTCCTATATTTCACTAAAAAGAGAACTTACGTGAATGTAGGCCGCTCCCACTGCGTAGACCGAGCCGCGTGGTTGACATAGTACGTGCGACCGTTCGCATCCTGCCTTTCCTCCCAGCCCGCCGGAAGTGGGTCACCACCAATCGTCTGCAACGTAACAGTGATCTTGGTACTTCAGATGACCATGATACTTAAATAAAACACTTTAACGGTTTAAAACGCGAAATATATATCGTCTCACCGTGACCGGCTGGCAAAGCATCCGAAACGTCAGGCCATGGTTCAACTAATTTTCAAATAAGTTTAACTAATATATAACGCGTTTTAAACCGTTAGTGTTTTATTTAAAGTGTCTCCCCGTGACCACGAGGGCTGCTGCAAAGCATCCGACAACGTCGGGCCGAAGTTAAAAATCATATTTCAAATAAGTTTAACCTTGAATACTTATCGCGTAGTTTTAAACCGTTAAAGTGTTTTATTTAAAGCTTGTTGTACTACTCGCGTCCCAAACTATAGAGGGGGGGGGGGGCCCCAAAAAAAAAACCTTTTTTTTGGGCCCCCCCCCCTTTTTTGCTCTCTCCCCCAAAAAGGGGCAAACAAAAAATTTCAATTTCGCCACCCCTTGTGTCCCAGCAGTGGGACCTATATAGTTTATGCCTACAGTATTTAAAATATGATATTGTTAACCATTTAAGGTAACTTTATACCTATAATTTTATATGTTGATCATTTCAAATATCGTGATTAAAATCGATTCAGTATTTTAAACATCAAAATAAAACTTGCCGACACAAATGACAAACTCTTCTCTTTGGTTTCGCCAACATCGGGAAATATACATATTTTAATAACACTTTTAACAGTTTATAACGCGAAATATATTCGGTAAATTATTTTTAAATAATTATAATTACGGCCAGACGTTTCGGATGCTTTGCAGCGGCCGTGGTCACGGCGCTGTTGAAGATGCAAGGACCCAGATAGTTTCTCCAAATATTAACCAGGCCGAAACAGGTGGCGTTAGCGTAGCTGACTTCACTTTGACATTGGGAACATACTCGATCGTCAGTCCCCCCCGAGACCAATGCTGATGCAAAACATACGAAAAGTTGGGTCACAGGTAGTGATGCAACGGATAGTTGTTTGGCCGGATACCGAATACCGGATATTCGGCCTCACGACTGGCTGAATATCCGGCCGCCGAATATTCGGCCAGCCAAACGATACCTATGTATATTTTAGTTTGGCGGTGCGCGCCTCGTGCAAGTTTCAACCTGTTACGTATTGTTCTCTCTTTTTATTTATATATGGTAACTCTTATTTTTTTTGATTAAAAATGAACATACGATACGCTACCATTGGTTGAATGGATTTTGATAAGTTTAAATTGTATGTTAAAACTAATAAACGAATGAAAACTTTATTATTTTTTACATGTTATTGCACATGAAGGCACTATATAATTTAAAAATCGAAAACAAATTGTAAAAATTTTTGACTCGGGCAGGAATTGAACCATCAGCGTTCCGTGCCGTTCAACGATTTCTTAAGCTGCAAATCATAAGACGTTGAACCTTAATACACAAGTGTTAAGGTTGAAATTACATTATGCGAGAGGTGCATGTATCAATAAGTTGAAAAAATTCAACGATGAGGTGTAGGACTCGGTAGCTCAATTGGTAGAGCAACAGCTCGGAACGCTGACGATGCCGGTTCAAGTTTTGCCCGAGTCGAAATTTTTTTCAATTTATTTTCGATTTTTAAACTAATAAACGAATATTGGTAATTTATCAATTATCAACAAATTATAAATTATTTTATCATAGATACTAACATTTCTCAAAGTTAAATGGAAAACAGAATCACTATTCGGTATCCGGCCGAATAGTGCGCTACTATCCGGTATTCGGCCGGATAGTAAAATAACGGCCGGATAGGCCGGATACCGAATAGTAACCGGATATCCGTTGCATCTCTAGTCACAGGCATTATGTTGTCCAATATATTTCGAGATCTAACCCGTTAAAAGTGGTATAGTTACAGACAATACTATATATATAATATATGCAAGACACGGTCCAAGCACCCTTCACCTCGTTTTATTTGCGAAGTAAAAAGAAACGTACAACGGGCAAGTGCGACGAGTCGATCAACTCCCAGTCATCATCCCCAGTTATAGATGGCACTGATCCCGCAAACACCTATACCAAACACTTCTACTTTACTTGCTTTTCGGTCTAACGGTAGCAATCCATGGCTAATTACGGTCGTTGGTTAACCCCCCAAAACCCGGGAAAAACCCCCCCCCGGGGGGGTTTTTATTTGGACAATTGCACGTCCATTGTGTTAATTATAATGTTATTAATATTATTAGTATATTATCAATTTAAAGAACTAACATGAATTAATTTTGATAACTTTAATATTTTTCACATGTCACGATGACATTATATAAATTAATAAGATGGAACTTGAATTGGCAGCCACAGCGCTTCGTGCTGCTTCGCTAACCAATTGAGCGATCGCGACACGGCCGAAGAACCGCCCGAGTCGTAATTTCTTTAGCATAAAGAGATTCTTAATTTATCGAAGAATTTTGACTAAGACTTCTCAGTTACAGAAGGTGAGACTACATCACTGACTCAAAAAATACAATATCGACCCACCTCAACCACAAATTATAACAGGAGCCCATCAATCACTTTTATGAAATAGAATCTCGAATATACGAGACCTTGCCAGTGAAACGCGAATATGTTAACCCTGGCCGAATTCCTTATCAATACATTTGACTTACTATCAAGGATCAACAAACAATAAAAAAAATGTATAGTTGGACTATATAACTATTTATTGACCGCCTCTGTAGCTAAATGGTTAAACGTGTTGCCTCGCATTGCGTTAATCACGCGAGCTCCTGGGTTCGAATCCCGAAGAAACAACAAATTGTTTCGGTCGGGCAGGGCATAAAAGTCCGATCAACTACTGTAAATAAAAATCGATCAGTGAAACGGACATATAATGTGCTCGCCCATGCTCCACGTTGGGGAAACATTTTTTCACTTTATGTTATTCAAAAACTTTAATTTTTTTGATATGTTAAAATATTTATGATATTTGGACATCAGTCTTCGTTAAAGCCCACTGACGTGTGGTGGGTCAGTCGTGGTACATCATTTTGAAAAGAAAGTTTATTCCTCTAATGCATTTTTCAACAAACGCGAATGATATGTAGATCTAATTACATCCACTCACCGGTTGAACGTTTCCCACTTGTGGGGCCGGTTCCACCATCTCCCAGTCTTCTGGCGGGCCGGTGGACTCGCCCTCGCCCTCGCCCTCGTCTTGGCCCACTCTGCCCACCAGCGCATGATATATCTCTATGTAGCCGCGGACGCGCGAACGAGCACTGTAAATCAATTTATCAAAATTAGTTAAGCATGTTTCTGGAAATTACATTTATAATAATGAACCTACATCTATGAATCCACAAAACGAATTAATATTTAAATACTGTCTGTAGTTTACGCGAGTAGTACATACACATTTGAATAAAACACTTAAATGGGTTAAAATAATTGACAACGGCCTGACCTTTCGGATGCTTTGCAGCAGCCGTGGTCACGGGGAGACGAAGAACCTTTCAAAGATGTATATTAAAGTGTTTTATTGAAATTAATACATATTTGTCAAAAAATCTTGTATGTAATCAAACATGTGTACTAGGTACTACTAACTATGTTTAACAAGATGCATCTTATATCTTCGCTATATTTTATGATCCTCTGCCATAACAATATACGCATGGGATTGACTTTTGTGAAAATGTTTGAAGCAGTGGGAGTTGAATCCACGACGCGTTGATTGTTAGGGGTGTTATATATAGGACCATTGGACCACCAAGGCCATCAGAACCAAATCATTTATTCATCACAAAACACCAATACTTATAAATTTCTCGTATCTTAAGAGACACCATTCAGTTTGGTTTTCTTGAGAAAGCACAGTACATACTTACACATATAAACATACACACATTACATAGTGTCTTCAACACACAGTATACAACATACAAACATACACATTATGTTAGTGTACAACATCTCTTACCTTAGTTAACATTACAATAATATGTATAAGAATATTAATGACACAATCAGCAATAAGACAATAAAAATAAAAAAAACGTGTAAGCAGAGGAGATTCTACAAAACAAGAAATTGTTAACAAAACAAAGGTACTAGAATTTAAAGCACACCAAACTCAAACGATATACCCGAAAAAATCAATTTAGCCTTGAGAATAATAAGATTTTGATAAGTTCAAAGGACAAATTAAAATCGTTGACCATAGATCAATTCATTGCTAATCATTCACAGTTGTTTCGATTCCTATAAGTTTTAATTGACTATGATAAAAAATATAACACATATCAAATTATAAAAGAAGTTTTTGTTAATTGAGACACTCGTTTCTCGCCTCTCACAATGAAACTTGTAAAGGTACTGTCTCTGAGTACATTCATACATCATAAGGGACAGGGCTGTTTAGTTTCCTAAGTAAATATATAAACGGTAAAGAACGAATGTATCAAGTTTTGTTGAAAGAAATTGGTTCATATAGATTATATAATGATTCAAATCTTCTTGAATTTTTTCGTTCGTCTTTCAAAAACAAAATTCTAATCTTTATTATTATCTTCGTGTAATTAAAACTATTGTGTGCAAGATGACACGCCCAGTAATACAAAAGGCATTGTTGCTGCAAAAAAATCAAAAAAAAAAACCAATGATAGCAAACAGGCCATGCATCTACTTACACGGACCTGCGCGGGCGCAATGGGTACTTAGTGATCGCTGGTCTTGCATTCGCAGCGGACTCGAAAGGAGTATTCGCCAGCGGCACTTCAGCCATCCCGAGGAAGTCATCACGTGTTAGGCGATTCTCGTCGAACACTTGGATGAGCAGTTTCTGTTCTTGGGGCTTTACCTGTTTCAATTTTCAATTACTTTTCACTAATAGACATATCAACTATAGGTTTAAAACCGTTATCTGTAATGTTTTGATATATAGTACAAATAAGATAATATTCTGTAAAAGTTATTCTCTACGTTGTGAATCTAAAAGTACCTAAGAGTTTTTACAGCAAATAATAATTTTGTTATAGAGATGAACTTACTCGAAATACGAACTCCTGATTCCATACTGGATTTAAAGTCTGAAACAGAAGGCAGACCTCATTAGATCACTCAAAACAAATCAGTTATTATAGTATGTAACTGATTTGAATTGTAATTAATTAAACTGATGATGGTGATATAAATTTGATGATAAAGTATTTCCTATTAGCATATAAGCTAAAAGTAAAAGACGGAATTTATTATTATTAATGGCTATCTGTGCTTTAATTTATCTAATAAGACATATTATACAACTTACCCTTTTCTTGGTCTTGGTTAGAAATGTCTCAACTGTAACATCTCCATCAACTTTCTGCAGCTCAACACGCACATATGGATCACTGAAGACAAAGATATAAGTAAAGTGAAAACCCATTTCCTCCCATGATCCATTTTATTAACAGGCAAATAGTTGATCAGACTTCTGTGCCCAGAACAATACATCATTTTACCCCAGAAATCAAACCCAGGAACTCTTGTTCATGAGCATACATTTAAACATAGAGCTGGAGACAGTCAAATGACTGTCTCCATAGCTCTATGTTTGACATAAGATCAATTATGGTAATAAATTAATAATGTTACCCATAACTTTGTTATAAATAAAAATAAAATATTTAATATACTTACCTAGCCCCAAATATATCTTTCTTTGCCAATGAATAAGCTCCTATTATCTTCAGTCGAAGTAGGAAGCTATTTTCATCAGTCTGAAACAGAAAAACACTCAACATAATAGAATGATCATTGCATTTCAAGATTCAAGTTTCATTCAATAAACTATGAATATCTTTAAACTTTAACTAAGCATCAAATTTATTTTAGAACAAGTAAGGTTTTGGATAATTCGCTATGTAAAATTAGAATGAGTAACTTAAAAATCTTGTTTGCTCAGTTTAAACACACAAAAATGATCATAATAGTTACATAATAAAACCTAACTATGTAACAATATGTCTCTAAATGTTGAACACAACAAGATAATAAGCAAAGTTTAATTTACCACCATAACACTGCAAATATTTAAAAAAAATCTTACATAAACAGTGTTATACAAGTTCAAGAAAAAAAGAAAAACAATCTATTAATAGTGTTAAATATACATAAGGTGCTTAAAAACTAATATCCCTGAAGTGTTAATGATGCATATATTAAAGAGTACAGCATTGTATAATAAATATAGAACAAATTACTGAATAGCAACTTAGCCTTGTAAGAAGATTTAATGCAATATTAAGTGACATTCATAAGTAGCTCAAGAATTGAGCACTAAATTGTAAGTCGGAGCTAACAGTCGAAGCACGTCTTGGGATGTATTTCTAGTAGAACGATGTACACTTTTATGGCAAAATGAATGACAAGGACATATGCACGTTAGTGTTTTTCTCGTACTGAGTTCTTATAAGCTTACAACACAAACTTACACGATTATCCGACTGCCAAGCCATCACCCATGTGAAATTATACTAATTTTGTATCGGAACACAAAACAATTTGTTTTCCTCTCCGTATAACATCGGTTGCAGAAACATAAAAGTTGGTGACACGTTTGCTATACAATCCTATTCACCACCTTCTGTCCACTTATTCGTCTTTTCAGCAGCATCAGTTACGAGTACGTTCGTTTGGAATTTTAAATTGAAATACTAAACTACACTAATGACTACATGAAAATAAAACGATACACAAACATTAAAAATAAAAGATCCCGAGGAAAATCTCTTTCTTTTACACAAACAGTGACAGCCCAGATCACTTGACATACGTCAATTGATGACAACTGGGAATCTGACGTTGGCGGGAAGACAATAATTTGACAGAAGCAATCAATATTGTTATTTTGTTTGATCATTAATGAAATTATCTAGTATAAAAAATAATGACCACTGTTAAAAAAAGTAAAACGGTATTTTATAAAGTTTATCAAAAACAGACATTATTTGCTTTTAATTGGATTTATTTACTAAATTAAATGAAAATACCATAGAATTAAAAACATACTATATAATACGTTGTATATCATAGGTACAGATAATGGGAAATGGGTGAAATGTCTACAGGTGTCCCCGATAGAAAATAATAATAATAATCATAGGTATAGAAGTCTCCTATTTTTTATGTGACATTGCTCAGTGCGTTTGACTAATCGTTAGTACATTGAATTTTATTCCTACCATAAAAAAACACAGTTTTTTGCACCTGAGATGCGACGTGCAAATGCCCACCTTACCAGCTTTACTACAGGATCTAGCCTAATATTTGTATGTAGGTAACATTAAAATATCCACAACTAGGAATATTGCATTTTTTAAAATGAGGATAACATACAAGCATAGGGTTCATGATGGTAGGCGACATACCCCAGCCTAAAGCATCTACACAAGATGCGCTACCTATTTTAATTTGCATTACTGATTTCATCTTTTTGTTCATTCAACATTCTTTTAATGAATAACGCAACATTTTGATAAACATTTATCACAGAACGGTAGGTACATATTTTCGCTTGATAAATTGTTATATATAACGCGTACATATCATTATTTACATAATACCAAAACACATTTCCGCAATATAGGTAAAAAGTTACAAGTAGGTAAGTACACCGTTATAATACTTACTTATCGATGTTAAATCATAACTGACCGGAATAGATTTGTCCGTTAAAATATATTTCTTCGTAATCCTACCTACACAATACTTTTGTCCGTATGACACATCGGATACCTTTACCTTACTGGTAAATACTTAAAACTATTATTACTATTCTATTAATTTCGTGAAATTCGTAGAATCGTAAAGATTTAAAATGTATAAAGTTTTGGCTTCCTCTATAACTTTATTACTTAATTTGAACATTTAAATATGCAAATACTTTCAATCGAAATTTCTTTTTATATATTGTTTTTAGGTGCCTACATAATAAAAAAATATATTATTATTGTGTGGGCGAATTATTTTTAAATATATAATGTCCATTCAGCCTCTAGGTTCTGTATAATCACCTGATATTGCAAGGAGAACCGCGGTTCCGGGCGCAAATTGGCATACCTTCGCCATGATGACCAAGAAGACGAACGACTTCTGTGCGGTGGCGTTATTTCTAGAGGTCGTACGTTATGCATGACTGACACTCGGTGATCTCTCATAATTAAACAAACAAATACCCCGCACTGCACTCCACACCATCACTTTTAATTATTCCCTATATTTCGACCGCATAAGATGGCGGTTATTGCCATATGACTTTAATCTTATCTAAGAAAAAGCACGATAAAAACAACGCAGTCGTGCAATTAACGTTCGAGTGATAACTACTTGTAATATTGGACAGCGAGTTGCGAGCTTCGGCGCAAATTAAAGATAACGGTATCTGTCATTGTAGATAGCTGTATTGCGTACAATCTTTATACCTACACAATATATTCGAATAAACGCAAATAATAAAATTCTTCATGGCCTATTTCTCAAGGATTCCCAGTGAATTACTTATCAAAGTTCATCGCAATGAAATGTTTAATGTTATATTTACACATTAACAGTTATATCGATATACATTTTACAGTATATTATTAGGGTCTTATAATGGAAAGGGAGTTTTGTTTGCGAGTCATATTAAATAGCATAAAATTTAAAATCGATTTATGTAAATACATATATTGCTTAAATGTAACATTAATGTTTACTTAATAAAACTTATTAAAGATAAGAAAGAAAAACAAAATTCGCGCCATAATTTAGAGTATAAAAAAACTTCAACCTGTCTTGGATCCAAGTCTGTTAGTTTATATAGCCAAATAGTCAGAAAGCGCATTTACTGTTGGGTGCTACATCTGTGGTGGTGTCATATTATTACGACAACATCTGTCATCTGCAATTTTGTTTTGATATGAAATTAAAAAAATATTTATTAGAATCTTTAAAAATAATTTCAGTCTCTCTCTGTTGTTTTTTTTAGATAAATAGGAAGAAAATATCCTATTTCGATATGTACTGTGTTTAAATGTGGATATCATAATCCGTAACAGTTAAATCTTCACATTCAGATCGAATCTTCTGAGGTTGTAACTTCAGAAAAGCAACTGTTTTATAATGACCCAGCAATTAATAAATGAAAATAGTAAATATATATTGGAGTAAGTACAGTGTTTATTATAAAATCTTGGTTATTTATAAAATCAGAAACTGAAACTCATACTGTGTTACAGTCTTTTTTCAGAGCAAACTGTTGATTCCCAAAGTCTAGAGTCAATATGTGTACAGGTTCAAAAGCGATTTCCAAAATCAGAATATTTTAACTGTGAGTAAACCTGGTCAAATACTTTTCAGACTTTCACCTTCTTTTTATTAGTCAAAGACTGGGCATACAAGTATTAACTTAATTTATGTTTCTTTCAGTATCTCTTTTATTATCATCTCTTATAACTGGTGGAGATTTGTCTCTGCCAGGACAGCGTGTGGTAGCTGTAGCCTTGATTTTTGACTTCTTTAAAGTGGATAACCCATTTAGTTCCTTGTTTTTAAATCTCTTGGAAGGTAAACCTGGATTTCTGCCATTAGCTCCACAAGAGAGGTTGTTCATTGCCCAGATTCATGGGTTTATACCAGCAAATATCAAAGATGTAAGGTTTTATTCACAATGTAATCTTAATATTTAAGTATCTTAATTTATTGTAATTTTAATTTATTAAATTTCTACTTAAGATGTATCATTTTGTTATGTGTGCCATGAAAATTTTACTTTATTTTTAATTACAGGTTTTAAAAAAGTCTGCAAAACAGGTGATGTTAACAGAAGTGGCAAGCAAAGACTTGGAGTTTGATTACTCGTCTCTGCAGTCTTTAGTTTCAGACAGGACAGCAGATATGAGTGCCATAGCCAAAGTCACAACGTCAGCTCTTGTTCCACTTGGAGATGGGTTAGTAAATTTTTCAAACATATAGAATGTTCAGTATATAGAATATAAAATGTAATAAAAATATTTTTTACCGATGGTGGATTTATATTTAGTGATTTTTCCCAACAGGTCACCACCTAACCGTATGGCAATGAAAGAATTGTTAGAAGCATTGATGTCAAATGACTATATCCCGTTGCACAGAACCCTGAAACCTATGGGGCCAATTCCACCTCCTCCATTCCTCTTGGATCCATATGATATCTATTATGCTAATGACGTGAGTTAAAATATATTTTTATTTAATTCACATTTTTATGTTGAGGTACTGAGCTCCAGTAATTTTTCAGGGTGTATGGAAAAACTTGCCTAATCGTAGTGCCTATGTCCCACTGTATGACACTAATTTGGATGGCTTAATCGGCTTAAAACCTATGGAAAAAGCAGAGAAAAAAGTAACAAATGCTCCGAAACCAAAGGTATTATATTACTGAAAAAATTTACAATTGAGAGTATAGCATTAATTTATGGGTGGAATGGTCAATAAATGATGTGGACTATGCTATGGCCTTCTATTGGTGCCCCCAAATAAGATAAATAAAAAAATAGCATTAATTAAAAGGATGTTTAGAATAATTTAAAATGTAGCTGTCAGATTTTGATTTCTATGACACTATTATTTGTAGGAAGAGAAAAAGGAAAAACAAGAAGAGAAGAAATTAGAAGAGAAGGACCCAACTACCGTAGTGGCAGAAGCAAAAGAGTTGACACAAATAGCATTAAAAGGAGCATTAAGTGTATCCCATCAACAAAGACTTTTAGCTATATTAGATCAGAATCCTGATATTGTATATGAAATTGGTGTCACACCTTATCAGGTTTGTGGTGGTGCTTCTATAAGCTTAAGTTAACCAAAATAATCACAAAGTTTGCTATCACTGCTAAGGTTTTTATCAACTTTTGAATGTATTTCATATGAAAAGGTGCTATTCATATTTTTCAACAGTTACCAGATCTTGTGGAAAACAATCCTATGGTCGCTATATCAGTCCTGCTTAAGCTCATCCATTCTCAACACATAACAGAATATTTCTCTGTGCTAGTCAATATGGAAATGTCATTACATTCTATGGAGGTAGTGAATAGGTGAGAATAGATATATATTTATAATGACCACATAAAAAATCATTTAGATATTGCACATGTTCAAGAGCGTAACTAATTTTAAATTTGAAAACTTTATTAGTTTTTACATGCTAGACTCTCTCACGATGAACTCTGACAATGTTCAAGGTTCAAGTCCTGCTGGAGTCGAAATTTTATTCAATTTATTTTCGATTTTACATTCACAGATTAACAACTTCTGTAGATCTACCAGTGGAATTTGTTCACCTTTACATCAGCAATTGCATATCAACATGTGAAACCATACGAGACAGATACATGCAGAACCGGCTTGTACGGTTAGTCTGCGTCTTTCTGCAGTCACTTATTAGGAACAAGATTATTAATGTTAAGGTATCTAAAGCTTATTTCATTCATAGTATTTCTATTGTAAAAATATAATTTATTTATCATGAAAACATAATTGTACTTTTCAGGAGCTATTTATAGAAGTGGAGGCATTTTGCGTAGAATTTAGTAGAATTCGTGAAGCAGCTGCACTATTTAGATTACTAAAACAACTTGATTCTGGAGAACATAAGGAAAAAGAATAGCATCGTACGCGTATCTACATAAACAAGAATAAGCGGAAAGAGAAAAAGTAATTAAATAATACAGTAATATGCAAGAACAAGCTTTAACATTGAATAATAGAAATAAGGTTTTGATAGCCGAAAACAACATTAATTTAGACGTAAGCTTAAACAGGCACACATTAAGATGTACATAATTTGGTAAATGCAATAAAACTGGTGATTTGCGATTTGATTCTGTTGTGTAAGCTTTTAATGAAATTACAAAAAAAAAATACAGATAAACTTTTTCGTGTATTAAGAAAAATAAAAACAAGACATCTAGATATACTTTATTAGGTATCATTAACTACATATAACTAAAACAGTTGTATTGAACACTTAAAATATTCTTGATTTCATCATCTGATGCTAAATCTAGTGGTGTGCAGTCTTCGTCATCCTTTAGTAGCTTTGCTCCAGCATTCAATAAAATTTTAACAGAATTAACGTGGCCACAGGATACAGCGTAATGTAAAGCTGTTTGTCTCGAGTTGTCTACTGCATTAATATCACAACCTAACTTAAGGGCAGCTTCTAAAGCAGAAATTGCATTTCGGTCTGCAGACCAATGAAGCACAGTCAGACCATCATCATCTCTTTGGTCTTTGATAGTAGGATTGTTTGAGATAAGCTCTGTTACTAAGGCTCCATTATTGTCTCTTGCAGCATCAAACAAGGTCAACTCATCATGAGCAATTTCTGGCTCAGGGCTTCTCTGTAGAGATGATACAACCACCCATTGTTGCTTGGATCCTTTTTGGTCAATTTCACTGGCAGGGTCATGTTTTTCTACCAGGTCAATATATTGTTGCTTTGCTTCATCAATAGGCATATTGCCTAGGGATTGCCAAGCTTCCCATTTTTTACGACCTTTGCCATCAAACCATCCAGGTTTTGATATATTACACTTTCCCTCGGTAGATTGCTTGTACAAACCATACAATTCTAAAAGTTGGTTGTTATCTAGTTTTGATGTTAATTTTCTTACATGTTCGGAAGCCTTGTTAAAAGCTATATCTAAAGGAGACAGATCATCATCAGAAAAATCTATATCATCATGGTGAGTGGTGCGTTCAGCCATTACTCCTTTGTAGACTGCACAGTTAAATTTAAGCCTTCTAAAGTATGCACTTGCTTGTTAGTAGCATTTGCTGCATCAGCCGAGCTTACAAATTCTACAAACCCATAACCTTTACTTAAACCAGTTGAGCGATCAAAAACAACCCTAGCACTCTGAATGGGACCAAATTTTGAAAAATATTCTCTCAGTTGACGGTGGCCAACTGTCCACGGTAGGTTGCCAACAAATAGGCGTACTGCTCTTACTGTACTTGCCATCACCTATATGGAAGCTATTTCTAACAAATGTAATGAACGGTCTCCAACAAGAGCTCGGTATTCAATACCTGAAATATCACTTAAGGAATCCAAGTCAATCAATGCACCTTTCAATCCCCACTTCTGAAGTAGAGCTTCAATGGACCAGTCCGTGCTCCGCTCCTGGTAAGCACACAAAAATCGAGCGTCAGTACCGTCAATTAAGTAAGAAACAGTGGATAAAACTTCTTCAAACTGTGAGGGTTCATAAAAACAATCTGAGGCCAATAAAAGATCTACTGGGCGTAGGTTGTGAACATCTACCAAGAAAAGTCCCCAAGCGAGACCTAATATTTGAACATCACGACCGGGGGTTAAACCGTTGGCTTCACAACAGCCTGAAAGATGTCGTAGCGAACGGGGTAATGCTACACTATCAGTTAGCGTGACGTTTGCTCCGCACTTTGCCGCTAAGATCCCGGGCAAGCCTGTACCACAACCGAGTTCCAAAACTCGCAACCCACGCAGATGTTTTCTTTGGCTCCACAAGTACCAAGCTAACAGCGGCGCAGAAGGCCACGTGTAAAAAGAGTACCCCGCTGATAATAGTTCAGGTATTACAATTTCCAAATAATCACCTCTTGTGTCACCGTTGCTGGTGGATTTCCCCCTAAACACGAATTTCTTTAGTTGACCACTAACAGGGTGAACATCGCTCATTGCATAAGAATATCAATAAAATGGTAATATTAAACGCGTGATAAATGGTTAGATGTCGTTTGGCTTCTGTCATTAATGACAGCCATAGATAATCACAACATAACATATATTAGGCTTAAAATCTTTGAAACTTACAAAAATATATATTTAGACTTTATGAAAGATGTGTAAGGTTAAAAAATTTAATAATAAACTGTCCAGAACAAACTGGTGTTTTGAATCATTAAAACAACGATACTATTAATACAAAGGTATCCACTTTTCATATACAACCCTTACCGTGGCAACACTATTGCCAACACCATTTTCCAAAGTAATAATAATAATATAATCAACATCACTGAAAATACTGATTTAATTGTTGTGTTGATTTGGTGTTGGTAGGCGTATATTTTAATTTTAATTATTGTTGAGTTATATTTTTTTCAAAATGTCTGTAGCAGCAAAGGGTGAGTTTTTTATGTACTATGAACTTTAAAACTTTCTACGATACCGACAACTTTGATCGTGGGGTCAAATTCCAAGAATATTTTTTTATTTTCTTATCAGATACTGTATACTTTTATTAAATTAATATAAAATCATCTAGATAGTATCTTCAAGTATAAAAACTAAGCAACAAAATGGATACTTTATTAGATTTTTTTTATTAGAAGTACAACGATAATCGTATTTAATTTCGGAATTAAATATTTGAGTTCCATTTTCAAAAATGATGTTTATTATACTATGTTGTTATTTGATACGTTATTTGTTTCAAACTCTCAAAATAGTTTGTATTCTTTATTTATTTTTCTTCCTGACTACTGTCCTATCATATTAGTAATCTTATGCGTAATTTCAATGTTGTGTGTTTTTAGGGAAATACATAGTTATGTATTTCACGTAAAGATACAATGCCACAGCGAACAAATTAGCTTCGGAGGTCAGAGACCCCGCATAGATACCAATTTCAGCTGGAATCAAAATGTGTGGGTTAGGTTAGAGTAAGGATGACACAAAAAAATTGGAGCGACGGTGACTACTACGCTTTAAACATAGATTCATAGAAAAAAGCTTTGGGTCTTTATGCACCTCTCCTATCATGGAGGGTCGCCCCTCTAATACTTCTACTCTCCAGGGCATCACCCCCATCCCCTTACGATATATAAAGCAAAAGTGGTTCTAAAATTTTTAAAAATTTTAGGTCTAAATTAATTAAATGGATTGTACAGTCCTACCAAAATGTAATAATATAAATTATTTTATTTGTTTATTAAATTTGTGTTTTTATATATTTAAAATAAAACTAAGAGTTTTGTTTTGTGAAACAATTGAGATATAAAAATAAAAAAATACTATAATCTTTATTATTATTATAAATGTGAATCTCACCCACAGGTATTTTCATTGTGGGTGCTAAGAGGACACCATTTGGTACATTTGGTGGGGTCTTTCGTAATACGACTGCCACAGAACTGCAGACTCTTGCGATAACTGCTTCTTTAAAGGAGGCTGGTGTTGCCCCAGATCAGGTTGACTCTGTGGTTGTAGGACAAGTTATGTCGGTAAGACATAATATGATATCCTATTTTTTTCCTGAAGAGTGAAGTAGACATATTTTTGTGCCTGCTACACAGTTTCTTATGTGTTAGCGATTAAGCCATTAAGCAATCCTTCTCTCGATATATAATTGTACTAATTTCTAGTCCATTAAAAAAAAAATAATAATAAAACTTTATTGCACAAACATATTTAAAACCCTAGTAGAACATAGACATTTAAAATAAAAGTAAATTAAAAAAAAAAGTAAAGTAAAAAATTTGTACTTTACAGAAAATTATTTAACAACACTCAAAAGGTTGTCTTATTACTATACATATATTACTTTAACAGTACATAGACCCAAAGTACAGTACAATCCTACATATTATAGTATGGGTTTTCAAACATTACAACAGGAATCTATGCAAGTATATACTTAGTCTTAGAGTGACTCAAAGAATTGGCTTGGCCTTTAACTTTTAAATATGCTGTTATATTGCAATACTTAGTATCTCTGTTATTATACATAGGCAACCCAAGCCGATGGCATCTATACTCCAAGACATGCAGCCTTGAAAGCAGGCATCCCACAGGATCGTCCAGCTTTGGGAATTAACAGGCTCTGTGGTTCTGGCTTTCAATCAATTGTTAACAGTGCTCAGGTACAGTAATAGTTATTTTAAAGTTTTTAGGTTTTGCAAAAAAGTAAACCTGGTCAAAGTGAAAATTCCTTCCATTAACTATAGTGCATTTTTTCTAACTTGACATTTTTGGTAAACAAACACCCAATTTATATGAAACTAGCTGTGCCCGCGACTTCGTCCGGCAAATTTTTTAGGCTCTATTAATTTATGTAAGGGCGCATTTAAGGCAGCCAATCTATGTTGTAAGTGCTACTTTGCCGCAACACTCTCACCTCATATCACTCCTACTCTAACACCCACTCTCATTCCTACACTCACTCCCTTCTCTATTCCCAAAAAGCCAAAGAAGATAGTTTCATTGTTCTAGCTTCAATAACCACGAATTTCCATATAAACTTTCATCCCCTTTTTCAATTTCCCCTATCAACCCTGTTTGGGCATTAAAAAAAAGACTATGTCCTTTCTCAGGCTCTAAAATATTTGTCTACCAAATTTCATTTAGATCAGTTCAGTAGTTTCCGAAAAAAGTTTTTAAAGCCGGACAGACAGAAAGACAGACAGAGTTACTTTCGCATTTATAATATTAGTATATTAAGTATAGATTGTGGTTTTCTCTCAAGGTTTCGATGGCTTACACTAAAAACACTGTAAGGCACTGGATTATATAATATAATAAAACCACAATTTTCTGTTAAGTTAATACAAATCCTAAAAATTAATTTACGTAAATGGACAGATTCAGATTTCCTCCATTTACATAGGAGCGGGATGTAAACAAAGTCAACAACAAAATTACAAAAATTTACCATTTTTTGTGACTTATGTGCAATTCAGTCAAAAACGAAATAATCCACAGTAGAAGGATCTAATCTTTTTATTACCAAGTCACTTTTGACGAAGTGGTTATGTAATAAAATGAAACACTTAACGGTTTGAGTAAGTTAGGTTCTAAGGTAAAATTTAAGTGGTCTATATTACGGCTATTTAAATGAAGTATAGTTTTACAGTGCCAAAAAAAAGTTCTCTCTTTACTAAATACTGAAATGAAACTTTCAGAAACTCAATAACCGTTTAGTTTGAAAGTGCGTCAATACTTTTTGTATAGGATATGGACTTGTTCGCTTTTTTCTAACAGTATCCATTACTAGATTTTAATAATACCAGAGGTTTTCCCTTCTACGTTTCAAGGTTGAGAACTACATATTTATTAGCTGAGGACCTTCATGAATGGTATAAGTATATGATGTTGTGTTATCATCATTTTACTAACGTCGTGATTCTTTTATCAGATTACTTTGAACATACTCATTTGAAATGTATCACATTTTTTATCAAATTTAATAATAAATGAAATAATAACAAATAATATATATAGCTTATTGAGGTACCCTGTTGATTGGTAGATCAAAATTAGAGAGAAATAGACTGTGGTTTGGACTACAATACCTAGTTAAATAATGTCTGTTTTCGCGAGTAGTACACATTTAAATAAAACACTTTAACGGTTTTAAACGCGATATATAGTAGTTAAACTTATTTGAAAACGAATTTTTAGTACGTCTCTAGTCTAGTCTACCCGTGACCACGGCTGCTGCATGAAACTTCGGGCCGTAATTAAAAATATTTTTTTAACAAGTTTAACTAAAATATATCGCGTTTTAAACCGTTAAATTGTTTTAAATTTAAATAGTTTTTACTTTGACATTTGAGACACCCTCCATCTTCAGTCTCCCCGTGACCCACAGCTGCTGCAAAGCATCCGAAACGTCGGGCTGAAGTTGAAAATCATTTTCAGATAAGTTTAAATAATATATCGCGTTTTAAACCGTTACAGTGTTTTATTCAAATCTACAATAGATATTAAAGCTTTAGTAGTCATGTGATGTAATAGTACATTATGATATAAGTGCGGTAAGTTGAAAATTACAGCCGAGGCGATATTACTACTAAGGCTGTAATTCTCAAAGCGCACGTATGTCATACGACGTTTTATAACATATTTATGAGGAAATTAATAATTTCATCACTACTTGACGACATTTTCAAATAAAAACAATACAGCGAAAAGAAAAAGCGCGCGGAATTATTTTTACTTGTCCACAAATAAGCGATGCGCGCGCATCAACGTTTTTTTTTTGGGCAAAGGTACAAAAACAACCAGTATTACTAATAAAGTATATTAATATTTTTGTTACAGATAATTGGTTGTAATTTATTGTCAAAATTATTTAAATTAAAGAATTAAATGTTTATTTGTTATATTTTATTTCCCAAAGTTAATTTATTTCATAAAATATTGACCACTTTCTTGACATAAAACCTCTTTGCTAACATTTTTAAAAGTATCGTTCATTTTTAGACGGAGTACCTTAAAACTTTATTAAAAAAACACGTGCTTTTTACATTACATTATCGCACAAGTACGTAATGAGATACATTACGATATTGAAATTGGTTTACACCAATTTCAAATTGTTACTGCAATTACTTGCAACCACTTTGCGAGCAAATATGTTATAAAAACTTTTTTAATACCGAGTAAAGTAATTCGTTAAATTAAAAGCAAAGTTACAAATGTATATTTCATATCCAGGATATCCTAACTGGATCAGCCAATATATCCCTGGCTTGTGGAGTCGAAAATATGTCTCAAGCACCCTTCTCCGTTCGTGGAGTTCGTTTCGGGACAGTCTTGGGTTCAAGCATTGCCTTCGAAGACTCATTGTGGACTGGACTCACAGACTCTTACTGTGGTATGCCGATGGGCATGACTGCTGAGAAGTTGGGTGCCCAATACGGAATCACCAGGGATGAAGTAGACAACTTCGCGTTGAAATCTCAACAAAGGTGGAAAGCGGGTAAGTTGTAGCCAGTTTAATTGTTAAACGCTATTAACATGTAGGCAGAATATATTGTGAACACACGGTTTCCCTCTTCCGTGTCACAGGTGGGAGGGGGGGGGGGGCAAGTCTCGCGGAACATAATCTATAGTAATATATAAGTTGAAGAGTTCTTTTGTTTGTTTGAACGCGCTAACCTCAGGAATTACTATCGTTATCCGACTTGTTGTTGAGACTGTAATGTTTGAACTACTTTATGGGCATATTTCTAAACTAAAACCGTTTATTTCACAACAGATAAGGAATGTAACATATTAGCTTAGTAACATAAAATATGTTTAATTAATTATATCATAAACAAAAAAGGATAAGAATAAAAAACTTAGAAAAGTGCTTGTGAAATGGGAGAAAGCACTCTGCATTTGATTCACCACCCAAGAGTAGAGAAGCGCGGGTTTTCAGTGACTCCCCCCCCCCCCAAGCACTATTAACATTTCAATAATTTATCTTAGGGAACGACGCGGGTGTATTCAAGGCTGAAATTGAACCTGTCATCCTCACAATAAAGAAGAAGGAAGTCAAAGTAGAAGTAGATGAACACCCCCGGCCACAGACCACACTGGAAACTCTTAAGAAATTACCCCCTGTTTTCAAAAAAGAAGGGTTGGTGACTGCCGGTTCAGCATCCGTAAGTAATGTTGGGAATCCTATTTAAAGGCGGTTGTATAATATCTGTAGTTTATTCGTGTAGTACAAATTAAAATAAAACACTTAAACGGTTTAAAACGCGAAATATATTTGTTAAATTTATTTACCAAGCATCCGAAACGTCGGGCCGTAGTTAAAATAATTTTTAAATAGATTTCACGTTTTAAACCGTTAAAGTGTTTTATTTTGGCGCTTGTAATTTTGAATAATGATATACCAAATAGAGACATGAAATTATAATCTAAATAGTCAATAAAACTATGTATGTAGTTTTCTCTCTAACATGGTAAAGAAAAAAAAAAATTCAGCCCTAACGATATTAAATGTCATGATGACATAAATTATTAAATTAAATTAAAGTTACCAACTGTTTATCTAAAGATATTTACATACGACATTCAAAATAAGCGAATGACATTATTTTCCCTCGTCATGACGTTTCTTTCTTGTAAAATTCTGTCTGAGCTAAGATTTATTTATTTACTTTAAAGAGACCAACTAAATACATAACTTAGCCTAATCTTTAAAAAAAGAGGCAGAATGGCCTAATAAAGAAAACATTTTCAATAAGTAGGAAAATAAAAATGTGCAATTAATTTAGGCGATAATGAATTTCTACTATTATTTGTGTATGAATAATGTTAACAATTTTCGGCCACTGTGCTCTTGTAGATTAGCATTTTAGACTGTGCAAAATATTAATAACTCAAGTCATAAAATTGTAGTTAGGCTACTACGCCTCTAGTGGTAGTTCAAGGACATTTTTAAAATATTTTTTTTTATATAAAAAATGTATTTCTTCTTAAAACGTAGGGTATCAGCGATGGAGCTGGTGCTCTGGTTCTGGCTAGCGAACAAGCTGCTAAAAACCTCAAACCACTAGCCCGATTGGTAGGCTGGTCATACGTCGGTGTCGACCCTAGCATCATGGGCGTTGGACCCGTCCCCGCTATCGAAAACCTTCTTAAGGTCACCAAACTTACATTGAATGACGTCGATCTTATTGAGGTAAGTGACTATAAATTTTTAAATAGAGATTTAGAAGAGGATAGCAAATATGTGGTTGACGTGATATTAAGTGAAATTGCCCAGCCTATAGCATCTAAACGACATGCGGTGTCGAAGTATTGTTGTTTTGGAAATTTGGAAATCCACAGACTGAAACTGAAACGTAATGAAACTTTTGCTTTTTCACCTGTGGATCTGGACGGAATTTCGATATTCCTACCACCATTTAATATCCAGTTTTCCAGACGAAGTCCAATATCGAAGTAAAATATAAATTGATTAGAAAAATGTTCGACACGTATTAAACGTACGTTGCTATCAATGTAATGTACCAGGTGTAATGGTTAAAAATAACAAAAACATAAAAACCACTGCTTCGCTGTTCTATTCTTAAGCTTTATACACATAATGGATTCAAATAGACGCATTAAATGTGTTTTAATCTGTTTTGAATGATATATTATTTAGAAATGGATAATGAACCATCAAACAATAAAAGTCACATATGATGAATACATAAACATATAAATACATAGTTTTATGTATTCATCATATACATACTAGCTGTTACCCACGTCGGCCTCGTAAAATTTTTCTTGCATTGATCATTTAAAGAGGAATATTATTTTGGTTTCTTGAACCGTTTTTGTAGCGCACGAATGGTCACTTGCAAAGGTGTATTATTTTCCGCGTTTTTTTTTTCATATTTACCGTTGTTTTTTCGCTCGTATTAGACACATCGTGATGATTTATAATCCAAAAACCTTCCTAATATAATGTTCTACTCCAACAAACTAAAAACATTTTTGATTGTAAAGATGTTTTTAGTTTGTTGAAGTGGAACCAATAATTCTTGCGATCAGCGCGTACAAACAAACAACCTCTTCAGATTTACAAAGTTACATATCGGCTATGTTCTAGAAGTAGATAGAAGTGAGAAGGCCAAATTGTATCCGTCATATCATGCATGATCATCATTATCAGGTTGGGTAGGTATGGCAACTGGGCAACTAAATTTCAAAACACATTAAAACTTATTACTTTTATCAAAGATAACATCACACTGCTGGAATGCCATAATATTATCTTTATTTGGATAAAAACATAGATAAAAAATTTTAGTTGAATTTAACTCCTCTATTAAGAATAATAAATCTAAATCGAGTTGTGTCTACACAATACAACTTTTTAAACATCTAGCTATGCCATCGACTTCGTCCGCGTTGCATAGTTATTTTGGGCTTCAAAATTTGTTTTTGCAACCTATTACCCACGACGTCGTTCTCATACCGTTGTTCTCTTTTTGGGGTATCTTAAACCGTTATCGCAACGCACGCAATGGAAACCTCTTAAATTATTTTTACCCGTTTTTTCCACATCTACTGTTCCTTCGCTTTTATTAGCCACAGCGTGAAGCTTTATTGTTAGCCTAAAGCCTTCCTCGATAAATGCTCTAACCAACTGAGCTTAGCGTGTTCAAACAAACTTTTCAGCTCTATAGTATTAGTAAACAATAATATATTGACTATATAGCTATGATATGTTATTTTTTATTTAACTTTTTTATATAAAGTTTCTATTCTTCTGGATTTTGATGATGATTTATCCACGGACGTTAATATTACAAGTCACGTAATTTTTACAAGTCCAAAGTTCTCGTCGTCACAGTTTGTAATTTACAAATCGGTTTAAAATAGGCATTTTAAATACAAAAACTTTGTCAAGCTGACAAATTCAATATATAATTTTGTTCCTGTTACCGGAGTAAAGAGAATCATTCTTCTATACATACTTTTCCTTTGTTTCTTGGATGTTTTTCCCCAATTTCCTCTATTGCTTCACTCTTATTGCTATCAGCCTAATGATTTATAGCCTCAAAATAATCAATTCGAGCCAAGAGGCTTTACGTGGGTGTTCAAACAAACAAACATACTCTTCAGCTTTATATATTAGTATAGACATCCGGTTTCTGTTTTATATAGGGGCCTATTTATGTTAAACCCAATTATAATTTTGTAGATCAACGAAGCGTTTGTTGCTCAAACGCTGTCATGCGCAAAGGCTCTTAAGTTGGATATGGAGAAGTTAAACGTGAACGGTGGTGCTACAGCACTTGGACACCCCCTTGGTGCGTCTGGCTCCAGGATCACTGCCCATCTAGTGCACGAGCTCAGGTAAGCAATTACAGGAAGCGAACGAGCGCGAATTGTATCTATAATTTGGTAAAAGGTGTCTGTAATTTTACACTATCTTTATTAGTATAACGGAAATATAAATAACCTGTTTAAACTAAGAAGTAATTGAGTCCAATTTTTCGTATGGAACTACAAAAATAAAATGAACTTAATAACTGAGCGTGAATTTAAACTTCACGGAATTTCCACCAGATAAGTAATAAATATTTAGTTAGATTTAAAGTATTGTCTGTAAAGTATGCAAGTAATACAATAAAACGGCTTAAAAAGCGAAATATATTCGTTAACTTATATTTAATTTAACCCGACGCCCCTCCCTGATCACGGTCGTTGCATAACATCGGAAACGGAGCTGTAGTTGAATTATATTAATTTAACTAATATTATTCCGTTTCCAACCGTTAAAAGCGTTTTGTTTAAAAGAATAGGTTTTACATTACGTAGTAGCTAAATTGGTCTTGGTTTTAAGGTGTTAATTTTTTACAGACGGCGCGGATTAAAACGAGGAATCGGATCAGCTTGCATTGGTGGAGGTCAGGGTATTGCTGTTATGGTTGAAGCTCTCTAGGCGTAACACCCCCCGAACATCTCCAATAAGAATAAAGTACAGCACATATCTCTGTGATTTTATAGTCAAAGGTCACCCATCAAATTATTATACGTCTATACTTTGTACAGAGTAACTTTTATACGTAATATTTATAAAAATGTAAAGAAATCTTTATATTACCAACTTATTCTACAAACTTAATAAATACAATTGTTGAGAAATATATACAATTGTAAATGATATTTGTATTTTATATTTCTTGGTAAGCAGATGTATTGTTACGATATAAGACTTGTTATGTATTGGACTTAATTGTATTTTTTTAATGATCAATAAACTATTATTTTGTTTATATTTCTTTATTTTATCGTAGAAAATGAGTGCACCAAGTTATTCATAACCAGAATTCGAACACCCGACCTTGTGATCTATAAACAAAAGAAACAATAATTCTAATACGAAAAAATATAAATATGTACACATGCCTGGCCCCTAGTCAACAGATTCGAACCTGGGAAAACAATACATAGTTTCGATGCGGGAACATATTATTTTTTCATTGATCAGTTACTTGAAAATCAATATCTATAGAATAGATATGCAAATAAACAATACGTTTGACATATTTGTAAGTTACATTTTATTACATGTTTTATATCCTTACTAATATTATAAATGTGAAAGTAACTCTGTCTGCCTGTCTGTCTGTTACTCTTTCACGCCAAAACTACTGAACGGATTTGAATGAAATTTGGTACACATATGGTCTAGACCCTGAGAAACAACATAGGCTACTTTTTATTGCGAAAAGGGGGTGAAAGTTTGTATGGAAATTCGTTGTTTTTGGAGCTAGAACAATAAAGCTTTTTCTTTGGCTTTTTGGGAATGGGAGTGGGAGTTAGAGTAGGAGTGATGAGAGGTGAGAGTGTTGCGGCAAAGTAGCACTTACAACATAGATTGGCAGCGATGAATGCGCAATCACATAAATTATTAATAAACAACTTAAATAATTAAAAATTCTACCCCAAGTCACAATTCCACGCGAACGGAGTCGCGGGCACAGCTAGTACTGTAAATATTGCACTTACTCTTTAATAATTAATTTAGTATTACAATATTTGTATTTTATTTATTTGTGCAGTCAAGTGTTTTAATAGTATTATTATATCATTAATCAGAAAAACGGACACAGAATTGAATTCGCCCCATTCTTCACACAGGATTTATTATTTATCTAACATATATATGTATATATTACTTTTAATTTATCAAATATCATTCAAGCAATTAAGGTAAAAATATATTTTTTTCTCAATTTCCTTCGACCTTTATATAAATCGTTAATAAGCACAAAAAAAAACTCTTAAATTGAAGAAACGAAATTAAATTAGTCACCGTGTCAATTCCGATTGGCGTTATCTTTATATCTATACATTTATTCAGTCGTGTACCGGTTTTTGGACTTGCCACACGTTTCGTAGCGCTAATCATGACATCTGCAATAAATAAAGGTATATTTGTGATATCTCTGTACCAGTGTGGTATTTTTAATCAAGTTACGTACTTATCAGTGGAAAAGTTGATTTCGTATTCGTTTTGAGGTCAATGACATTTTGATTCAAGGTCTTGCGCGTGAGTTGTTTTTTTTTAAATTAAATAGTAAGTAATCGTTTTCAACGCAATCAAGATGACCATAATTAATACCTTTACTAGAAATCCTTACGAAACCTTTTTTAGGTATTCCCTAATTACAACTTCATTTCATTCAATAAGTACTGAACTTATGTTATATACCTATATAAGAATGTTATGTTTGTTTGTGTAAGTTTCAAAAACTCAAAAACTTGTGTACCAAATAACAAGAAAGTTGTAACATAATATACCAATACAATCCGCATCAAGGATTGTAGATCGACCGCGAAAAAACATTTTTTTTACCGATCAGCTGTGTACCTGTGTCTACGCCATTACTATTGCGGTTGTCAGCGCATGTTTTTCTTGCTTCCGGTAGATGGCGCAGTATCGGGTTTCTTTTTACGCGGACAACTATCTACGCAACAGTGAAAAAAATATATACCCACAGGTTTTTCTAAATTAAATGTATATGAAATTCATTGCTTGTGTCACAGCGAAGCATGGTAAGGTATAGCTAGTTTATTTGAATACTTGTTTTAAGATTCCACCGGGATTTTGTTATTAATAATCTTTTGAGGGTAGACTTAAAACTATGAAGCAGCTATCATTGGTTTTATCTTTTTAGGTGTGTTTATCGTAGCTGCCAAACGAACACCGTTTGGAAGATATGGCGGAGCCCTCAAAGATTCTCATCCAGCCGATTTGTTCGCTGTCGCAGCTAAAGAGACGTTCAAAGCTGGGAATGTCAGTCCAGCCATTATAGATACGGTCAACGTCGGACAAGTTAATGTTGTACGTATTACAAACTATAAAATATAATAAAATGCCCTCTGTTTGAGTCCTGGACTTAATAAGTAGTTTCAGTCGAGCAGGCTACAGAAGTTTGATCAACTATCTGCCTGTGTAAATGCTCTACGATGAAAAGTACCTTGATGATAATTATTGCGAAAGTTGTTTTAATTGTTTAAAACTTTTGTATAATGAAAGAATATATTATGTGTACTGCTTATAACTACATAATATTATTGTTGTATCTAAGATACGCAAATATTATAGCTTTCAAACAATACTATCTTTGTTATGTATTACATCTAACACACAGTTTAAATATTATAAAAATAAATATTGAAATTATTAATTTTAGATGAGTGGTTCTGGTGATGGCGCCCTTGCAGCTAGACACGGAGCCCTACGAGCCGGTGTTCCACAAGAGAAACCCGTTTTGGGAGTGAATAGATTATGTGGTTCGGGATTTCAAGCAATTATTAACAGTGCACAGGTAAACAATAACGCGTAGTGTAAACCATATTCGAAATATTTTAAAAATGCTTCGATTTTCAAGTCTACCCTCATAAATCTGTAAATTTTTGTTAAAGTAAAATTTTAAAGTTTTACCGATACACGATAATGCATTGTACATATCGTCATTGGAATTTAGGGTAAACATGCAAACGACATGTGGGTCTGCAAAACGTCAGCAAGAAACGACTTCGAAGGTGAGACCAAATATTTAACCAATTGTATACTTTTTTAAGGATATTTTAACTGGGGCGGCAAACATCTCCTTAGCTGGTGGAACGGAGAGCATGTCAACAGTTCCTTTTGTCGTGCGAAACGTACGGTTCGGGGTACCGCTAGGTGTAAACACAGCATTTGAAGACCTTCTTACGTCATCCTCTTTGGACTCCTATTGCAAGTTCACCATGCCACAGACTGCGGAAAACCTCGCAGAAAAGTATGGCCTTAAACGTGGTGATGTAGACGAATTTGCCCTGCAGTCACAGAAAAAATGGAAAGCAGGTAAGAAAACGAAAATGTAAAATGAAGTTACGTCTTTCGTTATATTTTCCGAAAACTTCCGTCTGTTTCATAGTCTTATACTTACACTTTCTATTTCTTTATTCTATTAAGCTTCTTAGATTTTCACGGAAAAATAGTAATAGGTAAAAAAAAAAAAAGTAATAGTATATCTATTTATTTACCTAAGATACCAAAAAATGCATTCCGGTACTTAAACATCCTATAGAAACTTACATCACGTTTTGTGGTTTCCAGAAATGTTTATAAACTCCGACATTAAAATTAAGTATATCAAAAGACTTACTTCGCAGAAATAGTACATAAAGATATCCTACTTTCAAAGAAACCAGAAGATTTGAAAGGCCACAGGGAGGTTTGGATAAACCTATGTCCTCCTAAAGGGGGGTTTGGAAATATCAGTAAAATTATTAGCGAAAAATGTGGACTGGTCTTCAAACGCGTTTTTCTTTGTTCCAAATGGAAAATAATAATAAGTAATCTTACTTTTTGTAGCATACGACAATGGCGTATTCAAGGAAGAGATTGCACCGGTTCCTGTCAAGGTTAAAAAGCAGGAGGTTCTGTTTGAAAAGGATGAACACCCGCGTCCGGAGACGACAGCTGAAGGCCTACATAAGCTGCCGGTGCTGTTTCGCAAAGGAGGAGTTGTGACTGCTGGAAACTCTTCTGTAAGGCTATTTCAACTAAAAAATTGTATTAATTAAGTATTATATGGTAATTCATCATGATTAAAACTTTATTTTTAACTTGTGTCTATGATTGGCTAGTAAATTTTTTTATTGCATTGCCATTAACGGGTTACGACGGCAAAAATATAAGGTTGATTTAGTCGCTGTTTACTCCATATTGCTATCATCATTATATATGTATATTCAATGTTGTCTGAAAAATCACTTTTTATACTCTTATTTAAGAGATAATATTATTAAAAACCAGATTTCCTTGAACGCGGCTGCATTCAAATGCTGTATGTATTAAACGCAATGTTAATGAGCTTTATATTGCAAACTGTTACTTAATCTCAATATCAGATTTGCCTTTAGAAGTGTCAGGTCAGGTGCACAACGTTTCAAATAGTTAAATTACAAAAAAAAATGTTTCAAAACAAAATATATATTAAATACTATCTGCAGTTTACGGAAGTATCTCAGCCGTGGTCTCGGGGAGACGCTGTCTTTGTCTGTCTCCCCTTCATCACGGCTGTTGCAAAGCATCCAAAACGTCGGGCTATAGTTAAAATAATTTTCAAATAAGTTTAACTAATAATTATCGCGTTTTAAATCGTTAAAGTGTTTTATTTATTTTTAATACCAGACGAATACTGATCCCCTGTTTCCTATGTAACTCGGTAAAACTCTTAAAATTTTTTCTCACTTTGTTCAGGGAGTGAACGACGGCGCTGGTGCTCTAATATTAGCTAACGAGGATGCCCTCAAGTCCAACAACTTAAAGCCACTAGCTAGACTACTGGGATGGTCGTTCGTAGGTGTGGAGCCTGGCATCATGGGTATTGGTCCTGTACCAGCTATCCAGAATGTATTAGCCGCCAACAACTTGAAGTTGGATGATATTGATCTGGTCGAGGTAAATTCTCATATTTTTAAAACGTGAAATCCTTATATGTGTTCGCCCCATGCCCCACAGGGAGAAACTGTGGGACGTGGGGCGAACACATATAAGGACTGATCAGTGATCGTTTCTGACTTCTGTGTCCTGCTTCGGCCGAAACAATTTATTGTTTCCCCGAGATTTAAAATGAAGACCTCTCGCACTTTGCGCTTTAAAAATCTTAAAATTTTTAATTTATGTAAAGTATCACCTGGAAATAATATTTCAATCTGAAAGCAATTTAAAGCTTTCAAATTTAAATGGTACGAACAGTGAACAGGTGATCGCCAGATAACAAAGCGGCGTTGACGCGTCCCTATTAGGATTTTTAGCAGAGAAAGACAAGCAGCATAAGAACACGACAGACATGCATGGGGTTCGCTTGATTGAAGGCCAAATATCCTGGGTTATATATAGGTCTGGTACCTATAGGGTACCATATAATCTAAAAGCCGGAAATCAACATACTGAAACAAACGCCGATCTTTACGGCTCTTTTGTGTGTCAAAGATGTTTAAAAGTGGACCGTTAGCGGAGTGTTAGTGACCTACAAAAATAAGTCACTTGCATATCATTGTTTTTCGGGCTGTTCGGCCGACGTGAGCGAGAAGAGGTTCTCGACGCTTCGCCATTACGCGTGGACGGCATCATTAGGAGATGTTAATCCCTCGATTTGTCCGCGCTTGTCAGAGTGTATATAATCTGGGACCGCGGCGGACAACTCATAATTCTTCGAGCAATCGAGGGGTTAACATCTCCTGATGATGCCGTCCACATCTGATGGCGAAACGTCAAGAACCTCTTCTCGTTTACGTCGCCCGAACAGATGAACGATGGCCGTGAAAGCCTTACGCAATTTATAAGTCGCTTGATTATGTATACTTATTTTGCTCTCTTAGATCAACGAAGCCTTTGCAGCGCAAACTCTAGCTTGTCTGTCGGAATTAAAACTCGACCAAAACAAGTTAAACGTCAACGGTGGAGCGATAGCTATTGGTCATCCACTGGGTGCTTCCGGCGCTAGAATTACAGCGCATCTCGTACACGAGCTAAGGTATATTTGTGACCAGATTTCATAGATCAACCACCCAATAGAGATTGCATTAACTTATGTTTCAATTATTTTGAAAAACCGGTATAGACAGGGATGCATGGGGCTAGTAAAGGAATGGAGATCCTCTGGCAGCCAAATATTTATATCTCTGTTAATATTTAAATAAAACACTTTAACGGTTTAAAACGCGATATATTAGTTAAACTTATTTGGAAATGATTTTAACTTCGGCCCGACGTTTCGGATGCTTTGCAGCAGCCGTGGTCACGGGGGGACCGTTAAAGTGTTTTATTTAAATGTGTACTACTCGCGTAAACTATAGACAGTATCTCTGTTAATAGTTAAGATTTGTTTTTACAAAATACTATAGGCAAAGGTGATCAGCGACTATTTAAAGAAAAGTTGTTTACTTGCGTTTAGTAACCATAGATTAAAAATCTGTAATCTGTGGCCCTTCTTCCATGGGGTTGTGATAAGTATACTACGGCTTTTCTTCCTGGCGATGGATGGATACGTACCAAATATAAGGAATAAACATATTTATCACATAGTCAGTTATTCAGTTACCATGAGGAGGTTGGTTCGAGGGGGATGGCAATATATCTTTTGTCCTTGTTATATTTTTTTTTGTTTTCAGGCGACGTGGACTCAAAAGAGGGATCGGTTCAGCTTGCATCGGTGGAGGACAAGGCATTGCACTACTAGTGGAGACTGTTTAATAATATATATATAAATTATCAAATAAATGTCTAAATCATAAAACACTTACTAGTCTATGATTAAAGAGATATATTTGTGGGTTCTATAATTTAAAAAGTGCATTTTTATATTGTTAATATATTTTCCAGAAAAATTTATTGTTTTTTTTTATTTATATTTTGATCCAATGTGTGTGTGTGGACAGGACAAAATACCTGTGTTGTATCTGTTTATTGTCTACTAAACAAATTGCCTCGATCTAGTGGTTTTATAGATCACGATAGTCTGAGTAAAACTTAAGTTCATTTACCCGCCTTTTTCTATACCTTTATAGGAATATACAATAATATATTCTCTGAACGCCAAAATCATTACCATTATCTTGGAATGAATTCAGAGATAAAATTACGTATCATATATTGTTGTTGCTTTGTATAATCAAACAAATGTCGTCATACTTCATGATAAGACTATTAGAATAAGTTTCGTGGTCGAGATATGAAAAATGTCTGTTCGAGCAAAAGGTAATAACTAATATCATTGTATACGTAAGATTTTAGTTTAGTTATCATTTCCAAAATTAATTTAAAATACACAACAACAGTCTCAAATGTCAGTTTAATGGACTATGGTGCAATTAAATAAATTATATACTAACAAAAAGAACTAACATCATATTTATATAAAACACTTAAACGGTTTAAAACACGATATATTAGTTAAACTTATTTGAAAATGCGTTAATATCGCGTTTAAGTGTTTTATTTAAATGTGTACTACTCGCGTAAACTATAGACAGTATTTAATGCATCATAACTTAATACACTCCAGTAGGTACTATATTTTGTATATATTCCTAGTATTTTGTACTATTATATATTACTAAGTAGAATATCAAATAATAACACAGATTTATTTAAAGGCATATTTGTTGTGGCCGCGAAAAGAACGCCATTTTGCAAGTATGGCGGAGCGATGCAAATGTTACCAGCGTCACAAGTTTTCGCTGAAGCAGCAAAAGATGCCATACGATCTGCTAAATTGAATCCTAGTGTAATTGATTCTACGATTGTTGGAAATATTAATTTTGTAAGTATAGAGACATGTATTCCTTTTTAATATGTTTATGTCGTTCTTGAAGTTTCTAGTATCTAATAAGGTTGTAATTTTTTATATTTCTTTATTATTTACCAATAAACCATCTTCATTCAAGAAGATCTTAAGACTTTTAGCAACCGATTACTTCTCCTTTTTTCTAGCTAAGTCAGTGCGATGGAGGGAAAACACCAAGATATTGTGGAATTTACTCTGGAGTTCCCATAGACAAACCTTCACTAGGTGTAAACAAAACATGTGGGTCTGGTTTACAAGCGATTATAACTGGTGCGGTCGTAAGTCTCCATTTCGACAATAATTTATTGTCTTATTAATTCAATAAGGGTTTGGTTTCTAACATCTTTTAAACAGGAAATCCTGACAAATTCCGCCAAAGCCTGCTTGGTGGGTGGGACAGAAGTTATGTCGGCACTTCCTATGCTCGTGCGGGACGTTAGATTTGGAACTACCCTCAACAAATCGTACGTAATAGAAGATTACATTCAGAAGCCACTTTTGGATACTTATACCGGTCTGTCACAATACGACATAGCCGAAAAAATAGCGAAGCAAAGAAATATTACTAGAGAAGATGTAGATCGTTTTGCGTTTGGAAGTTATTTAAAATGGAAAGCTGGTACGTACATTATGATTTGAATTTAAAACGGATATCTTTTAGTAAAGTCTTTTTTGTTTTCAGCACAAGACGAAAACTTATTTAAATCGGAAATTACACCAATAAAATCAATCCTAAATGATAAAGAATATATCATATCAGTAGACGAATTAGACGAAACTAGGTCTAATAATGACATAGACAAAGCCGCAAATTTAGGAGATGGTAACATTATAACAGATGGTAACTCGGCTGTAAGTAACTTTTAGTATTGTTGATATTGATTTCAAGTATTGTCTAACGCAGATGAAAGCAATAATTGTTAGGACTAACATTGGCGTAGCTATTTATAACACGATAACACGGAAGGGATAACACGATAACACGGAAGGGATAACACGAGGGCTCTAACGATTGAGTTACCGTGCATTAGCACACGTCATTGTCGAATTTCCCTTGATACACGAGCTCCTAGATTTTTTATTCATATATGTGAAATATAATAAAGTATCTAATAATAAATAAACTATAGTCAGGATTCCTTTCTTTGGTACATACATAATAGATATTTCTTTCACCCTGTGCCTGTGTCATCTGTGGCAGCGACTACACTCTTTAAAACGGCTTCACTAGTTCTCAATAGGTCTATTGCCAAGTTAGAAAAAATAGACTGTAGCTGCATTTTCTGATGTCTGATATGCTTGCTGCCTCCTGTAGGCCTTACTCACTGGGATCGGCTATGTTTATTTATTTATTCTAAATGACTTATCAACTAAATAATTATGTAAAGTACATAACTAGCATATAAGTACATATTTAACTAACAGCCTGCCGCTGTAGTGATACTATTGTCCAAGTTGTCTTCAATGAAATACTGTCTATAGTTTACGCGAGTAGTACACATTTAAATAAAACACTTTTACGGTTTAAAACGCGATATATTAGTTAAACTTATTTGAAAATGTTTTTTAACGTCGGCCCGACATTGTTAAATAAGTTTTATTTTTTTTAATTTAATTGTCTTTTATTAAATTTGATTTTTTGTGAACAGGCTCCAGCAGATGGCGCGGCGGCCTTAATACTAGTAAACGATGAAGTAGTCAAAGACCAAAATTTGAAGCCGATAGCTAAACTTTCTGGATGGGCGTGTGTCGGCGCAGATCCCCCAAACGAATTAGGCGCAGTTGTGGCTATTAAAAGGGTTCTAGATTATTTAAATGTCACAATAGAAGATATTGATGTATTTGAAGTAGGTAAAATTAAGTTTGCTAAAACAGCTAATAATAATCAACGGGTCGTGGGTTCGATTCCACCAGGTCCACGATGTTCCTAATAAATGTAATTTTTTTACATATTGAACTTCGTCTGTTAGTCAGGATATTAAATGGGTGGTAGGAATATCGAAATTCCGTCCGAGACACGAACCACAGTTAAAAAAGCCGTGAAGTTTAATCCCGTTTCGATTTCAGAATATACAAAGCTAAAATAGGTCGACGGCGCATCTTGTTTAGACGTTTAATGGCTGTGGTTGTTCAGTGTGTGCCCTATTCTATCATAAAAAAAATACTTTAAAATTTTAGCCAGAGACGTTTAATGAAATGTCAAAGCTAGTTTAAATTCTAAATCTTATAGTTTGATGCAGCAAATTAGTGATACAATTGTTATGCCTAAAATAGATGTAATGCAAGCTTCTTGCGAATTAGGCTCCACAGTACTCCACGCTAATTACAGATAAATGAGACTTTTGCTTCTGAAACACTTGCTGTAATAAAGGATCTCGGAATTGATGAGTGTAAAATTAATGTTAATGGTGGCGCATTAGTTCTTGGAAATCCTGTGTCAGCTACTGGAGCAAGAATGGCAACACACATTGTCCATTTTGTTAAGGTAAATAAAATCCCATCAAAAACATAAATATAAAAGGGAGCACAGTTCAAAACAATGGTTGTGCTTTGCTTCGCCGTAAAAAGAGAGATCTAAATAGTGCCAAATTCTATGAAAAATCCAAGTCTACACTTATAGGAACAAATGAATATTATGAACAAGTAACACTCTATTTCTCTGCTTTATTGGATATGTACAATAATTACTGTTATTAAAAATTGAAATCTTGAAGAAGTTAAACTTGACTCATATGGGAAGACTCAAAAATTGATTTTAGATCAAAAAACTTAAAAGATACCGGTAGAACAATTGGTTGGAGTAACAACACAACGCCTTGGATGCCGGTTCAAGGCCTACCCGCGTCGGAAATTTTTTAGTCAATCTAAAATGGATTTTTAATTTATAAATGGCATCATGTGAAAAATATTAGTTAAAAAACTCAACAAGTAAATGCATCATTTTATATGCAAATAAATTTAAAAAGTGTCCCGCAATTATTTTAGGACTGGCAATACAAAGATGGCAATCGGTGCTTCTTCCTGCGGTGGTGGTCAGGGTATAGCAGTTGCTTTTGAAAAAGTATATTAAGATGGTACAGTATTGGTTTTATTTAGGGAGAGTCTGTGAGTTATGACGCCATAACAATATCTACTTTTTTAGAAACCAAACATGTCTTCAAATAAAACACATTTTTAATAGTGGAGAGATTTAACAATATTACTTATAGATTAAATACTAATTATATCTAATTAAATAAAATATAAAATTAATAATTATTATTTCACCCAAGAATAGGATTTTCATAATATACTAGGCTGTTATGGGATATTTCAACATTACCGCTCTAAGAATTATCACTTAAGGAATTTCAAAAGGTTTATATCTTGATTATTTTCACACAAGGCAACATTTTCTAAGAAAAAGATTTTATTGATGTAATTAAGATACATTTGTGCTAATAACTTAGGCTTACAATAAAATGAGACTGTACTTGTATATTTAATTTTTGCCAAAAGTACAATAAAACTATTTAAACACTGCCGAGACTAATTAAAATGTAAGGTTATGAAGTAAATCCCATTCTATGGGGCGAACACATTGCGTCCGCTTTACTGTAGTTTATCAAACTTCCTTCCCCCTACCTAGCGTAAACAGCTTCTTGCTATCCTGAGGTTGAGACTTGGTGAACTTTTGTGCTTAATACTACTACTACTAAGCAACACATTTTAACATTAAAGTACAACAGCATGTAGTGTAAACTAAATTTACTGATAAAATACCCATTTCAATCAGTGTAAATTGTTTTATTTATTGAAATACTACTTTCCAACAATATTAAAGATTTTGGCATCGGTATTTTTAAGTAAATTATCATAAGAAATTTCATACATTGTGATTATAACTTTATATGGATGTATTTATAGAAATTCTTTTCTACACTTACATTATGGGATTAAATAATAATTATCCTTATTTACTTCTATGGGTGACCAAATTCTTATGTCAGTGTTTCCCCTTTTGTGACCTGAAAAGTACAAAAGATTTCTTAATACATTAAATAATTTACATGAAATGGGTTTTAATTATTCACTTAATAATATGAGGCTGCTAGAGCCAGAGTAGCCTAACTGCACTTTATATGACTAACTATTTATGTTTTTATACATTTATTTTTTGTTACAAAAATTCTTACACAAATTATTCATTTATACAATGTTTGAAAATCATGTTTTTTGATATTATGCCACTCTGCCTCTAACCAACTCATATGTAGACACTGAGTAATAAGGGTTTATACAAATAAAGATAAGACTGTAACTTTTCTTGGTGTGGAATGCCACTTTTTGTTTCTTTCTACAAATCACCGTACTTGAAGTACAATGTTTAAATTCCTGTTACATATTTGATGTAAAAACTTGGGGTTGAGCAATATAAATCAAAACAGATTGAAGTCAGCTAAAAATACTTACGCAAGCTTCTAAGTAGTCTATTTTTCTCTCTAACGATGTTAGCTTCTCATTTAAAGATGCAAGTCGTGATCGGCAGGACATATCTGAAATATACGTGAATAAATTTAATAGCTTTGATTCGTGATTGATAGTTGAGCCCAAGATATGGTTTGGACTAGGAAAAAATAAATTTTCTAACCGAAGGAATTAAGAAAATCAGTGATCTTCTTTATGCTGCCTGTAATAACTTCAATATACTCTCTATTAGCCCAGTCTTGTTGTATTTGCTTCTGAATAGTTTCCCGTGGCGGTGTAGACATGTTTGCTGCTTTTAAGGATCCAAAATTTATATAAATACACCAAATTCCCAATACTGTTCACAAAATTAGACTGTTATTGAAATATTTATTTAAAAATACTGAAGAAAGAATTTGAATAACAATTATTAGTGAAAACAAGGTTTACACAAAATTTACACAGATACTACATTAAGGAAAATATTTATGCTCACACATATGACATATGACGCATCTGTGTTGTCAACTGTCACTGTCATTCTTAAAATCAAAATACATTTCACTTTTCAAAATATAACCTTAAGTGCAATATTTATTTACAAGTTATTCTTCTATTAAGAAGTTGAACCTGTTTAAATAATTAATATGGATGAAATAGAATACAAATTGAAAACAAATTCTAGCGTCTTAATAGTCAATGCTGTCGATAAGCTGATATCAACAATAAAATCCAAATTTAAGCCGGCTGAGAGACAGAAGTTTGTGTTAGAAAACGAAGAATTGAAGTTTTTAAGAGATAAATGTTCTTCTTCAGACGCTGTAGTGAGCCTGACTGCATGTCAGGGTTTGTTGGCTCTTGTGGAGCTCAACGTACTTGAAATTGGCTACACTATGTCGACTATAGTATCGCTTTTACCTACTGCTCAGTAAGTAAGAAAAAGCACTCGGCTTGCATCACTATCCAAGAGTATCCCACCTAAGAGTAGAATTAGGGATGCGCCGGTTTTCAATGCCTCTCGTTCTTATCCCAAGAAGTATCTAATCTATCTTATACTAACTGAACCAAAAACTAATTAAAGCTAAAATAAAACATACAAATCTTATAATACAAACTAAATAATGTTTTTTTTTTCGTTTTTCAGATTGTCGATTCCTTGTTGCTGTGTTTAAGTTAATTTTAAAATCCTATAATTCTTCACTTTCAGTAACTTCTCCGCAATTATCTCAACAATGGCTGGTCTCCTAGTCCTTGACTTGAAGCATCGTCTTGTTCCAGGCCAACCATACAGATGTCAGTTTTCACTTCGCTCTCCACAGCATCCCTTTATTACAATTTTGGAAAAGAACAAGGATATGGAGAGTGATGTTCTTGCACAGATGCATGCACTATGCAACAGTCATGAATATTTGTAAGTTTGTTACAGAGTATATCATTGATTGATGCAGTTTGAGGAGTAGGGTTGGAAATGGGGAACCATGGCACCAAATAATTGGGGGTGCAATGGCACTACGTTTAAATTTCAGATTTATTATGAAAAATATCTTAAACCATACTATAGAATCACCTTGAAAGAATTGTTTCATTCTGTATCTCTAGAAGTGAAGAAGTGTAGAAATTACACCTTATTTGTATGTCTTTTGTAGGGCTATATGGTGAATTAGGGACAAACATTTGTATACTCTTACACAATATGGTAAGAGATAGAATTGAAGAAGATAAAAATACAATATTAAGAGAGTAAATGATTTCATAGCTGTAGTTGCAGTAAATTTTTCATAGAAGCATTTGTTGCAAAGATTTTTATTCTTTATCTTAAGTAGCTTTTTGGTCTTATCATTCCTCCCTTTGATTCAAGTTTACCTGTTCTTTTTTTCAGGGTATCGTCAAACAGTCTAGAACTACTCCGTTCAGTTTTTCTCTGGATGACAAGCAACCCCCCTGAGATGTGGAGGAAGCTCACGAGCTTGGCAACTATTGCTGAGTCTTCCTCAGTCTGATTCCCAGGCATCATTACTTTTAGCATGTCTAAGTAGCCAGCAGGTTAGTCATCTTGGAAATAAATTATATATGTATAGGTACATTCAAAATACGAAATACGCAAGATCTGTAATACGTGTCATGCGATATTCTTCATGCTGCATTCTATATCTACTTATTGAAAAATTATATTTCCTTACTTCCATTGTGTAAATCTAAAATACTTCATATCAGTTAGTACATTGTTAATCTCGATAATGTTATAAAAATGTTGCATACAAGAGAATTTTATATAATCATTTTCTTGTATGCAACAGATTTAAAAAGTTCCCTGTAATATAATAATCAGTACAAGTGTATGTAATATCTTTACAGATATGCAATCCAAAACTAATCGACAGCTCGTTAGCAGCTTATTCAGCGGTCACTGAAGCTGTCTTATACCAAAAGCGTCGGGAGTACATTGTCGCGATTGTTCCTGTACTAGCTACTATATGTAATCAGCTTTTGAAGCATGGGCAAGTATTTTGCAATAAAATTCAAATAATGAATTTAAAATGATATACAGCTGGCTCTTGAAAGTACACAGCGACCCACTAGCTGCTAGATAAAATGATGAAACAGAATTAATCAGAGACAAATAATTAAAATAATAATACGTACGTATAACACATGCGTGTTCAAAATAGTTTTTAACATTCTGAACAAAAAGTACTTTTTCCATACTATACCATTGACTGGGGTCGTTTCTAATGGCTGCATCGTTTTAGAAGGATCCCTTTTTTAAAATAAAACACTTTAACGGTTTAAACCGCGATATATAAGTTAAGCTTATTTGAAAATTATTTTTAACTTCGGTCCGACGTTTCGAATGCTTTGCAGCAGCCGTGGTCATGGGGAGACTAAAGATGGAGGATGTCTCTGACGTCTAAGTAAAAATTGCTACGCTGGCGCTGTTAGTCTGTTAGGACGTCCGTAAGGACCCGGCCAGTTTCGCCAAATACCAACTTCGACGTCAGAGACGTCCTTCATCTTTAGTCTAGTAGGGCCGAAATTAAAAATCATTTTCAAATATCTTTAACTAATATATTGCGTTTGAAAACTTTATTATTTTTTACATGTTATTGAACATGAAGGCACTATATAATTTAAAAATCGAAAATAAATTGAAAAGAATTTCGACTCGGGCAGGGCTTGAACCGGCATCGTCAGCGTTCCGTGCTGTTGCTCTACCAATTAAACTACCGAGTCCTACACCTTATCGTCAATTTTTTTCAATTTATTGATACATGTACCTGTCGAGCAATGTAATTTCAACCTTAACACTTACGTATTAAGGTTCAACGTCTTATGCTTTGCAGCTTAATAAATCATTGAAGATGAAATTACAAAGTTATAACGTTTGAAAACATTAATATTTTTCACATTTCCATGAAGGCACTATATAATTTTAAAATCGAAAATAAATTGAAAAAATTTTCGACTTGGGCAGGACTTGAACCGGCATCGTCAGTGTTCCGTGGTGATGCTCTACCAATAGTAGGACTCGGTAGCTCGTCTTCAATGATTTCTTGTGGTCACGGCTGCTGCAAAGCATCCGAAACGTCGGGCCGAAGTTAAAAATCATTTTCAAATAAGTTTAACTAATATATCGCGTTTTAAACCGTTAAAGTGTTTTATTTAAATTATAGACAATATATATTTTAATACCACTAATTTTTTCTAATAATAAAATGACTAAATTTGATTTTTAGACATGATCCCCGACCATGCTATAGCCTAATAGAACGATGCTTCTCTATCGACGCACCAGAACTCAAATGTGTCTCTGGACTGACACTGCTAATACTCGCAGATAACTTGACTAAAACAGCTGCGTTATACCTGCAAGAATTATTTAACTTATGTAAGTTTACTTTATTCTATTTTGTATATGCAGCCAAACATAGTGTTTTGTATAGAAATAATTATAAAGTAAATAGGTTATATTTGAACTTGATATACATATTTAGAATAAAATAAATTGATGATTGTCGTTAAATTTTTTTTAATGAATAGATTTTTAATTTATATAATGCCATCATGTGCCAACATAAGAAAAACAATAAAGTCTTTAAAAGTACACGATCAAACTCTCGAACTGAACTAAAAGTAGTTAATAAAACTTCTGTGCCCTACACGATCGAGTCATATTGCTCGACCGGGATTCGAAACCACAGCCTCTCGAGCTTCACGCAATGCTGAGCAACGCCATCGAAGTGCGAATACTCCTATAACTTAAATATATTTTTAATTTTCAGGCCTCAACATAATTGGAAAATTCGAATACTCTTCTCTTTGCCTCAACTCTTTCGTAGGGCTCTCCCTACAGTGGCTCCATCTTCCGTCATATTTAACCACCAATTCTTTGAATACAGCTTCGAAAATTCTGGAAACACAACAACAGGACAAGCCGAGCAACTTCCTGTTTATTGCAAATCTAAAATCCAATAAGATCTTTCAAACTCTAGTACAGACAGAGAAGCAATTATATGCCTATTTTAAATTATTAGAGACGTGGGAAAGATTACAGGATGAAGACAAATTGAAAGAATGGTTCGATGGCCTAATAAATTCCAATAGTAGTTTGAAAATTGAGTTACTACCATTTTTAGTAGGCGTTTGCTTAGATAGGACCGGCGATGAAGAGATTGCAGTAAAGACAATACAAGCTATAGTTCAAATAGTTAGTGTGGAGAAGGAAACGTCGGTGACATTTTTGCCCATTTTGTTATACAAATTAGCGAATGATACCCGCCCGAATGTTAAGCTGGCTTGTTTAAAAGGATTACCATTCATGGCTATAACAAAGGTTGGTATACGTAAGTGTTTAGATATTAACGGCCTCCTTGGTCTAATGGTAGTATGGCTAATGATCAACGGGTCGTGGATTCGATCCCCACCAGATCCATCTTGTTTCTAATTTTTTGCAATTATAATTTTTCTGAAACATAATATTTTTTTATCATAGAGGAAAACAGACATGGCGTTCTCTTGACGGTAGGAGATACCCATAGTCTTAAAGATGGCTTGTCGACCATTTTGGCTTTGGATGTTCTGAAATCCATAGACTGTTTGTGAGTCAAGTGGTTAGCAATCTCAATGCTACTCGGCCTTTTATTAATAAAAAATAGTAATAATAGGCACTGTGTAATATGTTGCCGGTCCATTTATAAATATTAAACTAATTTCCATTACATTTCAGGAAAATGTACCGACTATAGTGTCTGTCTTGAATAAGCTGAAAGCGAACAAAGGTGTACCAGCATCTCTGCTCGTCATGTTGTATACAAGTTTGGCGGAAACACAGGTTTGTACTAGACTCTTAAGTCTAGTAATATATATATGTCGAAGCGTCAGAATTAATTGTGATTTTATATTATCATTTCGTTTTATTAATTATAACGAATTAGCTGGCAACGTCAAGCAATTAGCTTGAGTGAGGTCACCCCGATGTCGGCATGACGTTTGACAGCAACGGATGTCAAGTAACGACTGTTAAATGGGCAGAGGGCGTACACGGACAGGTCGAGTGGATGACTCGCTGCGTTACCAACTAAACCGTGATTTATCGTGACGAACCTGTTGTAATTTAATATTGGAAATACAATTGTAAAGTGAATAACTACTTTGCTTTCAATAATCATTATGTCTGTTAACTTCTGACGTTTCTTACGTTGACGTATATATATAATTAAAACGGCATCAATAGCAAGGAAAATGCATAAAATAATCTAATTTACACTTCTTGGTTCTTTTATCTGTGGTTCCTGACCGAGGCAGCAGTTCCATGTTCCTGTGTACTTTTTTAATTTTCTGGTCATATTTAATAAGATCACAAAATTATTTATGAACATGCTTGCCTGGGTAGGAATCGATTTTATGACCGTTGATTGTTAACGCTAAATACATGTGTTTTTAGAAAACAACTTGTTTCCCTCAATCCATTTTCATTTATATCGCCTAATATACAAGAGTTTAAAAACTGTCTATAGTTTACGCGAGTAGTACATATTTAAATAAAACACTTCAACGGTTTAAAACGCGATAATAAGTTAGTTAAACTTATTTGAAAATTATTTTTACCTTCGGCCCGACGTTTCGGATGCTTTGCCGCAGCCATGTTCACGGGGAGTCTCCCCGTTAAAGTGTTTTATTTAAATACAAGAGTTTATCTAATTCAGGTGCGATGTTTCCCATATCTCCAAGAGATATTAGTTGACGTCTTAACAAAAGCTGATGACCTAAAGTGGGAGGTGGATATTGCTAAGGCGATTGCGGTTAAACGGATCTGTGAAGAGCGGTATGTACTAGTCACTTATTGTTCATAGTATATTAAACTTTGATATAACTGTTTTATAGTCAAACTTACATTGCGGCGCAGGCGTAAGTCACATTTTTTAAAGCCTGAAACAGTCTACAGGTTATGGGGGGGCCCCCCCCCCCCCGCCCGCGGGGGGGGGGGGGGGGGGGGGGGGGGGGGGGGGGGGGGGGGGGGGGGGGGGGGGGGGGGGGGGGGGGGGGGGGGGGGGGGGGGGGGGGGGGGGGGGGGGGGGGAAGAAAACCCCCCGCCCCTATGTATACTCGTCTTCGTTCTGTGTTCCCTATATAGATCGAAATGTATATATTTTTAATATTTCTTAAATACGTTTCAAATTCATATTTAATTTATGGTCCTTTAAGCCGGATAACATTAATTATCTTTCTATAAACTGTATGCCTTTTTTTGATGTGATATCGCAGAGCGTCATCACACGGATTGGAGTTAGTGTCGGTGATATCGTCCTTATTAAACCGCTGCACAGATAAGTCCGGAGCGACAGCAACATCGATCGCGTTAGAAGCATTAGCAGCATTATGGCGCGGGGCGGCTGTAGCTCCTCCTGGGACATGGCGCGCGTTAGAACCTAGACTTGGCAGGGATAATCGACCAGCAGTGCAGATAAGGTTATAAATAAACCAGTTTAATTGATTTAAAAACGTTAGAATAGTTATCAATACTCAGAACTCGACGACAATCTTCGAAGCTATCTATTTCTTTGTAATTAGTATATCCAGAACTGCCGGAAAAAGGGCCATCCTATAAATAAAGCTCTATCCAAGTACTATGAAAATATTTTTTTTCCGCGCAAATCTATCGAATCTTGTTACACCATGCCATGCATGATGGGCTATGTTTAAGAAATATAATAATAATAATAAGCATTTATTTCTTGCCTTTTACATTATTTTTGATACATTTAAACAGACATTTATTAGTACCTAAGCTTAGGATATGTTAGTAATTTAAAATTATGCATATATAATATTCAAAAACTTAGAAATCAGCAAGAACCCCGGTTTGGGTATATGCCTCCTTCAAAGATGACCATTTTTCTCGGTCTGGTGCTATGCAGCGCCATTCTATGCCAGCAGTTCTTTTTAAGTCGTCTTCCCAGCGTGTCAAGGCTTCCCCCTTCTCCTCTTACCCGAAGGTCCCTTCCACTGGGTAACCCTTGAAATAGTAAATTATCATTCTCTTTTATCGTTATAGTAGATTATTTAATAAGAATTCTTATGGAGCACTTAATTACGAAAAGTATAAACGGCTTTCTCATCCCAGTTTCTAGAACGACGCAGAACATTGTTCTTTTTTTACACTAAACATATTTCTTTTTAGCTTATGCAAATTGCTATCCGAGATCCCTGCGCTTCGTGTCTCCACGCCCGAATATGATAAACTGATAAGCGAAGCTTCCAAGCGTCTCTGGCTATCAATCGCGGAGGGCATTCATTGGACCGTGTCTGATGCAGCTTGCAATGCGTTGGCAAATTATAAAATTGATGATTATCAGCTGAAAGATATTCCCGAGGTCAGTAGAAGACTTTGTGAAATTGTATATTGCCAGTTCTCGTTCGTTCTACGCTCTTAATTTGGGAACTGGTATTATATGTAAATTTAGAGTTATAAATTTTGACTATTTTGAGATTCGTGAGGTCTACTCCTACATGAATCTTTTTTAAGTTGGTTTTTGTGTAATACAGAAATAGCTTTTGCATTACTACTTACTTATACGATGGAAGAAGTTAATAGCAATTGTCAAATTTCGTTAATATAATAGCATCTAAGAAGGAACTTTAGCTAATTTAGTAAAGTAAAGTAGTAATCATTATGTTTTTTTAGTTATTGAACAATGCCTTTCAGGTATACAGACGAACAGTGAAGTTACCGCCTGCATATTGTAAAACACCAGCTGATGCGATTAGAAAACCCGAAGATGTATTGGATTATGTGCCTTGTAAATAAATACTGTCTATAGTTTACGCGAGTAGTACACATTTAGATAAAACACATTAACGGTTTAAAACGCGATATATTAGTTAAACTTAATTAATAACCAAATAAGTTTAACTAATATATCGCGTTTTAACGTTTTTTATTTAAACTTAAGAGTTGTATTCTTTTAATTACTTTTTTTTCTTCAAAATATCCACCCGTATGTAAACAATACTAAGATGTATATTTTTGAAACTTAAGTAACTAATACAAAAAAAATATAAAGTAATCGGACATTTGGTCCTTCGAGCAGCACCAAACGTCAGTTCGCAAATATAAGTGAGACTAACGTTTACGGAGACTGTATAATGAAGGTATTAGAACTTGAATCACACGTTTATTGAAGTAAGGCGTAACTACATATATATCTATATTAGTATATGCTAGGCCAATTCGAGAAAATCTCTGGTGGTTAGAAGTTATTTTTTATGGAATTCTCAATTTTGTTTTTCGCACTATAAAAAGTTTGCTAGATTAAAACCAGTATACAAATTAAATTTTAACTATGATTCACCGTTTCAACTTACTTCTACTACATTAGGTACAAGATGAGTAAAAAGATTTGTTATGGCAATTTCAGGTGAAGTCTGGCCGGAAGTTTTTAAACACACCAATCAGAATGCCCTCCCCGCTGTGGAGAATCTGGTATTTACACTAATTGAAAGAGAGATCGGCTTCTTTCGAAGCGGAGTATACATGTTTGATGGTAGAGAGCCCCAAAGTTTGAGTAACTTACCGCCACATAGCGTCCTGAGAGGTATTACGGACTGTGTACGAAAACAGGTGTGTTAATTAATTTCTTGTATAGGTAACCTTATTAAAGAACTTTTATTTAACGTAATGTTAAAGTTTATAAGGATGTTTACAACCTTGGAAAATTAAAAAAATCAAGAAATATATTTCGCGTTGAAAATTATTTTATATATATAATTTGTTCTACTCACGTAAGCTAGACAATTCTTCGCTTATTCAGGTAACTTCTCCTTCGTACGATATCAAGGAAGCCGTTCTACTCTCAATGCTGTCTACTTTAGCAAAGGGATATCCACGTCCCTTGCCTCCGTTTGACATGTCGTTCTTGCATGACGCATTTCATCGGGGGCCCGAATGGCGTACGCGAAGTATTGAGTTGGCGTCGCGTCAAGCACTTACCTCACCGTCTGCGAAACGGCTGATAGAGAACTTTTTGGCGGGAATCGCGTCTAGTAACGAGGTATGTAATGGATTAGTTAATTAACTATTTATACATAATCTAATCATTTCCTATGAGAACTATGTATGGCGCTTATAAATCACTTTATACTGTTTAAAACCAGAAAGGTATTAGTTTATTTTTTAATTTTCTCGCCTTCATTTCATGGAAGGTGAGACCATTTAGTAATCCACAGACTGAAATCGAAATATTTACACAGGGCTTTAACTGAGGATATCCTTCCTAATCCGGACAGAATGTTGATATTCCTACCATCCGTTAACATCAAGACTTTCAAAATGAAGTAACCGTTGATTAGTAGCCATAAATTTTATTTATTTTTTCTTCCCTCGTATTTAATTTATATTTATGCTTGCGGATATTTTTATCTGTGACATCAAAGTATCTTTCTGTTCGCCACCTTTACAGGAATCAGATGTGATGCTGACTTTCGAATTCCTTCCCATCATGGCTCGTACTATGCCTCCCAACAACTTGCGACCTCCTGTCGAGACCCGCTTAGAAAAGTCATTTTCAGTCGTTCTTGCATCTTCGAACACCGAAGAGTTTACGTTTGTGAAACAGCTGAAACTTATTAAAAAATGTCTGGAGTGCGACAGGATACATGAGGCGAACAGAACTTGGTTGTGTCAAGCTGTGGAGGGGTATTTCTCCCAAATTAGTGACAATAGTCCAGTAAGTTTTTACCACTATGTTACTTATAGGGTATTGTTTCTAACTTGGCAAAAGACCATAACAAATATGGCCGATTTTGAACGATAGAGAACTGGTTACGACCTTTTATAGAGTGAAGTTGCTGCCAGGGTTAAAAAAATAACCATTAAAAATAGACGAAACGACCTCAATATTCAAAATCACTTTTATGTCAACCACCATGTACCAAAAAAACAAAACATGCATTCATGTTTCCTGTTTTTTTTTTCAGATATGGCCAACGTATGTTGACTGTTGCCTGGCGCTTTCCACAAAGTATCTAGAGCGAATGACGTCACCGAGTGGGTGGTGGGAGGTGGCAAGCGATTTGTTACGGAAATCAACGCGCATACGCAGCGCTTTAGCCGCGCAAACAGACTGCACTGCACCCCTTGTATGGCTCAACGAGTCAATAGACGTGCACGCTTCGCAGATAGTGTTAGTAAAGGCCTATTATTAAAAAAAAAATTAAATATAGTGTTTACGAAAAATCTTCTCCTATGTCTATCGCTCAAATCAATATATACTAATATTATAAAGCTGAAGAGTTTGTTTGTTCATTCTTATTAAGTACTGGTTCGAAGTGAATATACGAAAGAACGATTCTTCTTTAAATGTTTAAAAAATTATCCACGATAGTATATGTCTATCTTTGAAGAATAATTCGCAAGAACAACCCGACGAGACGCGGACGCTACGACGACGCGGAGCTATAAATTAAAAAAGAGGTTATGTGCAAAAATAAATAATATGATGCCCAAAGAAACTATACAACGCGGATGAAGTCGCGAGCACAGCTAGTTAGATAAAAGTATTTAGTTTACATTTATTCATGTTTCCAGTTTTTTTTTATATTGTATCATCAAATATACTTTCTTTGAAATAAGTTGTTCTTAACTGTCTGCGAGTTTAAAATTTAATTAAAGTCAATTCTACAAACCTTCTATTTTATTTACAGAGAACAAGATTACTCATTGCGCTGCATTTTTGATGCATTACGTGTTGCAAAGCAAGATACCCCCACCACCAAAGACTGGTTGTTACAACTAATGGCTCGAATTCAAGTCGCTTTTAATAAGTAAGAACCACATTGATTCCATACAGTATACACAAATACATCAACTGTGCTGTTTACACGCAAAGTTTTATTTTTATAGAACAGAAGATGAATCATCGAAGTCATACTTATGCGACGTGTTCATGCTATCGGTTATAACGTTAAGTGGAATTTGGTCCTTCGAGCCGGATATGGAAATAATATTGTGTAATCGGGCGAACAGACAAACGGTTATGCCTGCGGCTATCGCATATCTTTTAAATAGAGATGCTTGGAAGGGCTGTACTCTTCAGGTTTGTTTATAATAAAAGCATTCCCACATGTAAATCCAATTTAGTGATCTTCATCTACTAATTTTCGTGTCAAATAGACGTTGGAATGGTTATGTCACACCCGCGACGCGACTCACGACCCGGGCTTACAACGCGCCTGTCAGCAAAGTCTACTAGCACTGAGACACTGCGAAGAATTCGTTACACATAAAATTTGGACGAGATTGTAAGTAACATTCTCTTTGCATCATTCAAGAAATGCTATTCTTGTCAGAATGGATATTTATAATTATATAATTGATAGATAATTGTTTTATAACTATATTATTTGGCAAAATATGTGATTTAATATAAATGATATAATTTTTGCTTTTGCTGCACTAGGAGAAATATGGAGCAGTTTTAATTGCAAGTAAATATTTTTAGTTTTTCTATCATTATAATAACAAGCTGCTTGAATTAGAAGGCTATTGATGAGTTTTAAATTAGATTTATTATAACAACATTGTTCAATAAAACACTATCGATTTAAGACGCAAAATATATTAGTTAAACTTATTTTAAAATTATACCAAACTCCGGGAGGAAGCTGCTGCTTTCGAAACGTAGTTAAAATATTTTCAAATGAATTCAACTAATAAAATTCGCGTTTTAAACCGTTAGTGTCTTATTTAAATGTGTACTCGCGTAAACTACAGACAGTTTATAATAACATGTTTTGTTTTTGATTGGTCGTATACTCGTTCATATATTCCTTTCTTTTACTTAACATCAAACACATTTATGACCAGTATCACAAAAACCTAATCACATATCTGATTCATAAAAGCTTTAACATTAAATTAAATTTCGTATAAGATTCTATGTCGCTATATATATTTACTTTTTTATGTACATAAACTTGTTTTTTTTTTCAGGGAACACCATTTTGGAAGTGTTGCCAGTAATGATATTGAATACTGAAATACATATCTATTTATTGGATTATATTCTCATTTATGTCTAGTCCATAAGTGTTAAGTATATTTAAAATTATGTAATATAAACGTTAATACATTAAGTTTTTTATATTGTATTGTTTAATATATAAAATACATAATTGTCAGTTGAAATACAATTCTAGAACAAGAAAACATTTAAGAGATTACCAATTACACTCTAAATTCTAGTATAAAGTTATGACTAGATTTAAAAATTAACACACCAAACCAATATAAAAAGATTAAAATGCAAACGACAATAGTATTTCTACGCAGAGTAAAATAGGTGAAATGATCAGCACATAATGTTGACGGATCATCTGTCTTTCCATTGTCCACAATATAAAATAATATAATACATAATAGAGGTGGGTCTTAGCTGCTGGAAATGATATTACTTGTCGGGTCACACAAGAAAAATTATTATATATTGTAGTTTGTTTTTCAATTTAGACTTGACTTTTATTCTAAATGTTAACTACAACCATAACTCTATATATACAAATTAGCTACTTAAGTCTTACAATAATGCATAAGGAAACGCCTTTAATTTTAATAAAATTTGCTGGCGAGATTAACAGTTTAACTTTAAAAGTCCCTCCTTCCACCATGGTGCCTTTCATTCTTTAGCTCCAGCAAAGCCAGCTGTACACATTTACTACAACTTATTTACAATTATTAAGGAATTGTCCCACCAAGCACTTCAATTTCAACCTCCTAATACTTTTCACATCTCGCCCGCTACAGAGTTTGTACGTTGCGGGCGTTCCGCCCTCAGACAGCTGTTTCATCTGCAGGAGGCTTCACCACGGGCTCAGTCGGACTTTTGATTGGCACTCTTATTATTTCATCTTCTAGCTTAGTGTCAACTGGCAAATTCTGTAATTTTCATATCATTTAAGTTTAAAAGTATTAATGAATTAATACATTAAATTTTATTTTACAACTACAAAAACATTGGAATTTACACTGTCTAATATAGTTTATGTCTAAAAAATATATACATGAATACCCAATATAATGCTCTGTTACCTCTAGTGCTGTGTATTGATTATTGTGTGCAAGAGGAGGTCTAAGTCTTGTTGGATCGAGAAGTCTGGCAGGACGCCGCTGTGGACTCCCTCGTGAACCTCCACTCACACAACCAACGCTTTTAAGTAACCGAGCTCTAGAACATGTAATAAATATAAGATAAAACTAGGTTTACTAATTGGGAACTTTGTAAACAAAACATTTTTTACTTACGCATCTAAAAGTTTCAATAACAATCTGTTGTAAGCTCTATATTCTTCCTCACCAAACTCAGCCGGGTGGTGCCTGGCTGATTCATAGGCGTCACAAAACTGATGTATTAGTTTTTGTCCTCTGCCATCAAGAGGGGCAGCAAGAGATGATAAGAGGAAAGCGCGCAAGGACTCTCGTGGATGACGTCGAAGATTTGGATCTTGACAGGCAATTTCTTCTTCTGCAAGATCATATATTCATATCAGTAAGGTTATAATATAAGAACACTAGACATTAGTCTAGTGTTCTCATATTATAAACTAAAAAGCTGAAGAATCTGTTTGTCTGTTTGAACAAGCTAATCTCAGAAAATACTGGTTCGAATTCAAAAATTTTTGTACGTTAGAGGATTTATTAAAGAAGGTGTTAAGTTCATCACGCAGAGACTAATATAATTGAAAAAAACTGTGGAAAATTGAAGAAGCCGCCATTGTGCGCCCTCCAAAAACGGTTCAAGACACCCAAAAAATATCTATGAAAGAATGATCTAAACAAAAGTCTGGGATAAAAGATCTTTTAAGTGTGACTAGCAAGAAGGACCCGACATTAAGGACTTCGTGGGTAATAGCTGTAATTAATTTATGAGGAGGTTTGGTGCTCATAAAAAACTATTCTATGAGGACAAAGTTGGAGGTATAACTTGTGTCTTATATAGCTGTTCAGATATGAGAAATAATAATAATTGCAAATTATACCTAAAGTCTTAACATCATCAACAGCTCTGAATCTATAATGGTAAGGTTGTTGTGGCTCCAATATGTAATGAGACAAATCACCACAGAGTAAACGAGGTTCATACATTATCCTTGGCACAGCTTCTATTCTGCGCTCTATCTCTTTCTTGAGACACTGAAAACAGAGAGTAATTTAAAAAATAAAGATAACTTAACTTGCCACTCAAACTGAAGTTTTTGTGTGAAGTAGTACTTTGTTGAAATAAAATAATGCTTAACTCACTTTTTTACCATCAGTTCCTATAGGTACATGAGGGCCTCTTCTAGAACGAAGAGCGAATCTGGTGATTTGTCTTTTTGCAAAGATAAAAAGAATAACAAAGGTTAAAACACCAGCGCTTATTATGAATATAATATTAAGGATACTCGTGAAATCTTGCATTTTTGAGTCATTCGAAATTGAATTCAAATTTTAATGTAGTAACTACACAATATTATCAAATGTAATAAACAATACTTATTAAATACCAAAGATAAACAATAAGATTCGAAGATTCTAATTGATATTTTGAGATTGACAGCCACTTCATCTGCGTTTGACATTTGACTTAAAACATATAACCACAGATAATTTATTTGTTCTGTACTGTTTTATTTCACACGGGCACAGAGTAGGATAATATTATATATCACGCTGGGCTTCGCCGTACATTGAGGAAGATATATATTTTTGTGTCCGGTACATCTTTTGTTTTACATCCCTAACCGAAACAGTTTATCGTGTTTCTTGCACGAATACATAAACATAAATGTGCAATTGGTATTATGAAACAAAATCACGAATTCCATTTGTCGTAGTACCTGCGTGCTTTTTCAATTTACATTACCAGTCGGCAAGAAAAGTTAAGGCTACATTCTTAAATATTCAATTAGCAACTTGAGTCACGTGATGAATTGTGGCCGTTTGTTGAAATCTACGCTAAATTATTGGGATACTATAAAGATTAGGTACATCAATAGGCAGTTACGAGTAACATCATAAATGAGTTTAGTGTTACGTCATACATAAGTATTGTATGTATTTGAAATGACTAAGCATGGACACTATTTTTACATTTCAACCGCTTGTAACGGTTTAAAATGTGCGATCATTTACTGCTGAAACAAATATTGCAAATCCTTACCTCAATAACTACTATTTCTTCTGAAATCGCAGCTTGGATATAGAATTATTATTATCAGAAAATTAAATATTCATCGTATATCATACAAAGCCGAACATATAAATTCTATCATCATGATTCTTTCTATTCATACGAAGCGTCGCTCTTTGGCGGGAGACGTGATGCGCATGCACAGTCTTCGATATGGTCGCGGCGGTGACCAATACCGATCAATATGGCTGTAAAGATTCCGATGGTTGATTGTTCATTGGACAAATGGTTTTCTGGACAAATCGAGTATGTATTATAACAGCTATGACTAATGGTGTGATGCATATTAATAATGTCGACACTTATACGAAATTTGAGTTATATGAGTATAAGAAAATAGTTATACCCGTCAGTACAATTTAAGTTAAAAGCAACAGACAATATTTATTTCTACTACCACTTAGTAGATTGGAGGGGAAGAAATGGCAAAAAACTCGTCACAACTATTTTTAGTCACGTAGTATAATTTAAAATTTGAAGACATCTGAAATTGCCATTGGTGGGCTCCCTCGAAAGCACCGTACTAAGCTGGTGGTGGGTTTAGTGGTTCTGGTCGACTATGGTCTCCGAGGAGGGTTAACGATTTACCACACTCCCACGTCACTATTTCCCGATGTTAGGCATTCAGACCAGTTACAAAAAAGCACATACATAATTTTATATATACCTAATACTCGTATTACGAAAGAACACAATCTTAGAGACTAAACTGTATCTTCAAGGACAGTAGTGTTAGCGGGAACATGATAAAATGGCGAGTACTACGTCACAGAAATGAATCCGTACTTACTGAATTAGGTGCTAACACTTAGGTCACGAAGTGAAGATTGCCACCACCAAAAGTCACCGCTATGAGTAGGCCTAGTTAATAAAATCATTTGTGAACTGAATCTATGCTGATTTATAAGGCTGAAATGTTTGTTTGTTTGATCGCGCTTATCTTAGGAACCACTGGTTCGAAATGTTTTTTTTTTTAATCAGGCAACACGGGGAAATGTGGAAAATAACAGGGAGACTTATCATTAGTACTAATTACAAGAAACAATGATTGTTCTTTAAATGATCTTAAAAAATGTCCGTGACATATACTTTGTCTATTTTTTAAGATTTAGTCGCAAGAACGATCTGACGGGACGCGGTTAACGCCGTGGGTAACAACTGAGACTGGGAAAGGAGGTTGTTTGTAAAAATAAGTAATTTGATGCCCAAAATAACTCTTCCATGCTGAGGAAGCCGCGAGCGTAGCTAGTTAATTATAATTATTGAAATCTCTCTATCTCTGCATGTAAGGTCTATACTTACACAATTTACGAAGTTCGGGTGAATTGATGTTATTCAATAGATAAACACATAATTTTTTATTGTTTTTACCATGTCAAGGGCCCAGTTCAATTGTCTTTGTACGCCAATTTGTTAAGTAAATATTATCTACGTTACGAAAGAGTTAAATATCTATCTTCAAATATTTATAAATTTTGTCGCAAGAGATCGGTCCCCTGTTTTCCTTAACGCATTAAAAAATTCAAACCGCGTATAGTTCACTACAATGGCGGCACGCGGAGATATGCGCACGCGACGAGTCGCAGTATTTTCTGCCATGATGAGTGATTTAAATAAAACAATTTTAACGGCCATGTCCACGACTAGTGCAACGCATCCGAAAAGTTGCAATAAAATAAATTGAAAATAAGTTAACTGTTACATATCGCATTTTAAACCGTTAAGAGTGTTTTTTTATTATTAAGATGTCTTACTTGAGATTTTTTATCAATCTACCCTCACGTACAAAAATAAATAAAAAGAATAACGTTATTATTTTCATAAATTGACCTTACAATTTTGTAGCAACGTTAGATACTTAGAGCGATATTTCTCGCCAACTTCCTACACTCTTGTGGTTAACATACGATAGCTTATTACGAAATATAATAATCTAACCTCCTTTATGAATCATTTTCTTATACAAATCCCGACTTTGTGCGGTTTTAATCTGTTAGCAGTTGCTCGTTAACTGGTCTGGAAGACTCATGCAAACATGTGTTTTAAAAACGTAGGTATGTATAAAAACATAATAAGACTACTCTATACGGTGGTTCGTAACTGAATACGCCGATTCAGTTACGAACCAAAATGAATTAGAATTCAGTGAACTGAACAATCTAAAGCCAAAATAAGTCGAAAATGCAACGCCATTAGATGATGTAAGGCCGAGGCGTTTACCTTCCACTAAGGAAACCGCATGCTTTTTTATAAAAAAAAGTAATAGTTAATTTTTAATGAGTAAGAGAGATTTCAGTAGTATGTATCTTAGTTGTGACCACGGCTGCTGTAATCTGAAACATCGACTCGTAGTTAAAATAAATATAAGCTTCGCGTTTTATATAAAACTAGCTATGTCAGCGACTTCGTCCTCGTAGAAAATAGTTCATCGTTTACGTTCCAATTTAGTATTATAAGTTATAACCAGTTGTTACTGAGATTAGCGCGTTCAAACAACCAAACACACTCTTCAGCTTTATATATTAAGATATACTCTCGTGAACTACAGATAATACTTAAGTAAGCTGTTAATTCATGCTTTAGGCGTAAGCTATGCAAATGTTTTGTGCTTATAGTAATTGTAATTAACCGATTTGTGTGAATCAGCAGAATTACATCACTCATTCATCTCTCTATCGACCTACTGCCGCCCACATGGGCATATGGTAGTCGTGTTTTAAGATCTAGGCAGTTCTTGTTACACTTTAACGTCTTGAAGAGTAAAACTTTGAAAATAAGCTACGCTAGCTAAAAAAACACTCACTACAAACATCTTATACTTTTATATAATTCTTTCGATATATAATATGAATAATTTACTGTCTGTAGTTTACGCGAGTAGTACACATTTAAATAAAACACTTTGACGGTTTAAAACTCGATATATATTAGTAAGACATGGTTGAAAATTATTTTTACTACGGCCCGTTTCGGATGTTTTTTTAGCAACCGTGGTCACGGGGAGTCTCCCGTTTTTAGGTTGTTGTTTATTTATATGAATAATTAATTTACTTTGTTTCATATCTGTAATGTAATGTAATGTGATCCACTTAAACCTAACAACGCTCTCAAAGTCACTAAGACGACTTATTTAATAAAAATGTATTAAAAAGATTTTCTTAAGTGTATATTTTCTGTCTCGTGGTTATTTTGAGAGAGAAAGAGATAGAGCAGTAAAGAAATAGGAACATGAAATGAAACAGTAGATTATGTCTTCATGCAAAATTTTTCAGTCACTTCGCTATCCCTATAACGAAATGTTGTACACAATTTTTTTTAAGTTTAAAAATAGAATACGGAAATCAAATAACTTAAATTTGAATCACGCGTTTCCGTGAACCAAAACTTCACCGGAAACGAACCAGGATGTCCCGTGTTTATAGTCGCTGTCTCTTGCATCCAGGTAGACATTTTCGTTTATGGCAACCCCATTTCGTAGCACATGCGCGTGCGACGTTTCCTGCGTGGAAAGGAGCGCTACCAACCCATTGTTCGAGGGATGTGTGCGTTTTGCATACAAAACGGCCAATAGAATATTAGTTTTTGTGTTGCTACACCGCTTACAAGCATAGAAAATCCAAAGGATTGTACAGACAAAAACTCTCTCTATTCATTACCTAAACTTCTTATACATGTCCGAGATATGTCTAAGAAGTTTATAGTTCATTGGTCCTTTATGGTTCAGCAACGGGAGTTTGAATCCCGGAGAAACGTACATTCTTTCAATCGGGCAATCGGGTAACCAACTACTTGCCTGTAAATAAATAAATAAAACGGACATATACCTAAATGTGTGTCTCCATGCCCCAAAGGGGAAACCGAATTTCACGATACATGATGACCTATGTATGTAGTCTCTACTTATATTATTGTCCATTTTTTTTTCTTATCTGTGTAGGTAAGTACAACAAGAGTAAGCCTAAAGCAGGTTTAACTAATAGGACGAGTATAAGTACTCTTATGTGACTCCGGAAGTATAAAAAATATCAAACTACATTCTTAAATTCGGTTATTTCAAAGTAAAAACGTCATTTTCCGTTTAAAGTGAATCATTATCATAAATAAAAGGATAAATTACAATTCTTTACAGCATTAATAAAAACTGTGAAACCGCCTCTTGTTGTCAACCTGTTAAGTTATAATTGTTCTAAATAAAATAGTGACGACGACAACACATAATGTTGAAATTAAGGGCATGCACAACATTGCTATAAAGAAAATAAGACACAAATTTATTGAAAATATATTTTTTTATCAGATGAGGAGATATTTAGAGATGAATTATTATCAAGAAACATTGGAGAGGGTGCGATAGCGTGTTTGCTTGCGCAGGATTAAGGATGTTTATCAAGCGTGGGAATGTGTATGTTCTAGTAGTAATAAAGAACTTATTCTTCCATATCTATGTACCTAATAATCAGAAACAAATACTAAGCAGTCAATTTATTTCAGCTGTTTATAAGTATCGTAATTTACACGAGCAGTACCTACATTTGAATAAAACACTTAACGGTTTAAAAGGTGAAATATATTCGTAAGCTTATTTTTAATTTAACTATGACCCGACGTTTCGGATGCTTTACAATAGTCATGGTCAAGTGGGAACTGCATTAAGCTTAGGTCTTTGATATGTAAAATAATTTAATAAAATTTTCTAGTTCTTTGTTGAGGTTTGTACCAGATGTCACCCAGAGATAGTGTCACAAAATAAAAGTATTTAATATAAAGATATTTTTTAAATAAAACTCTAATTAGATTAAGGTATTGACACGTCAAATATATTATCTGTTTTTACCTTGTGTATTCCCTAAGTTTCGGTTTTTAGTACCTACATACCCATGTACGAAATACTAAATACTATGTAATAACTACTTCATTATTGTGGATGGAGGTCTAATATAATTGATGTCTTAATATTAGGTACGAGTAACGTGTGTCCTATTTTGGCTCTTGGACGGAAAAGTACACAGTTTGTGAGTAGGTACATTTTATACCATGAGGTACCATCTTAATATATTATCAAATGCCTACATGCGGTTAATTGGTATTCATCTTGCGCGCGTAGACCATACCGCGGTGGGGAAGGGTTATTAGCCAGCGCCGCCTCCGCGCCCAGCCATATTGTACCGAGGCCTGCACGCGAGTGCTGTACGCTTGCTAAGTTTCATTTGAGATTCGTGTACGAAACTACTAAAAAGCCGGTGGCTGGGAAGGCAAGATGTCGGCATAGCTGATTGACTGTGATATACGGCTGTGTCACATCGAGCCAGCTCAATCCATCGGCGTTCATCAAAAGAAGAATAAAAATTAGAAGATAACCGCTCCCGTAACCCGCAAATTTGCGATCGCTCCCGTAAGCGCGGGAACGTCGGAGGGTTGGCGAACTGTCAGCTGCGATCTGTCACTTTAGGATTACTTTCTCGTCGCGGACGAAACGAAGGAAAACTTTATTTATATCACACACGAATATGTTCCCGTAGAGTGCGACTGGCTGTGCGCGAATTACGATACGAAAACACGAAACAGAATGGCGAACGACGAGGTGTTAGGGCCGCGGAAGACAATGTTGGTTCTAGTGATTGTTGTGGGGTGTTTTGCAGTGCTGTGGCCCCGGATTCTGTCTCCTTTGCTCGTGGGCCACACGCAGGAGCAACTAAAGCCGAATAAATTCGACCGGGAGGCAGGTAAATTGGTATTTTTAACTCTTAGCTCAATGTCAATAGTGCGACCTAGACTCGCGTACGAGATTCTAATTATGTGTTTAGTGTCCTACAAATTTGTTTTGAAGGCCTAATTTCGGGATGTAGGCGTGAATTTTTGTGATATTTCGTATTTCTGTATACGCAGGGGCTGTGTAGGAAAACTTTAATAATAAAAATTAATACATGTTGAGCTGGTATGGAAATATAATGCTATGCAAATAAGTCGCGGTCCAGTAATTGTTGACTCGAGCACAATGTTTAATTGTTTACATGAGACCTGATTGGAATGTACTAGATAACTTATAACTTGAAAACACATTATTCAGACTAGTACTACTTGTTTTTTTTTACAACACTGAATAAATCTGACCATTTTCTGACTTAGACTTATTTTAGGTATAAAAAATATATTGCCTTAATTGTAGTTTATTTTAATTGTATTGTAGTTTAAGTGAAAAAAGTATAGTCTTTTAATTTTCCAATATACATTTAAAATCTTTACAATGTAACGTTTTCAAATATATTGTTTTATTATGTAATTGTATAATGGTAATCTGTGTGTATTTTTTAATAAAAGAATAAGTTGTATGTATTATATTTATAATTTATAAAATTACTATTATAGGTACTGGACTTTTGCCCTTTTTTAGCATATTCTTGCAGCCTCTACTGACATAATATAAATATAATATTTAAGTAATATATTTTTTCCCAATGTCTGCTAGGATGCTGTGAAGTTATATTTCAATCAGAAGTTGCAGTACTAGAGTTAGTAAATGAACTGTGTAACTCTGCTCTCGGAGTCCAGTTTTCCTCCCAATCTGCTGTAGAATGCCGGAAAGCAGTGAATGAATCATGCGGGGTAGATATAGCTGCTTTTCTCAAGAACGATGAGAATGTTGGTAAATCCACCAAGATGCTTGTTGAAGCGATGAAGAATACCAACAGTTCATGTCTAAGGCAGCAGTTTGGAGTACCAATATACAGCCTTAGCGTCCATTCACCATTCAACACCTGGATGTTAAAAGACTGTTAGTTCATTACAAGTATAAACTAACATGCATGTTTGGACCTTATTACTGACATAATGTATGTGTAAATATAACTAATGCTAGTTTTATGGGCTTTGATATGTATTACTAACAGTAAATTGTTTTCTTTACTACTTTAAGTGAAAATTTAGTGATTACGACAATCCAACCAACTGTATTTGTATCTAATAACAAAGACTGCTTATGTTAATCTTTAGGTCTTAAGATAAACATACATGGAGTAAATTAAAATCAATTTTAGATTGTCAAGACTTTGAACTGGCATCCACAGTGTTCCGTACAGTTGTCTACTTGACTTGTGTCTAAAACGCAACCCAACTGAAACCGATTTTTAATTTATATAAAGTCATGCAATATGCAATATCACGTTGAAAATACGAAAGTTTTCAATATTAATTCTATATGGAGTTATTTTGATTTGTAAGAAGGGTAATTTGATATGGCCATGTCGATCCTGGGTCAGATGCTTTAATTTTACTACTTAGGGGTCATCCATAAAGTACGTCACTAGAATTTCATGATTTTTTGAGCCCCCCCCCGTCCTTGTGAAGGTGGTCACATTTCTGAGTGACCCCCTACCTAGGCTTTTGGCATGAACTCGTCGACAAAACAATTGAAACCGTATTATCCTACAGATAAAGGAAATATTTTTTAGTTTATTTAATATTTCAAATCACGCGATTGTACCGAGAGTACCTCTAGATACATTAGATTTTAAAATGTGATGTCAAGAAACTTAGGACGCGTGACGTTACGTGTGACCCCTTTGCTATCAAACTATATGTCTAGAATCTTAGACATATGTTTAGTTATCTTCCTGACTTAAAGCAGATGTTTCAATCCCTCAAACTTGGCCCACACTTGGTAATTTTACATAATGGTTCAATATAAACAAGTGATTCTGTGAAGTCAAATTGCTACATGTTGACGTCATTTTCTTTAAAAAATCCCTGTTGTTTGATATCGCTTGACTTTTCTTTAGTTTCGTGATTTTATTAATTTTTATTAAACCTTTATGCCGTAAGATAGTTATAGAGTTAAAGAAGGATATATACGTGTCTCCTACTATTGATTGATTGAAAACTAGCTGTGCTCGTGGCTCCGCCCGCGTGGAATAGTTGTTTTGGGCATCAAAATTTTGTTACTTATGTCACAGTCACAGTGCAATGTTATATAACCTGTAGCCTTGCTAGATAAATGTTCTATGCATCACAAAAATACATTTTCAATTCGAACCAAGAGTTCCTGAGATTAGCGCGTTTAAACATACTAACTCTACAGCTTTATTATATTAGCATAAAAGCTATTGTCAGAGATCAGGTGGGGATATTTTGCGTGAAGAACATGATTTTCAAAGGCGGCGAATTTTAGAATTCTCTCTTCTCTAAATTACTAACTGCGTATGCGCCGCTTGTTTGTTTAATATGCGAGTCTATTGAGAAAAGCGGTGAGATCCTCGCGTGCTTCCAGACAAATCTTCGATCACCTTCACAGAATAGAATAGATACAACGTTGTACTCCACAAATTAGGTAATTTTGCTAGCACATGTTTATCAAATTGTTAGTTAGCATTTGCGTGATAATTTCATTTGTCATTGACAACTTAAGTATTTTGTAATCCTATTGACATTTTATCATTTACTAGATACTTCTTGAGAATGTTTGCGGAGGGCAGCCAAGCTTGGCGTCAGCGTTCATAACTCGTTGCAAAGTATCATTTTTGGAACTTTTACGCAAAGGGGGGGGATCTCTAGTCCAAAGCGCAGCATAGTAGTAATATAAATAAAACAAGTCTTAATATATATCTTTTTATTTGAGTTAAATTTATGTACAATAGTACTAAAATTAGTCGCAGAAACTATATTTTAATAAAAATATCCTCTATTTATACTCAATCGGATTTATGCATCGCTATAAAATGAGAAATATATTATATATATTATTTTTTACTAAGACCCAATGTTTCGTAGCTTTGCATTAGTCTCGGGGGGGACTAAAAATGGAGGGTGCCATCATCTTTCCAAATACCCATAACGTTCATTAAACATTGTTGGATTTGTGTAAACAAATCATTATATTTTTTTTAATGAACTTCATAGTCTGTAAAATGTTCACGTTTTTTTTAAAATACCCTAAATCTCAAGACGTTTTAGGTACATCTATTACAATTGCAACAGATTTGTCACCAAAACCTTAACTTGAGGCCTTGTCCTGATCTGCATAAATGGCCGTTTGTACAAGAACAAACTATTATTGTCCTATTGTCACTAGATAAGGTCAGTTAACGGTCTGACAAGTTAAGTTGTCAAGTCATGCGCTGTAGCGTTTTTGAATACGTTTCAGTGGGCTATGAAAATAGCCAGGTAACAACACTTAACGGTTTCAGAATTTTATATATACCTATATGGCACTTAGCCATCATGAGAATAGAGAGAACAGACTTAAATGTAACACTAAAACGGTTTAAAACGCGATATGTATTTTTAAATTGTCAAATAAGTTAAATTAATATATATCGCGTTTTAAACCGTTAAAATGTTTTATGTAAATGTGTACCACTCGCGTAAACTACTGATGATTTTTAGAGAGAACAGAGTTTTATTTTATTAATGTAAGATATATATAAAGCTTATTTTTTAGTTATTTCTTTGGAAAAGTATCATCGTCTATGCCTAGAAGTCCATCAATCCTACTTGCCTGGGAATAAACTCGACCCGTGGAACGGACACAGAAATGTATCCACTCTATAGCCACGGAACGGGATTTTAAACACATACACACTTGGAAAACGATATGCATAGAACATTCTTGACCGTGCCCACGTACGGCGTAGTTAGTTTTAATTCACGCCGAGTCGTGATGTGCTAACGAGAACTAAATATTCGAAGTGAGGTGACACTGACGAAAGCGGTTTGGTCAGCGCCGTTCCTAGTACCCGGCGAAAGTTCTACAGCACATTGGTTTCATAACAATAATAGACACTAGAATACTTGGGGTAGATTGCCGGTTCATTGGTTGAAGTCAAGGTGTTCGGATCTCGGGATACAAACTCGACCACTAGCCCGTAAATAAAATCGATTACTTTGTTAATAATAAATCTGTTTGTTTAGCATTCAATTAGTACAATTAAAAATAATTAATACAGAAAGATTATTAAATTTAACTTGAAGAAAGGTGATGCCGAGAGGGTCTTGTTGCATCAGCATAAGTTCCAGCACAGTTATGCTACACCTGTGATTTTCAGCAACACCCTAGTGTTTTGGTTCGGACACACAAATGTGTCTTTCCCTTTTAAGGGAAAGAGGTTAAACATATTTTTAATGGTTTTAAAATCAAAGCACAAAACAAGAAGAAGTCTAGTGTTAAGTCTCATGCAATGATACATTTTTAATTTAATAGATTTTTAAAGTGTACTTAATTTTTATGGTAAGATTATTGTTGCCTATATCTTACAACAAACAAGTTTAAAGCGAGAAATATTCATATTATTATAATTGAGTTTACATTTTTTTATGACGGAGGACGATAGACATATACATAGGAAGCCAAATAACATATAAATAAGTTGTGCTATTAACTTATAAAATATTCTTGTATACAAAAAGCTCGCGTTTTAAACCGTTTAAAGTATTTCAAGAAAAAACGGAAAAATGAGAAAAGATTAAAAAGTAAAGAAAAATGGAAAAATAAATCTGAATAACGGAATTTTTCACGTCATTGAGTTAAAGTAATTCGTGTCCGTGGGATTTTCTTATTGTATGTCTGTTCGTGTGTTTATATATTATGTAACTTGAAAGTGTCACGGATGTGTTGTATACTATTTAGCATGCCATACAAGCGCTGGGCGAAAGTTATGAATTAAAATTGACGTTAGGGTTACATAGGCGATCGCGTCGTTGAAATGGATAATACTTAGTTTGCGAGATGTTCCCCCTGTGGGGTATGGGGCCAAGGGATTTCTGTGTCAATTTTAAGTTTAGTGGTAATGCCGTATACATAACATTTTCGTTCGTTTAATCGTTTTCACAGCACACGCACCTGAAACTCGAGATGAATATTTTTCCCGTTTTTCCACATTTCCCATTGTTGCTTGGCTCCTATAGTCGCAGCCCGATATTTTTAGCTTACAGCCTTCCTCGATAAATGTTCCAACCAACACAAAAAACAAATCAATTAATAGTAGTTCCTGAGATGAGCGCGTTCAAACAAACTCTTCAGCTTTATATTATAAGTTAAGGTTATGTATAAGATGGAAGGCAGCCTTTATAGTTTTCGTTTCTGACCTCGAACAAAGACCGAATAAGTGCGACACTTTGTTTCATAGAACAAAGCTACACCACATCCTTTTGCACAATGTAAAATTCCTTCAAAAATAATTTTAAAATATGTATAATGTTGTTTCGTTTCTGTCAGTGCAGTGTAGCATTTAACAAAATCTCGAAATACGATAACTAACTGAACTGTACTGTAAACAGTGAAAGATATTCATCGTTATTTAAATTAATTAATAATTAAACTATTAATTAAAAAATATTATATAGTTTTTAAATAAAACACTTTAACGGTTTCAAACGCGATATATTAGTTTAACTTATTTGAAATGATTATTAACTTCGGCTCGACGTTTCCGCTGCAGCCGTGGTCACGGGGAGACGGCTGCTGCAAAGCATCGGATATAGACAGTATTATATGGTTTTGACAAAAGTTTGACAAGCTGACAAGCTGTTTGTTTTAGTTTTAAAAATCTTTGTCATTTCGGCTTCTTGAGGGTAAATTTAATTTTAAAATAATAATGTAAGTATTGATAAGCAGAGATTAAAAACACATACGTTTGGCTACGGTTACTTCCAACATTACCAGTTCTATACACATATATACTTATTCTGATGAAACGAAAAAGGCAATTTTTAGTTGAATAAATTTAGTTTTTTTTCTCAATAGAGGAGGACACTAAAATGGGGCTTACTCGATGGTAGGTGAAATACCTCAGTCATATGACATCTACACCAGATGCGCTATCGACCTATTTTAGTTTTATTCGGAAATCCACAGACTGGAACTGAAACTTTTTCATTTAATATTACTGTACGTACATATAATTAGTTGTAGCAAATTTTAATTTTATAAATGATAATTTTACTGTGAAGCTAAAGTCGGTCTTTAAATAATATGTTATGATTCTTCAGGGATAAGTATAGCTAACTAGCTTTTTGGACATATAAATTTGTTTTTGCAAACCTTCTCCACATCTTTTCAAAATATCGCTGTCACCCACGACGTCGGTCGTGTTCCTTCCCGTTTTTGCAAGTTAATCTTAAAAGATATACATACGTCGCGGACGTTTTTTTGATCATTTAAATAGGAATCATTATTTCATACACATGGTTTGGAAAGCGTAGCGTACGCCTCGGAAACCCATAATGGTGAATATTTTTCCCGTTTTTCTCACATTTCTCGCTGTATCTTCGCTTGTATTAGTCACAGGGCGAATCGAATTTTTCATTTCGAACCCGTAGTTCCTGAACGCGTTCAAACAAACAAACTCTTCAGCTTTATATATTAGTATAGATATGTCGTCGTTATAACTTTTAATTTGTGACCTCATTAATTTTAATTAATTTAATACACTGATAATAGCGGGCCCGCGTTTTCCTTATTTGTTTTCTTTTTAAAATAATACTATATAACTTGTATGAAGAGAAGTAGTATTGTAACTTAAATAATCATTATAATGTACTAGAAAAATATTGACCCTTACCTAACGGATGCATTTCCAATTTACTAAAGTGCCTAATAATTATTGTATATGTAAAGAACAACCTAATTAAACATATATTAATTTATCTACCAAAATAATTTCAATCACGCTACTTTAAGTGTTTTTAGTTGGTTTAGTGTCTTCAGCCATATTAAACCAAAGTTACTGTAATTTGGTTTATTATGGCTGAAGACACGATGGCACAGTGCAGTCAAAAGTGCACCAGAAACTTAATGTCTATTTCTGTAATTCCAGGCTGTAGACTGTACACTGGTGATCGAAATGGATACTAAAGCTTTAAAGATGATATATTGTATTGTATCGATTATTCTATACTATTTTTTTTTTTTCTAATTTAAGTTTTTGATTAAATAAATAAAAAGAAATAAGGAGATGATTTACTGCATGTTTTATTTATTAAATATTTGCATTTTGTTTTATTAACAAACATACTTATAATATTGTGTGTGTATTGTGCTTTTAACTAACATCCATCTTCCTTAATTAAGCGTAGGTGACAAATTTTATTGACAAAGGCGGGATGCGAATAATATGATGTTTCATTGAATTGAAATAAAACATTTTAACGGTTTAAAACGCGAGATATATTTGGTAAATTTATACGAAAATTATTTTAACTACGGCCCTTATATATTTCGCGTATTAAACCGTTAAAGTACAAACAGTATTTGCGTATTGTCATAATTTACCGTTACACAGCTTTGAAGCAAGAACGACCTCACCGTGGCCTTGGTCCTCTACCGGCGCTGCGGGAGCGCGGTCGAGCTATTCCCCCCGGAGTTCCACCACCTGGCCGTCAACAGATGCCCCCCCACGTCAGGGTACGGTCTCCTCTATCTGTGTACTTCGAACTGGAGGTCAGTGGTGGTCAATGGGTGAGCGCTTAGCAATGTCGCAGGTAGGGCTATTGGATGTTCATTTCTTATACACTAGCTGTGACCGAGACTTCGTTAGCTGTAGTTTTTTAGGCATATTATTTATTTGTGCTAACAACCTCCACAGTCTTATAAATTATAGTTGCTACTCACGACGTCGTCCGCGTCCCGTCATTCTAGCAAGTTAATCTTAAAAGATAGACATATAACTGTCGTGGCAATTTTTTTAGATCATTGTAAAAGGAATTATTCTTTCATACATTGTATACACGTTTAAATGACACATAAATGGTTTTAAATGCCTACCCACGCCTACGACTGCTGCAAAACATCCGAAATGTCAGGCCGTAGTTGATACAGTTTTCAAATAAGTTCAACTAATATATATGGCGTTTTAAACCGTCAAAGTGTTTTATTTAAGTGTGTACTGCTCGCGTAAACTACAGACAGTATTCTTAAACCGCTTCCGTAGCTCAAAAATTTATAATTGTCAGCGTTTTGTCCACATTTCCCTCTGTCTTCGCTCCTATTGGTTACAACTTGATGTTTTATAGCCTTAAGCGTTCCTCAATGAATGGTTTCTCCAACATAGATATACACTTTTAGATTACCGCGTTCAAACGAACAAACACTAGCTATATAATGTTAGTGTAGATATACATTTATAACTAATAACTGTTTAAATAAAACACTTTAACGGTTTAAAACGCGATACATGTTAGTTAAACTTGTTTGAAAATGACTATTGGAAACGTCTGGCCGTAGTTGAAACTATTTTAACTAACATGTATTGCGTTTTAAACCGTTAAAGTGTTTTTTTAATGTGTACGATTAAACTGAAAATTGTATTAAAAACACAAACGAAATGCAATAAGTTGATAATCTACTTTCACTATTAGATATCATGAAGATTAGGCACAGTTTGCACTGAGTAAAGATCGTGTGTACTTGACCGAATTGCCCAATTCGGTTTGTGTGCTCTTGCATTAAGCCTACATAGCTGATAGTACCTACCCACATGTGAGGCTGCACTTACTGCATAAGCTTAGCGATAGTTTCTTTAAAAAAAAAAGAAAGAGGATTTATCTATAGGAGTATTATAATAAAAGTTTGTTCGAATTGAAGATGATAATAGATAGCTTGTCATATCACACTGCAACGAATAGGAGCGAAGACTGGCAAATGTGGAAAAAAAATTGGGAAAATGAATTCAAATTTGAGTTCCGTTGCGTAACGCTGCGAAAATGGTTAAAATGATCTAAAAAATGTCAGAGCCAATATACCTATGTGTATTTTTTAGGATCAAATCGCCAGATATACATGTACATGTGTAATGCATTATTTTGGTCGAAATTAATGCATTACACAATGCACAAAATTATTTGTTACACTTATATATAAAAATAATACTTGATTTTGCAAACAACAAAACAACATTAGTGGGACCAGTTAGTAACAAATTAAATTGACACAATAATTTTGTAATCAAAGTATATACAAAAATTCACATACACATACCGATACATAAAAAAATGTACTTTTTTTATAGCTTAACATTAACGGTGTTTAATTTAAAAAAAAAAATTTTAAAAAAAAAAAAAAAAAAAAAAAAAAAAAAAAAAAAAAAAAAAAAAAAAATTTAAAAATTTTTGTTATTGCACAAAAAAAAATTGAATAGTGTCTGCAGTGTACATTTAATTGAAACACTAACTGTTTAAATATTCAAATTAAGATTGTTTCAACTCTCTTCCGCTCGTGTCTTAAACCGCACATTTGGTAGTGGGATGGGTAGGGGAACCTCCTACTTTTATCTAGGCTTTGTGTATTCGATCAATAGAAGCTGTTAAAGAACTAATATTAAATTTACGACCCGGCGTTTGTTTAATATGAATAGGGCTTTATTCGTCTTTATAACATGTTGAAACCTCTGCTTGTTTAGAAAATTACGTTTTAAATAGCGCGAAACACTTTTAACGTTTAAAAGCGCGAAATATTTAACTTAATGTTTAGTTAACTTATTTTTAAATAAAATGTTTTAACGGTTTAAAACGCGATATGTAATAGTTGAACTTATTAGAGTATTATTTTAACTTTAGTCCGACGTGTCTTTCCAATGCTTTGCAGCAGTCGTGAGCCGTCAAAAATGTCGTGCGGTAGTTAAAATAATTTTCAAATAAGTTTAACTAACGAGCAACAATCGCGTTTTAGCCGTTTAATATTTTATTTAAATGTGTACTACTCGCGTAAACTGCAAGCAGTATTTTACTTACTTCTAATTTATTTATTACTAAACCCCGATGTTACGTGGCGATGGGGGGGACGGTTAAAATAAATAAAAATAAGTCAATTTATGTATTTTGCGTTTTAGACCGTTAAAAATATTTTATTTAAATTTGTTTTACTCAAACTATGGAAAAATTACGTTTTTGAGATCTCAAACAACATAAAAATATAGTATAGGCAGTCGCTAGCCTGCTTTGGAGCATAGTATTAGGTTTTAATACTCTTATGTGAGAATGAGAGATGTTCCCAGCCGTGGGACATACATAAATAGTGTTATGTTCGAGTTCATTCGAGAATTTACACTATGACGTCATTATTACACTAAAATGGACATCCAATAGCATTTTTATTATTAAAAATCTAGACTGCTTCGCAACGAGAGTGGACCTAACAGCTAACAGTGAGTATGCATGTCAGTAATACTTAGATTTATATAATATAGATATGACGTTATATAATAAGTTATTTTAAGATATTACTTTATATCAGTCTTATTTTATCCAATAGTTAATGGTTCTTTACTAGATTAAGTATGTTTTATAATCATGCCTTTTCCCGACCGTGGTCTTATTATGCTAGGGTTCCTTGTCGAAATAAACATCGACCCCCCCCCCATAACTTGACATCACTATCTATCTGTCACAGTAACATTAAAATAAATATTTAAGAAGGCTTTAATATAAAAAAATAAAAACTATCTTTGCTTGATGTTGAATCAATAAGTGATATCAGGCAGTTGAACGAACTTAAAAAAAATATTACGATATAAAATTCCTAAACTAACAGTTTTTTTTATCTTTATTTAAGGGGTTTAATAGATTATGGACCTTGAAATGAAGAGGTTTCTCAATTAACTCCGCGCTATTTGGATTAAAATAATTATTAAACGCTTTAGAGAAGTGGCAAAATTTAAAATTCAACTTCACTTCATTCGGCGTATGTATGTATGTACACGCTTGAGCGCGTACGTCGTGAAGCGATTTCAAAATAAAGTGAAGTAAACAGACGTTTGACGGCCTGCTTGCATCGTCGTGTCGTTTAGCGTTGGCGTCCTATATCGTTTGGTCCAAGTGTTAGGACAAGGCGGTTTCGATTTAAACCTTTTTAAACAACATTAGTTTTAGGACGATACTTAACAAACTTCAGAACGTTCGTTTACAAGTTATAGTTTAAACTTTCAGAACAACTTTAATCTTAGCCCTATAGCTAACAAAGTAGTTACTTGACATCTTTTTGCAGTTTTACGAATAATAGCACAATTAGCTTTAATTTAAGTAATAATTAATGAAAATCTGTAGCGCTATTTTAATGTTGTTATGAATGAGAAATAAGCTACTTTTACGAATAAAAAAATAATTCACTATTTGTAGTTGACGGGAGTGGTAAAATGTTAAATAAACACTTTTAATAATAACGTGAAACATATGAGGTAACTCATCTTTAAACTATGTCTATTACAAGTTTTTATTGAAAAATTTCGCGTTTTAAACCGTTTAAAGTTTTAAAAAATAAAAATGGCTAGCGATTATCGATCGCTGTGCCCTCTGCTTTGCACTGCTCTGTACTGAACACAGTCAGTTGTTACGTATGATGTCATACTCATTATTTTTGGACTTCGCCATTGTACTTGTACAATTTAACGTGTAACTAGCCCGGTTCTGTGTGACTAACTCGCGCGCACATTTAGTTTCGAAGCTTCGACTTCTTTGTAGCGTTGTTTAATTATTTAAAGAATCTTTCTTTTGTTTTTCATTATTGCCTATGTATATATAGTTTAATCTCTGTGTGTCTTTTTTCGATAGAGGATGACAGACAGTCATGAGGTGACATAACCCCTAATAACATATACAAGATGCACTGTGGACCTATTTTCTCTCTGGATAAACTTAAATACTGTCTATAGTTTACGCGAGTAGTACACATTTAAATAAAACACTTTAACGGTTTAAAACGCGATATATATTAGTTACTTATTTGAAAATGACTTTTAACTTCGGCCCGACGTTTTGGATGCTTTGCAGCACCCGTGGTCACGGGGAGACTGAAGATGGAGGGTGTCTCTGACGTCAAAGTAAAAAGTGCTACGCTAGCGCCATCTGTTCCGTCGTAGTTGGTTTTTGGCGAAACTGGCCGGGTCCTTACAGAATTTACTAACGGTGTCTTCGCGTTTGCTGGTATGCTGTTTATTGAGACCCAGGTGTTTGATAATTTGAGGCCGTCCTTATAAATGATTTTTTTTTTACATAGGATGATAGAAGATCATGCGATTCACTTGAAAGGTGAATAACCTATCCCTAACATCTACATGTGTTGCCGTCCTATTTCTTTTTCATTCGACGGTTTTCGAATGTCTTTGTATTTAATTAAATAAAAAAAAATATAAGGCCGCTAAAGGCAGAGTAGCCTAACTGCAATTTTATGACTTGGACTTATTTATATTATAGCCTTAAAATGTTAATCTACAAGAGCACGGTTACCGAAAATAGCACACAAATAATAGTACAAATCCATTGTTTTATTTTCCTCCTATATTGAAAATTATGTTTTTTGTTATTAGGCCACTCTGCCTCTAGCAGCCTCATATGTCTTTAAATGTTTGTATGATATGTTTATATTTTCTTTGATGTAAATCGTGAAAAGAATACTCAATAGTACAGTAGTGTCGTAACAAGTGCACAGTACGCAATAAGACGCGTTTA